TATATTTAATTATCTGTAAAGTATAGCTTTTTAGCTGGTATATAACTTCTTAAATAAGTATGCTGCTAACTTTAATTCCGCTAGTTAGTATCTTTAGTATATTAGAAAATTAGGTAGTACTAGAAAATTAAGAATTATTAATGCCTTATAGTATATATTTACAGCTAGAGGTTAGTTATATTATCTTTAGATTACTAGTATATTAGGCAGTATAATAGCTTAGATTAGCGGGATAATACTTTATTTAGCTTGCAAATTGGATACTTATTACTCTTATAATATATAGCCTTTAATATTCTTAGAAGCTAAAAAATATATATATAAGTAAAAGCTAGCTCTTGTAATTAATGAAGTTAGTATACTTAGAGGAGCTACTTTATTTAATACTAGCTATTACTTCTAGTTGCTCTATAACTGCCTAGATAAGTTATTTAGCAGTATTCCTATTATTCTTTTAATAGGGGATTTCTATTAATTCCCTCTAGTATAAAAGATAAGCCTCCTTATAGACTGAATTATAAATCTCGCTTTTACTGCCTTACTAAAATAAGCAACTATTTCCCACTATTAAGGGTATAATTTATAGTTAATATTTAAGATAGTTATTCTTCTTAAAGAGTAAGTCTGTATATAAGATAATTCTTAGCTAGGCGCCCTTCTAGATAGAGTATAGGCTGGGACCTAGATATAGTAAGATCTTAACCTGCTTAATATAAAACTGGTAGACTGCTTCTAAATTACCTTTAAGAATAGCTTATATACTATAATACTACTTAACTGTAACTAATAGAATCTTAATATAGAAGTTATAGTAGACTGGGCTTAGTTTAATAAGAGATATATCTTTATCTTTATCTTAACTTATATCTAGTAGAGTGGAATCTTATCTTAGAATAAGATTGCCTAGACTATTAAATAAGAAGATAATTTTAACTATAAGATTCCTAATATCTTTTTCTATATCTAGAGGATGCTTATAGTTATTAATAAAAATATATATACTAGCTTGAAGATTGTAAATAAAGCTGAGTTTACTGCTATGGATATTATCTTCAATTTAAAATCCCTAGGCTATTATTTTACAGATAATATTACTATCTACTTTAGCCTACTACTAGATATAATATTGCAGTTATAAGAGATAAAGAATTTAGCTATTCTAGCCCTCTTAATAGGAATAGTATTTATCTAGCCTAACTTATATACTCTTAATTTAGCTAGCTCCTACTTTAAGTTTCTATTAGGAAAATATACTTGTTAAGAATTGCTAGTTATTCCAGCTTTTATCCTTATTAATTATAAAGCCTAAAGTAAGATATTTATAGAAGTGTTTTTAAAGCTATAAGGAAATTATATAACTAATAGTTAGCCTTCTAAATATAACTTTATTAATCTCTATATATAGCTTTCTAAGTGTAGGATATTATAAGGTATTAGACTTTTCAGTTTTATATAATATAAGGATTTTATTAGAAATAAGCTAGACTAGAGTATAATTAATAGTATATAGAGGTTAATAAATCTAATAGCAGAAATAAGATAGATATTTAAAAGTTAGTAAAGCTATATATAGAAAAGAGTAAGATACTATTTAAAAGATTGCCTAATAGCAAGATATAATGTTTTTATTATTTAGGATATATAACTAGAGCGAAATAAGAATCTTATATCTTATAGAGTAACTTTATAGCCTGCTAATTATCCGGATTCTTCTTATCTTTCTTCCCTAGCTAAAACTCCTTCTATTTCTTATAATAATCTTTCTACTACTCTTTAAAGATCTATTTATTATATAGACTTCTTAGTATGTCTTTTTCTTCTTTAAAGAGGTTTAGAATATAGTTATAGTATATCTATATACTCTTAAGATAGTATAGCAGCAATAACTTTATATTTTTATATATAATTATAATAATGCCAATATAGAACTACTACTTTAAGGGTATAAATCCGGACTTGTTATTGATGTTAAGATATATAGCAATCTAGTTATTGAGGTTGGTATAATTAGTAGACTGAGTGCTTATATAATAGAGGACTAGCGGGACCTTAATAAGCCTAGAAATAGAAGGTATAAGCTATAAGAAGATAGAATAATCTACTTAGATTATTATAGTAGATTAAGGAATAAATTTCAATTTCTTAATATTATATTAGATAATAATAGCTTGGATGGATTTTAATATACTATATATTGCTATTGATATTAGTATAGTTAACTATAAGGTAGCTAGAGTAGGTGGGTTTGCTTTAACTGGAAATACCTACTTAGTGGGCATTTAGAACTTGGAATTGGTATCTATATTATTCTATTTAAAGTAATTAATTAATACTATAAAAAGTAGCTTAATATTATAACCTAAGGAAGATAAGGCACTTAAAGAAATAAAGATAAGGATATTATATAAATTTATTATTTTAAAAGCTTTTTAAGTTTATTAGAAGAATTAATAAGTTAAGTTCTTTTTTAAAGTTCTTATAATATTAAATCTTTATATTATATTAATTATAGAAGCTCTATATAAAATGGAAATAGCTTAATATAAAGGCCCTCTAGGGTATATCCCCCCAAGCAAATAAAAACCTACCTATTTATTCTATATCATATAGCAGATAAGGTTCTAGGCAGTAAGCCATAGTAATACGGAAATAAAACCTTTATCTTTTACTTACCTACCACCTAATGCCGTATAATACTCTCAATCCATATACCGAGCCGTGATCGAAGAGCCACAGAGGATCTAAAGGCTCGTTCCGAAAGGCATTGGCGGGCCCGCAGGGACCGGTCTCCTGTTCCCTATGCTCTCCCGCTTCATCATGAAAAGAAGCTAACCTTGATACACTGCATCAGGATTTCCAAGCCACGTCAAGCCACGTCAAGCCACAAGAATCGAGCCGCCCACCTACCGCCTTTTCCGACCCTGGTTCTATCTGAATGAACGAAAACAGGAAAGGCTTTTCCTTCTATTCGTCTCTCTACTGGTCAGGTCCAAGTTCGTACAGTTTTAAGCATAAATAGCTTCCACTTTTACAGCACGCTTCCAAACTTGGAAGGTACCCCACCCACAGAGTGTCATTTTTGCAAATCTGCGTACTATTGATTGATTGATTGATTGATTATTTAGCGTCCACTTCCGGAGAAGCTAGACCCCTATTGAGGCACCTAAGTTACCTAAGATCCTGCGAACTGAGCTCCAGAACTTAATCATAAGTAAGTTACAAGGTGAGGAATTTACTGTACTAAAGACAAGGGCAAAACGGTTGTCCCATGCATCCACTGCCGCCAGGCGTGCGGGCAAGATCAGGTCCAAAGCGAAAAGCGCAGAAAGCGTAAGAAGGGGTATGACCAGATCGTGTCCAAGTTCCGCGGCCTATTGGATACTTTTCCAAATATCCGTATACCAGGAGAGGAAGAGTCAGAAATGATCAGCCAGGAGGTAAATTACGTCATTATGCGCCGGATTAATTAGCTGTCGATAAAGAAGCGTCTCTTACTACAAATCCAGAGCCACCTGGAGAAAAGACTATAGGAGACTACTTACTGCACTTATCTCTGGGTATATCTTATATTTAACTACTTAGAGAAAGAATACTTTAAAAAGATAGTAAAGAGGGTAGAGTTTACTATTAAAATACTTCTAAAAAATATTAATAAGATATATAAGTAAATTCTTAGTAAGTTAAAGAAATATATAATAGCTTAGAGAGCCTTAAGTATTATCTTAGCTATAAGTTAGCTATTAATAATCTTAGAAATAAATATTATTATAAATATAAATATTATATTATAATTTATTTATAATTTTAATTTAAAAAATAAAAAGAATTTTAAATTAAATTTTAAATTTTAATATAAATTATTTATTTTAATTTATTATAATAAAAAAATTTTTTTATTAAATTACTTATATATTTCTACTTATAAATTTAATTTTACTTATAATTATTCTATTAAAATTATATTAATATTATTTTATTACTATTTATTATATATATATTATTCTTATAAAGTTTTATATATTTTATTTAAATTTCTTTAATTTTAATATTAATCTTTTAATAAATATAAATAAAAAAGCTAGCTACTTATAATAGTTATATCTTCTATTTTACTATAAATATAATCTAGAGTAAGTAGAAGGCTAATTACTAATAGATAAACTATAAATTTATATTAATAAAGTAATTAAGATATTATTTATAAAATAAATATTATATTTAGTAATAATTAAATATAGTAATATATAACAAGTTAAGATAAGTAAGATAACTAAGTTATATTAATAGCTAAGTAGCTGCCTATAGTAAATATATACTACTCAGTTGTCTATATATTGGTATAATCAGGGGTGATCACTTACACAATAATCATAATCACCAGTAATCAAAGGCAATCACGGAGTAATCACTGTAATTGTAATCACTGGTGATCGGGGGTAATTACAAAGTGATTACTGATAGCTAAACTATATTCCGTTCCGGGAGGCTGAGAAAAGTGGGGCTGCGCCCGGGGCCTAATATAAGTCGCGGCCAGGCTATAATATATACAGTCTATAAAAAAGCTAGTTAAGTTAGCTTTACTCTGCTAGTAATTTGATAATTTATATTATTTATTATTACTTTACTTATTAATTAATATCTTTTTATAATAGCTTTTATATTAATATATTAATAATTTATTTATTATAGTTAATATTATTTAATTAGTAATTTATTTCTTTTTTATTTGCCTTAAGTAAATAAGATACTTCTAGTTATAAAATAACTAGCTTAATAAACTTCTTATACTAGTAAAAAGTTTAAACTTTACCTGCTATTTTATTTAATAAGTAGTAGCTTAATAAGAATAAAAGCTTATATATTAATTACCTTAATTAATTAAAATATAAAGCTAGCTTTTAACTTCTAACTTTAACTAGAGGTATAGATTCTTAGAGTAAATAGCAGTATAGTAATCTTTAATACTAGTACTATATTCAGCTTTAAGACTATATAAAAGAGCAAGATAAGATACTTAAGTTAGATTAAGGTATATTAGTACTGTAATTCTTAGGGGGCAAAGAGAATAGAGGTTACTGCGCGTACTTTATTAGCTTGGCTTGCCAGCTATAACGAACAGTCCTGTGGCCAGATACCAGAATCCGTTACTCTTCCGTTCCCTTTGTTTCGAGAAGCGTTCGATACTGCGCGAGATCGACGTATCAGAGGCCGTCAAGGACTCGGCAACGAAATGGTAATTGTTTCGTTCCCGGGGCCACGCGTGCTGGGTCTGCCGCGCTGGATTGGACAGGACGCGCCTAAGACATTTTGTCAGTTTCTCGCTCTTCGCGCCGCTGGTCGACCAGTCTTGTCAGAAGTTGGAGCCTAACAAGAGGTGGAACGATTGACTGTGGCTCCCTATCGTCCTCCGTACTGGCGGACCTAGCTGCTATCATGGCGGCCATTACAAACCCTGTTAACTCGCGAGCTTCAGCTTCCGTACTGGGAGCCACAGGGAAGCTGGGTTTTCCCTTTCTATTGTACAAGTAGCCAATGTTTGCATCAAGCAAGTACTGTACGACCTGTTAGAGGACAGTCTCTTTGATGATGATATCGACTTACGAATTCGTTGGCAAGATTGGCCGTATCAAGGACGCACTCGTTCACCTCCGGTTCGGCGGGGGCGAATGTGAACACCGGAGGCAGGGCAGTGAAGGTTGGTAGCTCGAACTCGTAGTACTCGTAGTCGGAGAGCCAATCAGTGTTGGTGGGTAACACGACATCCGATGAGTCCACAATGGGCGGGCTGTCAGCTTCAATTGTGATAATCGATGTGGACATGACGGTCGAGGTGACGGTATCGGCATTCTCCTCGATGTAAGTGGTGACCGATGCCCCTATGCAAAAGCAAGCACTGCGGTAGTCTGATTCTTCGGCACACGCGCTGGCATATGTTGGAATAACCGTGGACGTAACAGTGCGCTTCTTGACAGTGTCGACAGCAACAGTGGTAACCGTCGTGGGGTTGTTGCTTCCGGTAACAGTGCTGTACTCGGTTTCCGTAACGTATACCGTTCTAAGTAAGTACCGTTAGCTGAGGAACTGAAGGAACATCAATATCACTCACGGAGCCGAAGCCGTCTCAGCCGACCGTAAGAAGGTATAGCACTTGGCCAAACGAGCAGCGCTGGTTGCAGGTACCAAATCGGTTCCCGCAACACCACGAGCACATTCATCCACACAGCTCGAAGATGCCTCAGTAGTGGTTGAGAGGCTGGCCGGTTCGGAACTCGTCGACGTGGCGGTGTCAGAGCCCGGTGTATTGGAGTCAGATGTACTGGAGCCGAGCGTGCTGGAGTCGACCGTACCGTAACTTGTCGAATCGAAAGTGATCGAGTTCGAGATCGAGCTTGGTTTGCAGAGACCAGCATTCACCTGAGTGAAGCCCAGTGCCGCAACAGCCACAATCGATTTGATCATCACCATATTGAAGTCAGACACAACACAGCGCTATACAAAACTCGATAATATGGCTTGGCCCGGACTCGCGCCATGGCTGATGGCGGTCGGCAGCCTCTTAAGCAGCGCGACAGCCCAACCCCTGACCTGACTCTAACATGGACCAGCTCCAATGGTGACAACTCGCTCCAAAGGAAAATCAACCGAGTTCAACCACATTATCCAAATGGATTTAGTCTGAGGGTTATAGACAAAAAGAAGGACAGCCCCCAGTCGGTTTTGATTCAGCCTTTATCCCAAGGCAGTCAGAATCGTGGGTGTTCCGCACTACTTCGTGCAGGGTTAAATTTAAGCACAATGAGTCCGCACAGGGCATGGGGATGAAGTCCCACAGGACCACATAATTCAGGGGTTTTGGGATACGCGAGGTCACCCATACGAAAGCAACTATTGAAAATCGACAGCCTAGCGCCTTGGCAACGGCTATCTCGGCTCGTTCGGTCCAGAGCCCAGCCTTGAAAACCAGAGTCTCAACAGTGAGATAAAAGCCTCCTCAACTCCATTGAAATGTCTACCAAGACAATCTCAGCTCAGAAATTCTACAACAAGCCTGACCCTCCAGTGAGTCGTTTAGGCGCTGCGCTGTCTCGTGTCAAATTTGGCGCTTGTCCGTCCCAAACGACCTAGACCTCTTTGGAACCAGATTATCGAATCCGCTACCTACGCATTTGTCGTAGCGGCCTTCTAGTTTGTCAGCGTGGTTGATTGTAAAAGCAAAGCGTGTTGCCTTCAGCTGCCAGTTGAACACAGCAGCTACCTGAATTCTGTCGTTCTACTCTCATGTTTGCTGGGGTGAGCGTCTCCACTGCCAGTTGATTGACGACCATGGGTCGAATGCTGGGCTATTGAAATCTCAGCCACACCAGCGCTTACACACTTGCGTTCAGCAATTACAGTCATACATAAGTTCATAATCATAAGGTTAAAATTAACAGTATGTTGCGAGAAGGCCCCAAGAAAATGCGACCGTTGGATACCGGGTGGATACTGGATGGTTGAAGCCGAGGGCCCTGGAATAAGAACGGTCGGCTCGTTCTTCCACTAAGTGGGCTGCTGGAGATGATAGGGCTATACATGGTGAATTATCCTCGATCGAATTCATTCCAACCATGCTGTACCGATCAGTGGCGACTGTGGCCTTGGTGATATCTGTCCCAACAGAGATCAGGTTATGGGAAGTGCGCCAACAGACTAACTAATACATACCGAGCCGGGAGAGTCTCATACATCGCGCTGGACCTCAATGGCAGTACGAATTTTTGTAGCAAACGAGTTGAGTTTTTAGACAGGATCTTGAACAAATCAGGAGAATAGCATTGAAACTGATTGGTTCGGCGTGGTTGAAGAAATAGTTGCATATGTGGTGTGCGTTTGAAGAAGGCAGGGAATTTTATTCTAGCATCGGCTACAGTCCTCCGAGCTCACCCAGGTATTCAATCGCTAGACAATAGTCGAAAGCATCTATCACTTAGCATCCCCCCATCTATTGCGTCACAAACTAAATGGCATCTGCACATGTCCAAGAAGACACCGTGGCGGCTCACTTGTCTTATTAAGATGGTCGTTTCCAATCAAGGCTGGAATGGCTACCTGGTCCCATTCATCCAACGCAGAACTTCATCATTAAACTACCTGCGCATATAAGGTAACAGGAGTAAATCCCGCAGGACAACTAGAGAAAATATATAGCACGTCGCCGAAGACAGATTGGTATTTGGAGCAAAACTGACCCCAGGTTCCGCTGGTAGGTCCGCAGACGGGGTCTAAAAAGTCGTCATTACAACCACCAGCAGGGGCCGAACAACTGATTATGAGATCGGTTCCCACCGTGCAAGTAATGGCCGGATAGTTCGTATTGTCTCCGTCTGCACCGTTGAGGAGGAGAGCAGGGTAGTTGGGTACCATAGTGTACTGCGCGACCCAGTGCCAGCCACTACTGAAAATCACATGTCCAGTGTCGGGGTCAATAGAGGCGGTATGAGTGGAAATGTCAGATCGTGTAGGGTTGAAGATGTAAATCCCATTGCGGCCTCCGCCGTCTTGAAGAGGTGATCCACCAGCAAGGATAGTAAAGGTCGGGTTGGAGGCAGGAATGGAGCTCGTAGAGGAGGAGACTTCAGTTGACGTGGATGATCCTACTGATTCGGCAGATGTTGTAGAGGAGGAGACTTCAGTTGATGTGGACGATTCTACTGATTCGGCAGATGTTGTAGAGGAGGCTTCAGCTGACGTGGAGGACCCTACGGGTTCGGTCGGTGTTGTAGAGGGCGTAGACGACGTAGCCACTGTCGAAGAGGCTATTATGTACAGATGATTAGCATTTCTTTTCTCCTCTGATCGGTGAATTCATGACTTACGTCGAGCGCTGTGGCTGCATGGGCCTGCAACTGCCTGTTCAACTGCCAAAAGGCCAATGGCCAGAGAGAACAAAATGCTGGACCGCATTTTGCTGGAATAAGTAACGAAGGTAAACGAGAACAGAGAAATCCCGTTGCGCAAAATTGGTGAAGGAACGTTGGTCAAACCAAAGGGAGGCTTTTCAGGGGGAGGGGGCAGGTCTCAACGTTGATAAGGCCCTCCAACAAAGGCACGGGAGCGGCGGTGGAGAACTCAGCATCCACTACGCGTAAGCCACGCTATTAACATGCAAAATACTCACCTCGACATTATTTACGGGTCAGCTTCTCAAAATCTGGTGTTTTGCGAGATTGACGTGTGGGGCAGTGACCGCTGTTCCGCTCTATTGAGCCTTTGGCGCTACGCTAGCAACCCCTGCTTTTCGATAGTTTCTTCCATCAGCTAGTTAGAGAAAAGCCTCGCGCTTCTGGTCGCATGGCATTGGATGATCCTTAGATTGTCTGGACCGTTTGGGATTTATTCCCGGCTTCGTGTAGTTCAAACATAACTAGTTCGGGTGTACCGGAACGCCTCACAATGAAGTACGGCGTGATTGTGGAGCGAGACTTGGGGACAACCCGAAACCGAGATTCGAATTTCCCATGGCAGGGCTACTAGAAGGGTGTACTAAGCCAGCTGGATGCGTAGGCGAGGCCCCGTGCTATCCATTCAAGTAAGGCTGATAACCGATCATGTAACTATAGCCATCAATGGCTGCAATACTCCGTAGACGAGGCATCCTTCACAGCCCACGGGAAACTGGGAAGCAGGGTTCGGACTCCAAGCTGCAGACGTAGCCAGGATGAGCGACGCTAGAATTGCTTGAGCAATAGTTGAGGGTAAAAATATTTTGTCAAAGGGACAATAGTATTTCTCGGCGAAAGTGGCAACATCAGTCCCCACACCGTACAACATCAGCGTCCAGCTTGTAACTCTGACTGCGAGTCTCCAAACTCTAAGATACAGCCTTGTTCTTAGGATCGTGTCTGATTCCAACTTGCGGTCCATCGGTGATTGTTTTAGTCACGAGTCTAGTTGAACCCCTATTCAATTCATTAGCATCCCACGCCTTGCTGAGGGTCACCACGTAATTATGGGAAGAGCTCTAAGTCGATTAAGAGCTCATTCAGTTTTAAACGAGATGAGTCTGTGCGCGGAAGGTCAGATAAAATTAAGATGTTGAGCTATATTAGCTAGGTATTGTTTTTATTATTCTTATCTCTTTCGCTACTGTCAACCTAAAAATAATTGTAGTCTTTATCGTCCAGCACATTCGTCTAATTTTATTTTCTGAGCTCTATTAGATATCACGAGCTGGATCAAAGCGTTAGAATAATGTCAAATAATCGTTAAATACACTTCGCACCACACCAAATTCCAGCAGATAGAAGGCATGCACAATATTATTGTTGTGCAATTGCGTTTAAATTGGGCCCTCAATCCATCCCTTCTCTCCGTAACCTTGCTGCCAATGGGCAATAACCTCGTTACCATAAGCAATTATCGAAGACCAAGGCTGTATTAATTAAGCGACAATAAGTCATTCATTTATGTTAGGTTCAATATGATTCCGTGGAGAAAATGCGCCATCCATAAGAATAAGGACAGAACCTAACTTGAAGTTACGTGTTGCAATATCGCTACGACAAAAGGGAATGATCACTCCTTTTTCCAGTAGTGCAATTGTGGTTCATGTCTCTGTCTGACATGAAGAATGACATAAAGTCTACGACACTCCAAATTTGGCTTTGCATTGAGTGGTGAAAACGTAGCTAATGATGCCGGACTACAAAATTTCCGGGGGAAAAGTGTGTTAATATATTACAGCCACTGCTGTATTCGTAGATAAATCAATCAATCAGTCCGAAAAGTGTTTTGTCTTACCCTCCTAAGCGGGGTACATGTCAGCATTGTGAGAAGAGGGATATTCATGATGCCACGATGTACCAGTATGACAAATGCTTGATTAGAAATCAGTGATGGCATCATCTCACCCCTCAACCCCAGATTATATAAACCACTGGGATTGCCGCTGAATACTTATGTAGATATTGCAAGCATGTTCCATCGTTCTCTGAAATAATCACTACATCGTGAAAATGGCTCCTATTCGTACCGCCATTATCGGCCTCTCCGCATCGGCCAAAACCTCTTGGGCCAGCAACGCCCATCTTCCGTATCTGCTCTCCGCTCGTGGTCGTTCCCGTTTCGAGATCGTGGCCCTTTGCAACAGTAGCGTCGAGGCTGCTCAAAAGGCGATTGCACATTTCAACCTTCCAAAGGAAACCCGGGCTTATGGAGATCCCCAGTCACTGGCGAACGACAAGGACGTCGAACTCGTAGTCGTCAGTACTCGGGTCGACGTTCATCACGGGACGGCCTTGCCCAGTGTCAAAGCGGGAAAAACAGTCTTCGTGGAATGGCCACTCGCTCAGGATAGTTCTCATGCGGAGGAACTCGCAGGATTAGCCAGAGAAAGCGGGAGCCACACTATTGTAGGTCTCCAGGGCCGGGTTGCGCCGCCTGTTGTCAAACTTCGCCACCTACTGCAACAGGGCCGAATTGGTCAAGTTCTGAGCAGTGAAATACATGCGGCCGGTGGTACAATGGACCGCGACCTGCTGTCTCCTGGGTTAAAGTATTTCACCGACAAGGCTATAGGAGGAAATGTCTTTACAATTGGCTTGGGGCACTGTTAGTTAAGCCCAAACCTCATCGCGAAATGTCTAACAAATCTAGTGTTTGATCAAGTGCAGTATGTCTTGGGCGAACTCAGCGACTTCAAGAGTCATGTTCAAATACAGAGGCCCAATGTGCGAATCCGCGATCCAGCAACGAACAAGATCCTTGAGACAATCAAGTCGGATGTTCCGGATCTCGTGTTCGCAGTTGGCACGCTTTCTGAGTCCACCACAAGCCAAGACGGGGCCAGTGTGCTCCTGCGGTTCAGACGGGGTCAACCTTTCAATGGTGAGCCAGCCTTGGTCTGGACGATCAATGGCGAGAAAGGAGAGATCCGCCTGGTAGCGCAGGACGGCACAACGTTGCATGCGAATGCTTACACAGGACCCGTGACCATCGAGATTCACGATTTCGAAACCAACCAGGTTGAAACTGTGGAATGGAGTTGGGAAGAATGGCAGGAGGGTCTACCAGTTTTGGCCAGAAGCGTCGGTGCGGTATATGAGATATTTGCAGACGGCGGTATTGAGAGTTTACCCTCGTTTGATGATGCATTGTTGCGTCACCAACAGTTGACTGGAATATTGGAAAATTGAAGGTACTTGGTGAGACAGCATCAGGTATTTCAACTAGGCCGAAGATATTATTTGGGTTTATTAATTTTACATTGCTGGAAAATATGAATCTTGATATGATGCACCAACAGTAGTATTATTCGCTAAGAAGCAGGAAGGTCATCGTCATCCGATTACTGCCGCGGAGAAATCGCATAAAATGACGGTGGGTTTTGCCTCCACAGAGATGAGATGCCGTGCAATAAAGAACTGATGATGCACATTATGTACCGCAACCGATGCCACGCAGTCGATCTCATGTAGCAGTAGGGCGCAGCCATTTCGACAGCAGCGGACGCAGACTTAGGCAACTAGAGCATCCGTATGCTTATCATACCAATCATGGCGCGTCTTCAGTGGCCTGATATTGCAATCTGTCACTGACAACGTTGTTCCATCAACATTACACTAAGATATTTAATGCGAGGCAAATACGCTTCACTCTCTCAAGATTTAGATCCGATCGGTAGTCTACTCACTTCGCCACATCATCATGACATGTATCAAGCGCGAGGTTAAAAGTTGCGGAGATGCGGACTTTGGACCAGGCTTAACTCCGCGCCCCTCCCCACCTATATTCCTACTCATCCTGACCGTCTCTCCGCGGCGTGGAATCTTAGCAGCAACATGATATCATGAAACGCGACTATGAATAAGACCTTCTTCTTCATAGACGGCATTCAGCCCGACAGGGCCTCCAAGAGGCGGATGCGTCGTCATGTCATGAAGGGCAAGAATGCAGGAAAGACGTTTCACCGACCGTCAAGACTGGGACGAGCTAACCACCAGCCAAACACGACTGTCGTTCCACCTCCCTTGCCCGTATCTCGTCAACCTAATAAGCAACGACACTACACAGACTGGATATGTGTTTCTTCCAACACAATTAGGAGTTGTGGGAATGCATTGCTCACTTTCTCTCTTCCTGTGGCAGTCTCACCGTATTCTCTAAAAATTATCAATGAGTGTATGAATGCACGGCATTATCATTCACCCGAAACTACGCTAACCGTGTATTTTACAGTCTTCGCCTTTACCGCTGACAGAATTTATCCTGCCCGCCTCGGCCTTTCGGTAGACGATGCTAAATCCATGTGGCTCCGCGTCCTCTTCTCCGATGAAGCCAGTAGGTTCGCACAATTTCAGATGAATCCTAGCATATTTCTGACATAAGCCACAGCATATCACTGCAACATTGCTTTAATGGAAGCATCCAACGAAATCTTCATGGGCAACGGCGCCAGCTCGCCTAAAGCACTGTATCGCCTTTCTCAGACCCTTGCTATAGTCAAGAGGAGGCTGGAGAGTGCTGATGCTCTATCCGATTCCACAATAGGCATTGTCGTGTCCCTGATCAGCCAAGAGCAATGCAGAAAAGAATTTTTGGGTGCTAAAGCTCACATTGACGGCCTCAGGAGAATGGTTGAGCTTCGTGGTGGACTTAGCCAACTTGAAGGGAACATTGCACTCTTGTTGAAGGTCTGCAAGTACGTATCTGGCAAGCCTGTCTCGGTACCCTTCTAATTCTTCTCTCCTCTCAAGAACAGATATTATTTTTTCCCTTCAGCATGGAGGACCTACGATGTTCTTTCGAAACCGTATGCCTGAAGTCCAGGTGCTTCTAGCACCAAAAGGACTGAGTTTCGATCGCCCTTCAGCAGCTTCGTCGGTGCAGCACAAGGGATTGAATCCACAACTACACGAAATCCTGTTGGACGTCTTGGGTTCATCCTCATTATTTAATAACCGCGTACGGGTTCATGCGGTCGACCTCCTCACGTATCAAGAGATGTTGGTATCCATCTGTTACCGCCTGATACGTTTCCATCCTTTAGATGAGCCCAGGCTAGAATCTGATGTAGAAGCTATATACCACACAGGGCTGACGATTTTCATGATGACCATATTCTTGCAATACGACCGCCGCAGAATCATGGATCATGAGTTGGCATCCTTTTGCTTCAGGAACACTCTTGATAGGACGTCATTGGAGCGCGATAATGAGTTGGTTCTTTGGTACATGATCATCGGCGGGATTTGGATTTCGGGTGAAGTCGATGGGGACTGGCTTGCTCCGAGAATATGGATGGTTGCCGAAAACCTGGGCATTAAGAGCTGGGACGAGGTTCGGAAATGTGTTGGCAAGTTTCCATGGGTTAATGTTCTACACGACGAACCCGGTCGCGTATTATGGGATCACGTAGCACAGTTTGCGGAAGCTGAGAAGCAACTTGTATTTGAGTAGCGAGAGGAGTGGGAAGAAAATGACCTCGAAGAAGCTAGCTAAATCCTCGCATCCTATAAGACAAAGATCGATGCGTACTTGGATCTTGGACTGGGCGTACGCTCCATCAGGGAGACTCGTAACGGTTATGCGCCAATCTTGAGGATAACCACTGCTTGGGAGGATGTCGCCCTATACAATCTGCATCTGGGGCAATATCCAGCCAGTCGAAGGTCACCATCGCGTGGACACTCACCAAGTAAACTTTTGCTGAACCAGCTCCTCGGAGAGCTTCCACAGTTTCTCAGCCTCCTCGCTGGACACCGCAAGAGGGCGGGCCTTGTCATTGATCTGGCAATCAACCAGGTAGGCTCCATGGTTCTCGCTATCCTTGTTGGTTTCGCCAGCCTCCAGTTTCGGATCCAATGCAGCAACCAGGCTTGTCGACGCTCCTGCGCCTAATGTTTTATAGGTGAATATTCCATTCTCATTCATCCCCTTGATTGCGGCGAGTGTTTCCGCAGGAAAATTCCTCCCCAGCTCTGTGAGGATTACTCCTGGATGGACGGCGAGGGTCAAGATCCCGTACTTGTCGTACAATCTCTTGTTGGCGCCAATTCCGAACAGCACATTTGCAACTTTGCTGCGATTGTAGCCATCGAGGGGAATATATGACTGGTTCTCCACATCTGTGTAGCCCCATACCTTAAGCCAGTCGTAATTTGGCTGCTCTGCTTCCGGCAGCTCCTTGTTTGGCTTGTCGAAGTTGATGTCACTCCAGCGCATGCACGCTACCATGGGTGAGGCGGAGCTAACATTGACAATTCGAGTGGCTCCCTTTGGATTGCCTTCAGAAGCTTTGATGAACTTGGGCATAATGAGACACGTGAATAGCCAGTGTCCGATATGGTTTGTCGCAAAGTGCATCTCGATGCCATCTTTGCTCAGGGTACGCTCTTGGACGCCCATGACACCGGCATTGTTCACAAGTATGTCGACAGTTGGCACGTCAGACCAGGAGAGAACCTCGGCAGCTGCAGCACGGACAGACTGCTGGCTGGAGAGATCAATCTGCAAGCTGCGGTACTCGACGTTGGGGAACTCCTCCTTGAGAGCATCGATGCATTCCTGGATCTTCGATGGGTTACGACCAGAGATGATGAGATGGGCGGGGGATTGAGAGGCCTAGACGGCAGTTAGCTTAAATGCGTATAAAGAATGGTGGGTGATACTGACGAAGGCCTGTGCAGTCGAGAACCCAATTCCACCGCGATTAACACCGGCGACTATGATAGTGCTGCCGTGAACTCTTTCAGCGAATGCCTTGGCGACCTCGAGACTTTCAGTGTTTGCATTGAATGCGGCGTGAGTTGTTGCTGTCATAATGCCTGTGGTGGTAGGACACAAAGGTAGCTGGTAATGTGGTCGCTGAAACGATTGCGCGTGGCTTAAGCTTGAATGATATGAATGGTGTTTGGATTCTTTTCCCGTCCATAGCAGCGACCAGTCAGGGTATTAATACTTGTTCATTCTGCACCATTCGCCCTTCTATTAGGTTCTACATGGCCTCATCGTCCTGAAAGCAAGCAATGAGAGACTTACTACCTAATTGAGCAAAGCGAATATTATCCATGGGGTCATCTACGTCCCATTAGAGGGTACTTCTAGCCAATGAGAGACTCACCACCTAATTGAGTAAAGCGGGAATTGTCGATCATGTCATCCAGGTCATCGTCAAGGTTGTCTGCTGGGGTAGTGATGTCAGAAAATAACATTTCTAGCCAATAAGAGACTCACTACTTCATTCGGTATAGTGCGATTTTGGGTCTGCTGTGCTCCGTTGTGTGATGAATGTGATGAATGCTTGGTCCCCGGTAGAGTTTGAAATTGGGTACCTATGGGTACCCATGGGTATCCGTGGGCTGCTGGAGTATACCCATGGGTATCCATAAAGATAAGTTTTATATATAAAAATAAGAAATTATCTTATTTAAAAAAAACTTAAAATTTATAAAATTTTAAAAATATAATATTTAATATATATATATATTATATAATAAAAAAATATTATTTTTTAAAAATTAAATTTATTATTTTTATTATTAAATTTTTTTTTTTTTTAAATAATATTTTTTTTATTCTTATTTATTTCTATTTTAAGCTAAGACCTCTTATCTATGGGTATTTAAGAATACCCCCAAAAAAATTTGGGTACCCATGGGCCTACCCATGCGTGGGTACCCACGGGTATTTTAATCTCTAGTCCCCGGCCTGGCCGGCTTTGCAATATTACGGCGGGTAAAGTTAGTTAAGAGGCTGAATAAGGCATGACTTTATCAAACGCGGTGCACCTGTGGCCTTCCTTCAACGGAGTGATGTTATTCTATTACACCCTTGTCCCGGAATCTGTGTTCCGCGTGGGTGGTGGAGCCATTGCTTGAGGCAGATTCATTCACGACATTCTGTGCTGCTGATGCGGAGAGCACCAGCTGTGTCTCCGCTGTCCTTGAGCAGGTATTGGGCCATGCTTAAGTACTCTAAATTTCACGTAAAATCTGTGCGAGACGCTGAGACTGAACATGAAAAAGAGTCCAGAGAGCGATGTCGTTTTATTTAAAGCTATCCCCATTGTATTCATCAATTGCCCTCATCCTTAAATCCGCATCGTACAGACCCAATTGGAGCATCAATGCTCAACGACTGGAAGTTACCATAGTACCAGCCTAGAGAAAGAAGGCAGGAATTAGTGCTACCGAGGTATGATCAGTTCATTCCGCTTGCAGTCTTGGTGGGTGGTTATCAAACAGTGTAACATACGTATAAAATTCGCAGTAAGTGTCTTCGGTGATCTTTATGGAGCCAACACGGCTACGGCTATTACACCGATGAGAATTATACGCGACAACTTTGAGATCAGACTTACAGCGGCGGCCTGAGTCGAACGCATTCTTCGTCGTAAATTCTCAGGGAAGGGCCAGAATACCCTCGAGAGGGATAAATCGTAGCCTTGCGCAAGGTTAGATTATCAGGCATTTAGGACTGATGTCACAGTTTCGAAGATTTCGACAGTACCAAATAGTCCTGTGCCCATGCTGCAGTGGCAAGTGCAACAAGAATAGCGTTGGAGAGTTGCATATTCAAGGAGGTGATGTTGTTCACTTTTGAACGTGGATGTGTGTGGGTAGAGGCGATGGTAGGCTATGTTGGGGTATTGAGAAAATGTCCACGGGAGCCTACTTAAATATAATTTGAAGTTGCTTACCCTAACCACAACTTTGTTCAATTTATCTGCTTCAAAGACATACCAAAAGTTTTTAATTTTACGCGAGACAGGTGTCATTTAATAAATACGTTGTGCAGAAGTCATCATAGTCTATGTCTCGCGGGGAAAATGGAAAAGGCGGCTTCTGTCGCGTCCACGAGACCGACCCGAACCCGCGAGCCCATGAGTTAACTTGGCATGTCTTAAAAGTTTTCAGGGTGACAACAGAAGTTGTACATGAAGATCCATCTCCATATATGCGATTGGGTGTATCAGACCATATCCATATCCTTCCTGTTGTCTGACCGTACGGGCCGAATATGCCGCCCTTTAATCGAATCGGTCCGTTAGCTACAGTTCGCGGCACGATGGAGCTAACCATGATTCACCCTTTGGCCGAGGGCACGAGGTTCGTTCTGGATCTCGTATCTTGAAACATTGCATTCCACACAAAGCTGTCTAGCATGGCATGAATTTCCCAACAAGCAAGCAAACAATGGACGACACGCTAGGAATTGCCGAAGCACAAGTCGCTCTTAAATCTACTCTCGAGGCGATCAAAGGGGTAATGCGAGCCGCATGGCAGAATGCCTGTACGAGAGAGTCTCCAGCCATGAAGGTGGCTCACTAGAATGCAGCACACTACAATGTGGCATTGTTTTAGGATAGCAGACTGTATTCTCCATCTAATGCGAAATAATTGCAATATTCTGTCTTCAGCCATATCGAGCAGGATCAAGAGTAACCTTGTTCCTCGTAATAGCGTCAATCTCATCCATAACCTCGGGGGTCAACTTATCCAGCACCTTGAGAGCGGCCACAGTCTCCTCCAGCTGCTCCGGATTGCTAGCACCCGTAATAACGCTGCTGACGTTTGGGTTCTTCAGGCACCAAGCAACAGCCAACTGGCTTTGGTTGATGCCTAAGCGATCTGCAATCGGCTTCAAGCTGCGCACCATCTCAATCTCTTCTTTCCAGCTATCAGTGCCAACGCGACTGCGCATAAAATCCGCAAAGCCGTCCTTGCTACTCCCAAAGCGTGAGTCTTTGGGGAGCTGACCATCAACAATATCGTTATACTTTCCTGATAGTATCCCAGTTTTTATAGGGCTGAATGTAGTAAGCCCTAAACCGACACGCTCGTACAGTCGCTGGAACTGGCCCTCAACCTTGTCTCGAACCAGCATGTTATACTGGGGCTGCTCGACGATGGGTCCAATCATCCGTAAATCACGGGCAATTCCAACCTGCCGTACATTATTAGTATCTTCAGTAACCGTGGGACCCTTGTAAGACTTACAGCCTCTGTGATTTCATCGACACTCCACTCAGAGGTACCCCAGTACAGAGCCAGACCCTGATTAATGACATGATTGAATGCTCTGACAACCTCCTCCATGGGAGTCAACCTGTCAGGCCGATGAGCGTAAACGATATCCACATACCGGAGCTGAAGGCGCTCCAACGAGGCCTCTAGTCCTTCGATAATGTGTTTTCTCGATAGCCCGTGATTATTGACCAAAATCTCTCCGTTCACAGCCCCCCAGTTCATTTCTATGAATTGCCTGTTAGCTTGGAAGTGTATTGGGTTTTGTATAACTTACTCGTGCTGATAACGAGGTCACTTCGCTTCCATTTGTAATGCTTGATAGCCTTACCCATCACAATTTCCGCCTGACCTGCTGTGTAATTTTCGGCGGTGTCGAAGAAATTAATTCCCAGGTCGTACGCTTTCTTCATACAAGCAAATGAGGCCTCGTCGTCGGTATATCCTCCATAGGTCATCCAGCTACCCAGACTGATAGCTGACACATGTAGACCAGATCGGCCAAGTCGGCGGTAGACCATGCCAGTGTTTCGAGGTTCGGGAAATGCCATTGTTCAGGTGTTCAATAAGAAGACAAATAATGGATGAGGGTTGTTATTTTGAAGATGTCTTGGGATATCATCAATTTATAAACATGTCGGCTAGTGCACGCAATAAGTTTGTTTGTATTCGGCGTATGCAGATCTTGGATAATCGCGCGCCATGAACTTCGGCGTGAGTCATATGCCGTCGCCGTGTAGCCCCGAAGCTATTTTATATCCCCGATTAATACCCCGCCCGTCGATACAAGTCAGCCGGTGGCTGATAATCCAGGATCGGTTGATTGGGTACAATTAGGGACTTCAAGCTACTACTATCAACTACCCAAGGTACCTACGTATAGCATCGATCTTTCGACTCACGCCCCCGTCTCTCACTCCTCATTTGTCAATGAGCCTTCCGAATTGAATCTTAGTGAATTCCGCAGGTAATCCTGTAGGCGCTGAGGGGGCTAAGTTTTCTGACATGCAGATGATGCAATCCATGTTCTTGCCGAGTGTTTAGACAAATTTGATCGTACAGTATTCACTATTATGACTACATCTTCTAAATTAAATGGCATACGTGCGGTAGACTCATTGCATGATTGCTTTAGGCATGAATCTAGACCTCATGAATGCAATCGCTCAAAGCCTTCCCCAATGCTACAGCCGCGTTGAATATTCGCAGCTTTGACTAGAGCAGTATTTATTTACGCAAAGGGCGATCGTGTGTACCGGTATTTAACTATTCGGGCTATCTTAAGTTTGTCCTAGTCAGCGGGTCACATCGTTTCCACCCGCTACCTATCAATTGACAACCTCAAATGTGAACTACAATGGAAGGAATATACCGCCTCACTAGTCTCCAAGAGTCTCTGCTTGACAAGATCAGACTCAGGTAAAAAGTCGGTCTGAAAGAAACTGAGACGGCAATTTATATCTGATCCATTTCAAATCAGTTGACTTCATAGTGATTAAAAACATCAGGATCGGTCTTCTTGAAGTGTCGCGCGGGTACTTTCTGCGCAAACAGCACATCCAGCTGTTCGTATGAACGGTCTTTTGTCTCAGGCAGTCGGAAAAATGCCCAGACAAGCACAACGATGGAAGTACCTCCCCAGAAGAAACCTATAATCGTAAGTTTCTGCCTGCTTTGTGGGGAAGAACCGGGTATAACAAGAGATCATAAACTTACCCGTGTAGCCTGACAAATTCCACGCAGTAGGGTTGATGAAGTATGATTGGAGAACTCCAGAAACAACATTGACAATGTAGTACGCATTTCGGGCCAGGCAAATGGTCTTCTGGCGAAGGCGTGTGGAGCCGACTTCCGCAGGCAAAGCCCACCCCAGTTGACCAACTGACAGCTGAAAGGCGAATGTCCAGAATAAACAGAGCGCAGACTGGGCATATCCAACTGAGGGTCTATCGCCCCATACTTGAAGGATTCCAATGGCCATCAGAGCCATGATCATGACAGCCATTCCCAACAAGTAAGTGGGCCGGCGACCAAATCTAGGCATGATGTAAAACCAGTTGATCAATGTTCCGAGGAGTGCCAGTCCTGTTCCTCCAAGGTTAAGAGAGTAGGTTGTTTCGGTGTTGAGTCCAACTCGTTCGAAGAAGTAGGAAGAGTTGTCTGTCAAATGTTAGCCTGAGCATGCCCACAAGTCCAGCTTACTTACAAGCGAAGTTGCCACCAGAGAGCGGCTGTCCGATAAAACACATGCAAGCAATTTCCGTACGTCGAAGTTCAAAGCCCTTGAGGCAATCCCAATACGTGGTGCCAACCTGAAGTTGCTCCTCCAGATTATTTGTGTAGACGATCATTGCCAGTGTCTTTTTCGGGTCAATGTCCGCAGACTTCCGTTGCAGGCGACGAAGAGACTTCTCGGCTGATTCAAGACGACCTTTTCGGACTTCATGCCACGGGCTTGCGGGAGCCATTGAAACAAGCGGGATCAAGAAGATCGGCCACATCCACTGTAGGGCAAAGGGGATCCTGTATGCCCACTCATCTTGCCGCCCTTGGAGGCCGCGCAAGACACCAGCCGAGATCAATTGGCCAATGATGAAACACATGTTGGTGAAACTGGTAAAGTAGACGCGAAGAACCATGGGCAGGCATTCTGAGGCGTAGGCGGGTGCCGCAGTAGCGAAAATGCCCCAGGGGAGACCGGAAAGGATTTGGCCAACGCATAGGACGGGAAGGTTTGGTGCGAAGAATGTGATGAAGATGAATGCCGAGAGCGTAACCAAAGCTCCTAGAAGCACCCTTTTGTGACCAAACTTGTCAACCAGATATCTGCAAGGGTTAGCCGTGTAATTTGCATCCATCAGCTTCAAGTACGACCCCATTCATGAGGGTACCGAAAAATGCTCCCACACCGGACGCGTTGCTTAGGCCAGCTTGCCAAGGTGCATTGATCTGGTATCCGGTGCTGCCAACACCAACGTATTCGCCATATTTAAGCTGAAACTGGGGGTACGCGTAGAAGCTCTGAACAAGAATCTGGTCGTATCCTTCCATGATGACACAAGCCGAAATGACGACACACCAGAAGATAGCCATGGGGTAAGCTTTGATGGCCTCCCATGGCGATAAGTTGTGCTCGACAATCAGGCTCTCCTCGGCGTTGAAGGCGAGGGATTTGGAAGCCATGCCGTCTGCCGGTGGAGCTTCGACATGTTGAGCCGGATCTATCATGTTGTCTTTCGCTTCTGTTCCCATGATGGAGATGATGATGTGTCGCGCTGAGTTGAAGAGGTTGACTGAAGATCTGCTTGATAGTGCGCAGCACCTTGACTTTAAGAGGCCGAGTAGAACCTTTAAATACTGTAATACCACCTCATCATACAATAAGTTGTAGCTGACCTTGCTCGCATGCCAACTTCATCATCATTCGAGCGACCCACTATCCGCGTAGTTGGGATGCTTCTCCACTAGTCAGTCCCCGTGGGGAATAGTCCCCACGGGGCAATGAGCTAAGGAAGCGTGATTTTCGCCAATGGATGAAGGGATTCAGGCGTACATGGGGCCAATATGGTTAGGTGTGAAAGCATTCCCAGGACCCGCTCAAAACTCTTCACACAAGTTTGTGTGGGCTGTTACTTGGGATCAATCTGTCCAAGAGCTCTACATGACCGTGATAGCAAGCGTCTTGACCAGTGAAGTGATCCCAATATCTCCACCTCCCGTCATGACCCCTCTAACTAGTCTGAATGGGGTATTATTCGGGCTTGTGGTAGACCAGCGACGTTACCCCTCCGACTAGTCTCTATGGGGATATATTCGGACTGGCGGTCAGAATCGGGCTTGGTGGGCAGACCTCGGAACTGTAGTACTATCATCCAATGTGCAGCATTCTAGGATGATAATGGAATCGTAGTTTCACGAAACAACTCGGACTTCTTAGCGAACCCAGACAACGCCGGAAAGACTTTCCTCCAACGCTCATCATGGCAGGACTCGTTTGGCACCCTGGAATCGATATGCGACAGAATGTGGATAGCCAAGGGTCTTCCCACAATTCAGATCCACACGCTTTCTGAAGGCGCTGTTTATTAAAGGACTCTCTGGTATCCCGAGCGTCAACGTTGGGCGGTCCAAAGCTTCATCGTGACGAGAGCCCGCGTATTCTTTTACGAGCAACATGGCCGGAGCTTATCCTATATTCAACTGCCACCCTCCCCTTGAACAGCTGTCCGTTATCTCGGCTGGCCAGAATGAAGTCAGTGATGTGCCAGATGAGTGAGCATGTTGATAATAACATCATGAGCAGATCTCATTCTCCGTGAACATTAAGTGGAGCAAATCCCGCTCCGTGTACCCGTTTCAATTGCGTCTATGCACCGCTGCAATCGGGTCGCAACAGCATGTGAGCGCATGGCGGTCATTTCCGCTTTCGAGATCATGTCTGCCCACAGTCACTTTCCAAGACAATGAGGACTGGTATTCGGAAAACTTTGTGGTGACGTTGTCTCGACAAGCCTTGGCTGAGGGTATGCCATTGCATCAGACTTTCACCATCAAGTACCGCATTTCCGACGAAACCGCGTGGCAGTGGATTACGGGCTCCGGCAGCTTTCTAAAAGGTGAAATTATTTTACAAAGCCCTTTGGAAGCTCATCCAGAGGCCGGATCATTGATAGCACTTGCGCCAAGGTGGCATGAAGTGAGAGTTGAAACTGCGCATAAGGAAGCATCGCTGTTTTCTATCGAATCGGATCCGATCAACGGCTCTGAGCAGAAGATTCTAGGCACAGTTCTTAACCAGGCCAGATTCTTTGCTGTTTCACGAATCGAGCCGCCCTGGATTGCCCCACGCCATGGCGACGACTTTCTCTACCTCTCGGAACGCACGATTCTCTGTTCCATCCTGAGGGGAGACGGCAATGTCATCACCGTTGCTGCGCCTAGCACGAGCGATGTCTATACTTGCCTCTTGTCCAACGAGAAGGGTGAATTTGTCGCTCACACCCGAGATGACAGCGAAACCGGGAAACCCTGTCGAATTATGCTCTCAGTCGCCCCAGACATCGAGACGTCAATCGGCGCAATAATGCACAATCTCCAAGCCGAGGCTAACGAGACGCCGTTGGTTCGGGAGATGATTGACGAAGAATTTAAGTCGGGCGGCACAGACTCCTCAAACCTTGAACCTTTGGTGGATTACTTGGGATTCTGTACATGGAACGCACTCGGGCCAGACCTCACCCAAGACAAGATTCTAGAGGCTCTCCGTGTTTTGAGGAAGAACAATGTGAAAATCTCGACGCTGTTGGTCGACGACAACTGGCAAACCCTCGGCAGTACGGAACTCGGCGACGGCCATCACGATTTTCTCGGCTTCGCGGATTTCAAGGCCAACCAGGGATTCCCCACCGGTCTCAAGGGCCTGACTGATAGCGTCAGGGCTGAAAACCCCTTGATCACAGATATCGGAGTTTGGCACGGGCTATTCGGCTACTGGGGTGCCATTGCCAAGGAAGGGTGGATTGTTGACAACTATGAGACCGTGGACGTCGATGGCAAGATGTATTATGCTTTTCCCGCTAAGCTCAAGTCCATTTCGGCCTCGGATTTAAACCGATTCTACGACGACTTTTACGCCTACTTGAGCTCCTCTGGAATCACCTTCGTCAAAACCGACGTCCAGTGCCTTCTAAGCGATCTGCAAAACAGTGCTGACCGAGCTGCTCTCATTCCGGCATATCAGGCTGCCTGGACGATGGCTTACCAGCGACGATTCGGAGGAAAGGCGATTAGCTGCATGTCCCAGATCCCCGAGCTATTGTGGCAGAGTCTCCTTCAAACCAAGACTGCCCCAGTGGTCCTTCGCAACAGCGATGACTTCTTTCCAGAAATTCCCAGCAGCCACCCGTGGCACATCTGGGCCAACGCTCACAACAGCCTTTTCACCCAGCATTTGAACGCAGTGCTGGACTGGGACATGTTTCAAACGTCCATGGATTATGGGCCCGCTCACGCTGCTTCACGCTGCTTATCTGGCGGACCAATCTTCATCACGGACGTTCCCGGAAAACATGATTTGAAGCTGATTGACCAAATGGTGGCCCCTAGCCCAGACGGCGGGAGAAGCTTAGTCCTTCGGCCTTCGACGTGTGCCAAAACCCCTCGTGCTTTCGACCGATATCAAGAATCGGGGGTTCTCAAGATTGTTTCCGAAACAATCACAGGGGTCAAATTCATGGGTGTATTCAATACCCGTCCCACGAATGTCTCTTCCCTGGTATCAGTATCTGAGTTCTCAGCTCCAGGAAGCTTGCAGTGGAACCCAGATGCTGAAGTGGTCTTCTTTTCTCACCAATTCCAGACCGTGCGTGGTCCTATTAAGCTAGGAACCACTCCAGCGGTCCATTCTGAGGAAACTGCTCTGCTTGAGGTAGACTTGGAAGTGAAAGGCTTCGAAATTCTGTCAGGCTACGAGGTTCATCGTCTCTCCTTCGGTGGAGGGGAGTGTTTGGTGGCCGTTCTTGGTTTGCTTGGGAAAATGACAGGAGCAGCTGCAGTATGTTCGTTGGATGTATCTTGCAGTGGAGACGAGATCAAAGTCTCCGCTGTTCTCAAGGCACTGGGTAAGTTGGGACTTTGGGTATCAGGCCAAGGTGTTGAAAAGAGTAATATTAAAGCGAAACTCGAAGGGGTCGAGATTGATCAAGGATCCGTCGCCATTACTGACAGCTCACATGCCAATGTGGTGTCCCAGATTCTCGAATTTGATCTAGTGCGAGAGTGGTCTCAAAAGCAGAGCGTTACTACTTCTCAGCAGGTTTCGCTGGAAGTGATCATCGGATCTTGAATGTTATTGTTCGGTGATGGATTTTATGAGGCTTCACTGAGAGTGCATTTGGTTAGGTGTATTCAATATCACAGATTAATGCCAGAGCGTAGCCACAAAAACACTCGGGAATGTCCCTACCCTACAGTTGATCCGAAATCCGCTAGATGGATGTTTTGTATTATTCGCATAAATGCTGTTGATTTTCACGCTAAGCTAGCCAAGGACCCCGTTAGATGATAGCCTAGTCAAGTTCCGTCATTATAACGACTGGGAGCGCATTCGAGTCCACACTGTGTGCATCAATTCCGACGCTATTCATCAACTGAGGCAGCGGAATGGTGCTACCTCAACAGATGGAAGTAGCACGTGAACCTCCGCTCGCGAACCTCATCTCACCACCTCGAAACCATCATGGAGACTCACCAGAACCCGCCTCAGCAAGCGTGCGACAGCTGCCGCTTCCGGAAGACGAAGTGCGACCGTGGGATACCCTGTGCTGCTTGCACCGCAGCGTCGATTCGATGCCAATACGCCCAGACTCTTCGTCGAAGAGGACCCAGGGGAGGTAAAGGCCGACGCTTGGCCCAGCTCAGACAGGGCAACACTGAGCTGGACAAGGATTCTTTCGACGTTTCTACGCCGACTACCTTTTCGCGATTCAATGATGGCGGCCGCTCTGACAGCAATAAGGCCAAAAACGGCAGCGGTAACAGCGACGAAGTCCAACCAACGCCCCCTGCAGAGGAACGTTCGACATCTTGCCCATCATGGAGCAAATCCCCCGAGCGTATCAGTCCTCATCCCAAAGCATATCTCTCCCTTCCTTCCTTCAACGACCCTACGATGGATTTGTTGGGCAACACCCCACAGCTGTATTCCACGTTGGCTGCCTATGTTCAGGCATTTGTGAAATACGTGTTCCCGATAATGCCCGTTGTGAATACCGACGAGATCCTGGTCGATGTGTTCCGGTTGGATGAACTACCGCCCTCACGATATGCTCTCATCATGTCGCTATGTGCTACAACTCGGCACCTGGATCTAGAACGCTTGGCGGACAATGACGACGACCCGAGAGTAAACATCCCACCAGATCCAAAACTAACCACTGAGATGCTACTCGCTTCAGCCGAGAACGCATGCCGCCAGTTCCACATTGTCGAGGATATTAGTCTGGACACTGTTGTAACCTCATACTTCTTATTCACCATATACGCAAGTCTAGAAAAGTTTCAGCATGCCTGGTTCTACCTAAACCAGAGCATAACACTCGCCATCTCGCTTAATCTGGATTACGATGCCAGCTATATCAATCTCTCTGATAGCGACCGCGAGTTAGGCCGTCGTGTCTTTTGGATCCTGTTTGTGACGGAGAGGTGAGCTCACTAATATCGCTTTTGTCCAGCCTACCTCTTAACAAATCATCTTCTAGGACCTTTGCCCTCCAGCATCGGCGGCCTGTCAGGCTCCGTAATTGCATTGCGAAGCCCGACGTTGTCAACTCAGCCTGCCCAGTAGTCATGAACGATCTGTACAACCACATTGGCATTTTCGAGGCCCTGCCTCCCTCGCTTTACGAATGGCACCCTCAGAGTGACGCGGAGCAACCTCGCGGCGTTGCCTTGGCCCACGAAATCGATACGAAGCTCTGTGTAGTCCAAGCTACAGACTCCATGATAGAGAGTCAGCGGTTCGATACCCTTATCACGCAGCAATGGCTTCGCGTGGCTTTGTGGCGCTTGGTCTTCGGCGAGAACCCTTCGCCATCACATAGTTCCGGAGCATTGCTACCATTTTCAACACCTGTCGATGTGGGCAGAACCATTATGGAAACTCTGCATTCGGTCAGACAGAGCTCCATAGACTGCCACGGGATTGCAATAGTAAGTAACAAAGATGGAGTCTTTCGGTTCCTATCGCCCAGGTTTCTAACCGTGAGATTAGGAGCAAAAGCTTTGTGACATTGGAATCAGCCTGGCCGACAGTGCCCTGGCGCTTAGCTCGGGCTTCTCGTCGTTTGAAATAGGACCTCGAGATCTGCTCTGTGCTGTGGTGGAATCCTTGTTCAAGACACGTGGGGGCCAATCCCAGCAGCTCCCCAAGCTACTAAAGCATTCCGAGCTTGTGCTAGGGTACGACGATCCAGCCGCTCATATAGATTTGGGTTGGCCGGTGTACAATGACCCAACCGAATCAGATCAACAGCCAACGATGGACAGCCCGTCGAGGCTGATTGAGGACTTGACAAACGATACCAGCTGGCTCCTGACCGATGATTTAGGATTTGGAGATCTAGATTCATTCTAGATCAACGGCGTGTGAAGGAGACTCGATGTCAACGTGGGGTAGGTCCGCTCCTGTTGCTAGGTATGACCGCATGTTATCTGTCCAGTGGGTCAAATTGCTATGCAGGCTAGTGGCACAGATCGACAGACCTAGAAGCGTACTGGCATGACGGATCCTTGCATTTATCGCATTTCGGGAATTATTCGCTATTAACAGCATTTCCGACAGGCTCGGGGCCAAATTGCGGAGCGAGATAATGGAAGAAGGATGAGCAAATTTCGAGGCGATTTGGATCGATCGGTAGGACTTATTCATCTAAGGTAACATTTGTAAATTATCTACCGACATTCCGGTTTTAAATGGGACAGGACTGAATCAGCTTACTGAGGAAACATGAATGGACAGAATGTGGACGTCGTTAGCACATAGTAAGGTCAAACAATGTCATATTTTGATGATTCCCAACAAAGTAGCCTGACGAGAATGACGAATAGTGAGGCACGAAAGAACGTCAAGTCATGAGGGGGGAGTATAAAAGAAGAGGGAATTGATTCGACGGGAGGAACTCAAGCAAAGGTCGTGGCCAGATTTTAAAGCGCTAATCCGCCACGTTGGAACCAACCCCGGATAATTCCCCGAATGGCATAGACTGAGGATTCAGATGGGCCCACCGCGCGTCAGTTGTGGGTGACGAGATTGGCCAGGAATCACCAACCTCGGGAAGGGTCATGACTGAGGAAATCCGAGTAATTCCCCGAATGGGATGGATGGAGATTCATAGGGAAGCTCTTCTCCCGAATATATTCCCGATCTGTTAGTTGCCATTGAGCTCATTGATGCGACGAAGCACTTGTAGGGACCAATGCAAGCCGTCAAGTCCATGATGCCCTTTAAAGCGCAGTGGACAGTTGCATGGACTTGGAATTTCGTCCGAGAAGGGTCAAAACTAGAAAAGCTTGGCCCATGCAATGGACAGTAATAATAAATCTGTCCCAAGGAAATGTTTACGAATTGGACTGCCCTTTTTGTTGAAAACATACCACCAGCGAGTACGTGCTATCAAGCTAGCAACCCCGCTTCTCTACCCCGCCTGGACCCCTCCTCCCTCAGGACTCATCGTCAAAATCGTCATTAAAACCCAGGCTGCCACACCCGGACCTTCAATTCATCTGATTACCGACAGCAAACTAGGGCCACAAGGAACTAATGCACCTGTAGTTCATTCTAGGGTGTGATTTTCACGAGATTGAACATACCAGGGTCCACTAAGCTACACCATGCTCCTATATGCCAAACGGGCACAGCCTAAACCCCCTAACACGCGGTCTCGAGCAGGTGCGTTATGTGAGTCTTCCACAATGTTCGATAAGGAATGACCGTCTTCTCTAACATACCGTCGGTCCTTAAGTCAATCCTATTATGCAAAGTTAGCTGTACTCTTATCTTAACCGTCTCAATAGGATGCACCTCCTGGTGAGTCATTATTCACAAGTTGCAAACTTCCGGCTGACCCGTTATCATCAGCAAGAACAAGGTGAGATAACAACAAAGGATGAAAAATTCTAAAGAAATTTCTGACGCAGACCATGTAGAAGAGAAAGTGCGACGAGACCCGCCCCCAATGTGGACGATGTCAGAGTCACAACCTCGATTGCGTCTATGGACCTATCAAGCCTCGTAAACGCCACGTGTTCAAGTCAACTCTAGCCTCCAGTAAACATATATGAAGCCGAAAGTTACAGGAGATGCATTTGCTGATCACCATGTTCTAGACAACAGACTTGCTCGTTCGCTATTATCGGCAGCGACGTTGGTGAACAGCATCTCGCTCTCGTCCCGACCCACGACTTGTTCTCAAGACAACCACGACCAAGACCCCGCTGTAGTTCATCATTCTGATGACTGCAATTCCCCCAGATTGGAGGACGAAATCGCCAAAGATGGCGAAACTCCAGCTCACAGCCCGGATTCATCCCAGGTCATCGACGCACATCGCGGTAGCAGTCCATCCTCAGCTGTTCCAGCGTCAAATCCCACAGACTTCCCTTTAGGACCCAGCGTTTCCAGCTCTTCTTTCGCGGATTTCTCAACACGTCGTAATAGGCAAGAACTGCTCGCGCACTTCTGCACGGTTCTTTCTCGCCTCATGGTTCTCGAGGATAGATGCGAGAATCCATTTAACCGAATCATACTTCCGCTCTGCCAGTACAGTCAACTGGTCAGAAATGCAGTTTACACCCTAGCCAGCGCGCACCTCGAGTTTCACGGAGTTGCCAATGACGAAAAGGCAGCGTTCTTCTACTCTAGATCCACTAGAAACCTGGAGTACGAAATCGGTGTTAAAGACAACATGAAGCGGAATGAACTGCTCGCAGCTTCCATCATATTCATCTACTACGAGGCGGTATGTAACAAAACTCGCTATGATTATAGAGCTAACTTCATTCAGCTGTTTCAGAATGCCCGATCAACTCTCATTAAGAAATACCTTAATGGCGTATTGACCACCCTGGGAGATGTTGCTACAGATGCAAACACTGCATTTCTAGAAGATGTACGTCTCTACCCAAAGTTTGAGTACATGACCTAAAGCCCACCCATAGGCCTTTCGCTATTACGATGTAATTTCAGGGCTCTCGTTAGGCACTGCGCCACTTTCTAGCGCCCCCAGATTAAAACCTCGCTCCAGAACGCCAGTCTCTAATCGAAGAGACTTATCATCTCCTGATCACCACTTCGACACTCTTCTGGGGATGTCCAATTCGCTGTGGCCTATAATGCATCGCCTCTCCAGCCTGGTTTCTCTGAGAGACCAGCTTGATCAAACCGATCCCGGAGAGGCGCTGAAAGTAGCAGTTTTGCGTGCCGAGTTGGATTTCTCCGCGTCTGCTATTGAAGCTGCCCTTTCAAGTTGGCAACCGGAGATGTATGCTGAAGATGCACATGGCGAGAACTTTGGAAATGACTCTGAAGAAACAACTGAAACTCAGGCTCGTATGCAAAGTCTTCTCTCCAATTCTTTGGCATATCGACATTCAGCCCTGATATACCTATACCGGAGAATCCGCTGCCTACCCCACAACCACAAACTTGTGTCACCACAAGCACATCTGAGCCTCAAACATTGCGTCAAAGTTGCAAAGAGTGCTGGCCCAATGGGCGCGCTGCTCTGGCCACTATTTATAGCGGCATGTGAGGCAACTAATCTCAACGACCGCGAAATGGCGACAATATCTTTTTCTTTGGCAAGAAAGCGGCAAGGCATGATGAATATCGATAGAGCTTGGATGCTTGTCCAAGAGATTTGGGTGAGGCAGGATGAAGAGGACCTGCTAGATTTGGAGGAAACAGATGCCTCAGTGGGGTTGGGATTTAGAGAGGAGATATGGAGGACTGTTGGTAATGATATGGGTATAGGAGTTATTCTCGGATAATTTCCTTCTTCAAGGATATTCTATACAGTGGTTCGCTGGACTCTTTGCCATAGCTATATAAGGGAACTAAGCGTTCTATTAGCTTTATCCTAGAGCGATTCACAAAGAATTTCCAGTCGGCCGTAAATAGTAGCAATGATAATGGGACTGAAAGAACTCGGGCTGAGGTATAGATAACCACTAGCTATCTCCTAATATCTGAGCACTAAGCTCACAACATCAATCCAACGTTGGCCATTACACACCACAACCCCCGCAAGACACAGCGCAGCTACACACTCACACTTACAACCTCCAGCACGCCTTCGTACAGGGCATCCACACCACCCACCACCTACCCTGCCACACCATTTCCGGACTCGGACTCTTGTCTGTGCATCATCAAGTGGATTAGTCCACGTTCAACCCCCCCTGTCTGCGCCAGCTTGCACTGCAATTTTAGCACTTTAAGAAGAGTTGGGAGGCTCCACTCAGCCAAGCTCTCTTCCTCGACCAACACCTTGCACTGCAATTTTAGCGCTTCAATGGGAGTTGGGATGCCAAACACAGCCACTAGGCACAGCCATGTAAGCCGCAGCTCAGGCAGCCTTAAGCGCCCAGAGCTGCAACTTCCAGCCTGCCATGGCCAACCAATAATAACGTGGTTACCGGAGCCTGATATTTCCATCATCCGTCGACAAATTTGCTCCCTTGACATTGTTCCTATCTGATCCAAGGCCAAAACGCTTCGCTTTTCTTGCCATCTCATGCCACATCCGCAACTTACGCAACTTACGCAACCCTTATCTGGCATAGCATCATGGTACGCATCAAGCGAGGCCATCTAGATATCATGCTAACCAAATCTAGGCTACTTCCGCGGAGCGGCACCTCGGACTCCACCTAGTCAGCCCAATCGACGACACCCACACCACCCTCGAGTACGTTCCATCCCGTCGTCGACAAAGCAAACGCAATACATTACTGACAGGATAGCATCGTCGCCATCCACGGCCTAGACACCGAGTCACCGCGAACCTGGGAGTACAAGAAGAAACCAGAACATGGGGGCGGGGTAGTCAACTGGCTGGCCGATGCGAATATGCTACCGGCTGCCATCCCCGAAGCCAGGATATTCACATACGACTGGAACGCGAATTGTTTCCAAGATGCCCCAGTCAAAGCCATTCTTGGCCACTCTGATACTCTACTTGCGCACCTCGCGGAGTCACGAGGCACCGGAGCGCGACCGATCATCTTCGTTGCATCTTGTTTTGGAGGGCTTGTCCTGGCCGAGGTACGAGATCTACTAGAAAAGGTCATAAAGAGGTTCTAACTTGTATAGGCTGTTAACCGAGCAGCACGGGAAGGCAGTCCCTACAGGGACGTTTTGATGTCAATCGCCGGCATCATCTTCCTCGCCACTCCATTTCGCGGCAGCGATGCAGCTCAACAGGCCCAGTGGGGCGTGCTTGTCTACGGTATCATGGGACGCCAGAGTTCGCGTCAGCTCGTTGATGACCTTAACAGTCAAGATAAAGAGCTTCGAAAAATAACACAGTCATTTGCCGAGATCGCAGGGCCTGAGTCGGTCCAAATTCCCCTACGCTGCTTTTACGAAACCAAGAAGACAGAGCTACTAAGACGCCTTCTCCCCCCAAGTTCAGCATCTTGGCTTGGCACTTTCCAAAAGAAGTCTCAAAAAATAGTATGGTGGCTTTTATCTATATATGGCAAGAGGCTAATTATCGATAGCTTGTTTCTGAGAGCTCTGCATGCCTTGACACATTTGAGCGACATGGTCTCAACGCGACCCATTCCGGCATGAACAAGTTTCCTGGCCCCAAAGACGCGAATTTTCAGCAAGTCAAAGAAGCTATCAAGAAGCTTGCAGACGATGCTTCGTCAACTGTCAAAAACAGACAAAAATGCAAGTTTCACGATCCTCCTCGGACATACGTGCAACTTCCTAGCTAACACATCCCAAGCTTCGCATACACGCCATTTCATCGTCCCATTCGGTCGCAATCACGACTTTGTTGGTCGTGAATCGATTCTGCACGACATTGTCAGCCGAGTTCCACCTGATCTAGACAATGACGACTGCCAACGAACCGCAATAGAAGGCCTCGGTGGGGTCGGCAAGACCCAGGTTGCTCTCGAGGCCATCTACCAGGTCCACGAAACACACGACTGTTCCATTTTCTGGGTCCCAACTATCAATACCACCAGCTTCGAAAACGCCTACCGTGAAATCGGGCGGCAGCTAGGCATTCCAGGACTCGACAACGATCAGGCGGATGTCAAGACCTTAGTGAAGCTAGCACTCAGCAGTGAAACTGCTGGCCCATGGCTATTGGTGATTGACAATGCCGACGACAAGGAGCTCTTGTTCGGCGATGAAGGCCTCTGCAAATATCTCCCGTTCAGCAGGAAGGGTTCAATTCTATTTACCACGAGGAATCACGAGGTTGCATCAAATCTGGACATCCCAACGACGAATATCCTCAACATGGCCGAAATGAACAGTAGCGAGGCTACGCAGCTCCTGCACAACAACTTGAGAGAGAGTCAGACACGCGATATGCAGAGTCCAGGAAGCCTTGTTGCTTGTCTTGCTTATCTTCCATTGGCTATCAAGCAAGCATCCTCGTACATGGCCAAGACAGGGATGTCGACTACCAAGTACCTCGACTACTTCCGGTCCGGCGATAAGACTCGAATTAAGCTACTGAGCAGAGATTTCGAGGATCGCAGTCGCTACGATACCATCCGAAACCCGATAGCTGCAACCTGGATCATCTCGTTCGACCACATCTTGAGAGACGCACCACTCGCTGCAGAGTACCTGAAATTTATATGCCTCCTCGCCGAGAAGGATATTCCAGTTTCACTACTGCCTCGAGGAGAGGATGACCTTGCGGCAGAAGAGGCAATAGGCACGCTGAAGGGCTACGCATTCATCACTGAGCGGGAAGACTCAAGTTCTTTCGATATCCATCGACTTGTCCGACTAGCCATGCGCAACTGGCTAGAGGAGGAGGGGGAGTGGACACAATGTTTTACGATCGTGATTCAACAGCTCGCAAGAGTGTACCCAACCTCACAACATGAGAACAAAGAGGTATGGACAGAGTACCTACCGCATGCCCAGGCTTCACTTGAGGGTCGAGGCGAATGTAAGGATGAAAATGCTTTGCACAGACTTCTTGCCAGGGTTGGAAACTGTTACGGTTACCTCGGAAAGTTGCAGGTAAGTATGGAGATACAACAGCAGACACTGGAGCTCAGTACTAGGGTCTTCGGCCCAGAACATCCCAATACACTCGGCAGTATGAATAACCTTGCAATAACGCTTAGGAAGCATGGCAAGTATGTTGCTGCTAAATCGATGCACCGGCAAACGCTGGAGCTTAGGAAAAGAATATTGGGCCCAGAACACCCCGGTACACTTGCCAGTATGTATGGCCTCGCGTCTGTACTTAGCAGTCAACGCAAGTATGTTGCTGCTGAGCGGATATTGCAGCAAACACTAGACCTTCAAAGGGTGGTACTGGGCCCAGAGCACCCCGACACACTCAGAAGTATACATGGCCTTACACTTTCCCTTGAGATGCAGGGCAAGCATAATACTGCCGAGCAGATATTTCAGCAAACACTAGACCTTCGAAGGGTGGTACTGGGCCCAGAGCACCCCGACACACTCAAAAGTATGCATGGCCTTGCGGTTTCCCTTGAGATGCAGGGCAAGCATAATACTGCCGAGCAGATATTTCAGCAAACACTAGACCTTCAAAGGGTGGTACTGGGCCCAGAGCACCCTGATACAGTCGAAAGTATGCATAGCCTTGCGGTTTCCCTTGGGATGCAGGGCAAGCATAATACTGCCGAGCAGATATTTCAGCAAACACTAGACCTTCGAAGGGTGGTACTGGGCCCAGAGCACCCTGATACAGTCGAAAGTATGCAAAACCTTGCGGTTTCCCTTGAGAGCCAGGGCAAGCACGATACCGCTGACAAGGTGTGCCGGGGTGAACCGGACTTAACTGAGAGGATACTGGTTGATGAGCACCCCAATACGCCCACACCGAGCCTGTAGAAGGGATACCACGGAGAAGTTAGTCTTCAATTGAGTGTACTTGAGCCGATTTGGAAGGTTTGGTATCACGGGCAGAACATGCAACTGAGATTGAACAGTGCAATTGTGAAAACCGCAAATCGTGCATCGGCCTTGTTGAAATTCTCCATGTGCGGCATATCATGACAATATACTTAAGCATTCAATCATAAAGCCCAACCAGTCTATTACACCCGTAAATCCATTCGAGTTCATTGGTCGAAGTCACCGGCGTACAAAATATCTCCACGCTCGCCATTCATCCTCTCCCAGACAGATCGCTCATCCAGAACGTCCCGTTTCTCCTCATCTCCTGCCTCGGCCAACTCCTTCGCCGCGTTCTCACGCTCAATTTGAACTGTAAATGTCAGTACGTAGATACGCGCCTAGAGTGAGGATTACTTACCGTGGAGGAAAACGGCCGTTCTCTTTCCGCTGAAGAGCGCGTGGGGAACGTTCGTCACGTTGTCTGAGTTGGCGTCTCCGACGGCATAAACACCACGGATGTTGGTCACCAAGCCAGCTGTGGAATTTACTGCAAGTCTTCCGCCCCAAAGATCAACTCCCATGTTCTCTCCAACCTCGGAAGCCTGCTCCTCGGGGAAACTGCCCAAGAACGCCGCTCGCTCAACGGCCGGTCCCTCGGGGAACTTGACACTGAACAGATCAAACTCCGCGACGCTGGGCAGGCTAGGGTCCTCGTTGCCGGAGGTCCCCTCTTTAAGACGCTTGATCTCGGAGATGGTGCGGTTCTCAATCTTGACCTTGTGGATCTTGAGATACTTCTCCCACTCGGGGCTCTTCTTTTCCGTAGCGGCGCGCAGCTCGGGTGTATCTGTGCCATTGACAAAGGCAATGATATCCTTGTTCAGCGTCAAGATCTCGCGCACAAGGTTTGGGACTTTGTCGAGACTGGCGAGCAATCCCAGCGGCTGGTCCGCATGCTCATGGCCGTCACACCAAGGACACCAGTAGATGCCCTTGCCCCAGTTGGCTCGAATTCCGGGCGTCTTGGGGAGGATATCATGCAAGCCAGTGGCCAGGACGATTTTGCGGGCGGAAACAGTCTTCGGCCCCTCGGAGAAGACGGCCGTCACGGCAAATTCAGTGTTGTTCTTCTCCGGCTCGATCTGGATGACAGTTGCATTCACCATCTTGACGGTGTCATAGTGTCTCAGTTGTTTCCGCGCCGCCCATCTATAGTAGGCCGGAGTCACACCTATACCAAGTCAGACAATACTCCAGTGGGTTATCAGGTGATGAACATACCATCAAAGCCAATTACATCGTGCATGTGGCGAGTTGGACCATTGCGATAAATTCCAGAGTCCAGCAGAAGGACGTTGCGACGCACGCGAGCAAGTCCGCTTAGAGCGCTGAGTCCAGCAGGACCGCCTCCGACAATGATGGCGTCGTAAATTTCAGACTCGACCTCTTCTTTCGGAATGGCTGCAGCATTCACGAGAGACAGGAGAGCTGCGAGAAGAAATGATTTGAGGAACAGCATCTTTGTAACCTATTTCTGTGGTTGGGATTGATGGGAGTACGGAATTCCCAGCAGCTTTGGAAAAGAGGATCTTATAGTAATGAGCTCCCGCAGATGGACCTGGCCTAGAGGCCATCAAGACATGACACAAGATGGAGATGCTCTGAGACAAGGTTGGGAGGATGCTACACAGCGCACCAAGACACAGCTGCGATTGATTCGACTAGAATGATTCCGAGACACGGCGGTATTAACGGTTCTCACCGTGGTCGGCAATTGTTGATCCAGTATGAGCAACTGAGACACGGGATGGGATCAGCTCCCTCGCCTCCGCCATTCTTGCCTGTCCGGTTGTATCCTTGACGGTATGGACCGAAACGGTGTCACGGCATACCCGCGATGCATGAGTTATCCCGCTTCTCCGCCGAGCGAGCAAAGGTGCTCAGATAGCGCAGTTCCCGTCTGCAAAGCGATGGCTGGTGATTTGATTGCATGGGACGTGTCCGACTCATTTGCCAGGGATTCTCTACGACAGCAAGTGGGGATCGATCTGCCGGTGACTCCGGGATCTACGGTACATGCAAGGGCCGGGTGGATGCAGGCTGGAGCTGAGAAGCAAGGAGGAAATATGCATAACGATACATGACTTAACTGGCCGAGCATGTATACCCAGATGCGAGATTAGAGAGAGTTTACCGCTTCCTTACGAGTCAGTGAGGTGCGGCTCAGACCAGCGGGCTTCCCGAACGCCGTGGCTGGGAAGGTTCCGACCGAATCGGATGTAAGCGATGCGATAAGGACAATCCCATAATTGCTCTGGCCATTGAATGGAATATCGTATGATCGATTATGTTTGCGTATCTCTCACCATACTATTCAGTACATATCAGCTCGGTCCCCGCCGTGTCTTGACCTACATCAACGTACACACGCTAACCTACAGATCACACAAATACAGCACTGCAGCCAACATCGGATTGAAAACTCTGTCGATACTTTCCCAACCGTGCCACAGATGACTGCAGGTCGGCTTCACCTAAGTTTGCAGCGGTATTTGGCGGAAATGCCAGGGCGAGCGGGATCTGCCGGTGGAATATAGCGGCCCGAAGCCCGCCCGCATCTCGGTAGTACACCTACGGATCGCCGCAGCTTGCGAAAGCAGCGTCGATCTTTGTGTCATGCTGACCCGCGTAGAATAAGGGGGACGAGCTGGCGTGAGACGTTGGCTGTGTGACTGGGATTGTTTGGACGTCGGTCATAGACAAAGCCAGAGCGCAAGACAGCGGCATTTAGCGGCTCTAGTCGTTGATGTCCCGGCCGAACGGCGCCGTCGTCGGCCTTATTCTTCACATCTACACCATTAACACGGCGCACGAAGTAGCGTCAAAGTAGATCCCAATAAATGGCCAAATGGCAATCAGCAATGTCCATTTCCCAAGGTTTTACGATCGGAAGTTTGCACTCGGTACGCGTATTGTTTGAGTTCGGGGCTATTCCACAACTAATCTCGATGACGCACATGGCGACGGTATCCTGCGACTTTTATTTTCCATGTTTTTTCCGGGTGATAACTCCAAAGGCAGCATTGTATCGAATCAATTTCAGTCAGAGTGCATCCTCCCATTCATCCTCTCCAATTGTCGAAGCGTGGCCGAATTCGACCTTTTCGTATTCTCAGCACCGATTTAGGCCTCTTCTCCGTTCTGGCCAATTCGAATACGTCCCTCGGTACCGAACCCGTAGGACCAGTAGCCTCCCACCTCGGTGGTGGTTTCGCGATACTTGCGCGAGGCAAACAGCAGCCAGAAGCCGAGAACGGCCTTGCTCAAAACATCAAGCACGCCGTATGTGATGATTTCGGTATCGACCGAGGTCTTCTTCGCGCCGGCCGCAACGCCCCACACACTAATTGATCAGCTGCGTTCTTCGGCGAAGGAGGGAGACTTACACGAGATAGATGGCCCAGAGAATGAGAGAATATACAGCAAGGGAACCGAATAGCTTGGTAACGTTGTTTTCCCTGGTATTTGCGACTCGAGTGCCTTGGACGACAACGTGCCAAACGACAAACAGGTAGGCAATGCAACTGATGGCATACCAACCCCATTTCTGGCCCGGGTGAACATGTCCAAATGCAGAGAACGTTGCAGTCAAGGTCATGATTAGATTCGCCACGACCGCCATGAGGGTATGAGCTCCGTCGATACCAGCAAGCAAGAACAGCTCGAATACAATGAGCGGCATCGTCAGGCTCCAGTCGATGTAGCGAGCCCAGAGGACCTGGCGACACACGTCGAAGTACGTGTCGGGTACATGCTTATGGTGCTCCCTCTGTGCGGTGCAGTTGTAGGCCGTTGTCTGGCCCGAGGCCATGGCAAAGTACGAGATGGCCGAGATGAGGGTGGTCAAGGTGGTGATGACATGGAAGACGCGGCGGGACACGGGGATGTTCCAGGACAGCAGTGCAAAGACGGCCGACGAGATGACCATCAAGGCAAAGACCACCCAGAGAGCTCGAACTCCGTCATGGCTGGCAGTTTGGTACTCGTCCGGCGTGGCTAAGAGGCGAATTAGTATATTATGTCTTCATCGTTGCTCGGCAGACATACGGAGGACGGTGGGGATAGGCCCGACGATGGGGTGTGTTGGCTGTAATGCAAGCATGTTTTCGAGTCTTGGACGACGAGAACGTCGATATCTGTAAGACGTACAAGCAAGAACAATAGAAATTTAATCGCGTGAATTGGGGTGATGAATTTTTATATGAACGGCCTTAAATGACAAGTCAACATAGACCCCTCACCGTTGGCCAACGCAAACGTCATCCATGACAACTCGACTGACAATGGATCGCTCGGAGCCTGTGGCGATGCGGGGAAAACCCAGGAACGCGAATTGTCTGGACAGAGTCGGACGTTGATAGCGTCACCATCACGTAATCCTGAGCGTTGAGAGGATGACAGGATTTTCGCATCATAACAATGCCTGTTGTTGTCGTATGGGTGACGGCCGGCAGTTGGATTCGTTGGGGGTGAAGTCCAAGCGGAATACCGGATGGCGATGCGACGGTGGATTAATTGCGATGCGGTTGCCGATAGGGTAAATTAGTGAATGGCGCAGCACCGATAGAAGTCACCTTAGACATCGAATTTGATGGAAACAGACGTGAAGAGTGTCAGTGCAACTGGGATAAATAACTGACGCGGATGGAAAATGACAGAAGTCAAACTGCACTGTTATACGGAAACTCGATTAGACAATGATCCGTATTCAGGAGAGTGAGATCGCTTCTTCTGCGTTAAAATGCAGTCACTAGGTAGAAGCTTTGTGGGCGACGTCTGTGTCTAGGTAGTGCGTGGTGCGTCGCATCTAGGGTATGCAACCACATATATCAATTCGGGCTCGAATCCCACAGCGTATCTCATATCATGTGAATTAACAACAGAGGGCGGGGAAAATAGGATGCTCGCTTTATGTCCCTCGAGTTGCAATGCAAGGTCAGCAAGAACACCGCGGAAGACCTGTATCCGTGTGGAAGCCTACCCGGAGGTCCCGGGCACACCAAGTCATCAAAGGGTTGGAATACGTGAACCGTTATTCCTTTTTTTTCAGCTGGGTAACGTAGAGACTTGAGGCAAATGAATATGATGGGTGTTATTGGAGAGAGGCAATGGTGGTACGGCAGAGATGATGTATGTATGAAGAGCACCGGATCACCCCCGGTGAGAATAGGCAGCAAGACAACCGCCACAGTGGAGACTTGGACTTCAAACACGTTCAATGACGAGCGATGTTTGTAGATTGTGGGAGTTGGGATTTTATCAGGCAAGGGTTGTTTGTGCTACGAGTGACAGCACGGGTGGGCAGTCAGCCAGCCTCTTCCTCAGCGTCGTCAGCATATGCGGTGTATGGCTGTGCGGTGTATGGCTGTGCGGTGTATGGCTCACATGTGCAACTTGGAGATGGTGAAACAAGGCGAGTCATAAATACCTAAGTCAGGCAGTGGGAAGGGAAGAGAAGTAGACGGAGGAGAGAAGCGGCGCATGTGCTCCGGGGCGACATGTAGAGGCAGAGGGACAAGAAAGCAGGAATCAACAATGACGCCGACTTTTCCGCGATGGCCTAATGCATCGGGTATCACAGGCAAAACAAGGACACCAGGAGGCGGAGGCCATCAGACCACCTGTTTCTTGCTACCCCATCTCCCCCATCCCGTCCAGCTCATCCATGCCACACTCATCAGCAGTGGGGACCCCGGATTTCAGTTGCGGGCGTGGAGCCGAAACTTCGGGCCGGCCCCGTGCGGAAAGGTGAGAAAATATATGCACGCGCTTCACTCTCTCGTGAGAGAATTAACCGGGGTAATCTTTGTGTGCATCTTGGGGGGATCCAGTCATAAGTGCGGGTGGTCGAATCCCTCCCCAGAACGACCAAGAGGGCAGCTGAAGCCATCATCATCCGGTGATCGGATACAGGCGCTGTGACATGTGAAAGCGCGAAACAGCACGAGCAAAGGCGTCTGCACCAGCGGCGGTACCTACATCATAGCGCACAACAGCCCGGCAGGCATGTCCTTGCGGGGAGTTGGGCCGCTACAAGCGCTGGCCGCCGTCCAACACCACACATTCCGGTACACCCTCCACTCCCTCCTTCGGCTGATGGTTAGAGCATCCTGGGGTGGGCCACGTGCCCCTGTAGAGGCTGCGTCAAACATGGCACCGCGCGCCCGCCATTGGCCGCCGGCAGCGGTGTAGCAGCCCAAACCGGGGAGCGGAGGGCTCGTTTGGGGGGGTCAGATGGGCGCCGGGGGGGGGAGGTGTCAGAGAATTTTTGCAGCGGACATGGGCCGCCAGGTGACATTCCACAGGGGGGACGAACTGCAGGCTGCCCACTGGACGGCCCCCCCCTTGGGACGGCCCCCCCCTGGGACTGCCCCCTGGAAGCGACGCTCCCCACGAATCTGCGGAGCGAAATGGCGGGGAAGGCTGCACGTAGGCGAACACCCCACAGAGGTTTGGTCATGGGCCTTTGTCAGATTGCCAATTCGTCCATCTACGAATGACAGCAGCATCAACTCGAGTCAAGTTGGATACTGAATTAGTGAATGCCCCGTACGCGCTCAATATCTGTCTGCATAGCATTTGTCTCACCATCTCATCGCTTCTCTCTGCGTCTCCGAGACAAACCGCTGCTAGACAACCCGCAAAGACGTCATCCCAGCCACCGCTGCGGATACTTCTGCCACCTTGGTAGCCCGCTCATCGGCCCCTCGGCCCCTCGCTTCCCCGATTCTCAACCCTCAACCACCATCCCGCCCGTATCCTACACCTCCCCCCGAACCTCCCAACTCCCTATACCCGTTCTAAATATACCCAATCCTGCCTCTAGTTTGCCTTCAATCGCCCTCTGCCGTTCTTCGCCGCCCTCACGCTCCTCCGACCGACGCTCCTCCACCGCGATCCCCTCTCCTTTCATCCGCGCGCGCATCGTCGTCCACCGCTCCTCCGTCATGAGGTAACGCGCCGCCGCCTCTCGCCCCCAGACGTCCTCAAGGCGTCTCCCAAACATACAGTCTGCTCCGTGCTGGGACTCACCATGGCCGACCTGCTTGTCCAGGCCCGCTCCGTCCCGGCAATCCACTCCAAACCCAACAAGTCGGCCGCAAAACCAAACACCAAGGCCAAGAGACCGCCCTCCTCCAAGCCTACTCCCGCTCCCGGCGTTGTCGCCACCCTCCAAAAGGCTCTCAAGGACGCCAATAATGCATACCAATGGTGCAAGGACGGCTTGACCGAGCAGGAGCGGGAGCGCAAGAGGCTCGTCGAGCAGAGGCGCCAGATCCTGTGCGCCAAGCTGCAGGATGTAAGTCGCCAGCCCTCTCCATGAACCTCACTGACAAGACCAGGCCGACACCAGAACCCAATGGGATGCAGCCGCCCAAGAACTCGACGTCCTCGAAGGAAACGAAGAGTGGAAAAAAGACTCCTCGACCGGCGACTATAACCCCGACCTCATCGAGGAGCGCCTCCAAGCCCTCGACAAGGCTCGCGCCAACTGCGATACCCGCACCATGATGCACCTCATCCGTACCGCCCTGTCTCGAGATCTCGGCGGTATGGATAACGTCGACTTATACCGCCACTCCTACTCGGGAACCAAGCACCTCATCGAGCGCTACGTCGAGTCCACCATCCAGACCATCGAAGCCGTCGTCACTCAAAGCCAACTCGACCACGGCATTGAGCACCGCGACTTGCTCGATGGCATCCTGTTCGCCCGCCAGAGCTACGGCCGAAGCGCCCTTCTCCTGTCAGGCGGCGGCACCTTTGGCATGGCTCACATCGGCGTGCTCAAGTGCCTGTTCGAAGCCAAGCTCCTGCCGAGAATCATCTCTGGCGCCAGTGCCGGGAGCATCGTCTGCGCCGCCATGTGCACACGCACCGACGAGCAGATTCCGGAACTCATCAAGGAGTTTCCCTACGGAGACTTGTCCGTGTTCGAAGACCCAAGCGGCAATGACGGCGTGTGGGACAACCTGCGCCGCTTGCTAACAGAGGGCAGCTGGTCCGACATCAAGCACCTCTCGAGGGTCATGCAAGGGTTGATAGGAGACATGACCTTTCAAGAGGCGTATAACCGCACCCGCCGCATCCTCAACATCTGCGTCTCCACCGCCTCCGTCTATGAGCTCCCCCGGCTTCTGAACTACGTCACCGCTCCCAACGTCATGATCTGGTCGGCGGTGGCGGCTTCATGTTCAGTGCCGCTGGTCTTCAACGCCTCACCGCTGTTGGTCAAAGAACCGGCCACTGGCGAGCACAAACCGTGGAACCCAACTCCCCAGCACTGGATCGACGGCTCCGTGGACAACGACTTGCCCATGACCCGCCTCTCCGAAATGTTCAACGTCAACCACTTCATCGTCTCCCAGGTGAATCCGCACGTGGTACCCTTCCTTTCCAGAGACGATCACCTCTCACCAACCGGGCCGCTCGAGCGTGATCGCTCAACCCGAACCGATGACCTGGACTGGGTCTGCACTCTCACATCCCTAGCCAAAGACGAAGCCCTGCATCGGTTGCATTTCCTGGCCGAGATTGGCATCATGCCCAACCTAGTCACCAAGTTCCGCAGTATTCTTAGTCAGAAATACTCGGGAGACATCAACATCCTACCTGAAATCAACATGAACGACCTGCCGCGGCTGATGCGGAATCCCACCAGCGAGTTTATGATTAGAGCTTGTCTTCTCGGCGAGCGTGCCACATGGCCCAAACTCAGTCGAATACGCGACCGCTGCGCCATCGAACTAGCGTTAGATCACGCCGTCCATCGGCTACGAGCCCGCGTCATCTTCTCCGAGAGCCAACGAGACCTCCGACGGATGCACACCGGGAGGGGGAAGCTCATGTTCAAGGGCCCGGAACCGCCCATGGCCAGCAGCGTCGTGATGGGATCGAGTCTGGAGATGAAGTCGTACAAGCGTCATCGCCGGCAGTCGGGGGGTAGCCTCCAGCTCGCCGACCGGTGGAATCTCCTCGACAGCGCCATCACCGACGATGAGACGGAGCAAGAAGAGCGTCTTGAGATGCAGTCACGAAGGAGTCGGGCCGGATCGCCCGTCGCGCTGCGCAAGCCTCGTCTCAAGCGTGCCTCGCGCAGCCAGATTCACATTCAGATGCGAGAATTGCACGTGAACCTAGCGGAAGTCGACGACTGCGATTTCGGCGTCGACTTTTCCAAGCCTCTGACGCCACCCTCTCACCTCCAAGCCAGAGACAAGATAGCCCCGAGCATCCAAGACGTGGTGCTCGAGGAATCTGGGACGGCTACTCCCGATCCTTGGTCTGACCATACCTGGCGGTCGAGGGGCAACTTTACGTCTCCCGCGGAAGATGCAGAGACGAGCGAGGCGTATCATTCCAGCGATGGAATTCGGGAGGACACTGACGCAAGTGACCCCGAGCCCTACGAGGCACAGCCCAGAGACGACCCGTCCAAATCATCACAAAGCTCCGGCAACATCAGTCCGTTCCGGCCAGAGGAGCGGGCGGGGTGGGTGCTCTGGGACTGATCCGAGGCCAGATGCGACCAAATGCAGGTAGACACACGGCGGTAGAGCATATCTGGCGAGGCGGCTACACCCTCGCCTTCATTTCAGGGTAGCATCTCTGCGGGGTGCATGGAAGTTTGGAGTTGGATGGGTATTAACGTTGCATGGCACGGCGAACAGGAGGCATCAGGCTAGTTCACGGGAGATCAGGTCATCTGGGGAACTGCAGGCGGGGGAAGCATTGGGCGTTAGATGGAGACTCGGCGACATCACCAAGACTGTTTAAACGCGCACATTTCACATGAACCATTGAGTGCAAGCTCGTGACTGCTGGCATGTGTTTGGTGGTTGCATCGTAGACGCCGCAGCATGTGAAAGCGGCTACTCCAAAACACGTCGGTCACTTGAGATGAAGGGATGAGCCCCGCCGCTCACTCACCGAGATCAAGTAAATTTAGAGTCTGAGGCAATCCGCGATTCATAGTTATATGGAACCAACAATTATGACGAACAAGTAAGGCGAATGAGCAAGGTGAAGAGGATCCGTCCCCGAAGGAAGAAACGAGGCAGAGATTGGACCCCGCCATCACCAACCAGGGCACAAGTCCACATTCAGCAGAATAATACAAATAACAACCACGGGGAGATACATCGAATTCTTATCTAGTTCTTTGTAAATTTGATGTTCACGTTAACTAGATGCACCGGTATTCACAAAAAAAAACTCAAGTGACGCTCCGGTATTACGCCCCCAGCCCACAACGATCGATAATTGCAACTGCATTATATCTCCACCGCCAGTGAAGAAGCGTAGGTCAAACCCACATGTAAAAAAATGGCAAAAAAGAGTAGATGAATACGAATATTCGCCTGCATTGCGACCACGCCAGGAGTCGAACCTAAGGAGGAATGTTAACCAGTGCTCAAGCGGAGTGTTGATGCAGATACGGGAACTAACCTGGAATCTCTAGAGAATGGGGAAATCGGTAGACCGAAATCTAGCGCCTTAGCCATTAGGCCACGCGGCCGATGGAAAATTGGCAAAATATTGCGGTATATACAGTCCTGGTGGGTTGTGAGAGGTTTTGACCCCGCTGTGGAGTTTTGTGGTGATAGTGGGGCCAGCTGGGAAGGTGCGGATGAAAGAAATCGGCTAGATGTGAATTAAAATACGATTAAAGTGTAATTGAAACACAGCCGGGTCTTTGGTTCCGATTGCGCTTAGGGTGAGGAAGAAGGATACTTGGTTTTAATTCTGAGTTTCAAATACTTTGTTTTTACTCCAAGTATACTCTCCAATGGATATTTGTCAGTGGTTTTGCGGTAGTGCTGGAGAGTTGACAGTGGAACGTAATAAATGCAGACTGCAAGGCATAATACTTGTGGTTAGAGTATACATTACCAGGTTACGTAATAGTCAGGTATAAAGAATAAGTTGAAATTTAAAACTTTCCCTGACCGTTTGTTTGTGACTATTATCTCTTGTGGCATATATCCTCGTCTTTTATATGCTATCACGAAGAGTGGCACCAACTAGCGCAACATCAAACGGGCGAGCCGCATCGCGGTGACAACTGACATAGCCACTAACAGAGGAAGAAAATGGCGGTCAAGAAGGAGATAGCTGTATAATTAGGGGTCCAAGCCATCAAGTTGCTAAACTAGATCTTTAGCCTGTTCCGCCACCGATTCATGAGACCTCGTTGAGACCCCCTACATTGTTAGTGAGCCGGACCCGCTTTCAACTGCACAGCGAAAAGGCCTCCAGGTTACCCTATACCACATCCGGTCTTCACACCGATATTAGAAGCGCTTGACATGATATAATAAGTATCCCGCCTTGTGTATGGCTGCGGGGCCGGACGGCTCGGGCGGGAGCATAGTATCGCTCCGGTGAGATGGTCGGTAATCTTGAGGATGTCGGCGGGGTTCGAGAGCCAATCTAGCGGGAGCTCGACTTGGCAAGAACGAGACGAGGGGGAGGAGCACCTGCCGTTGGCAGGGATGGCCGACTACGCGATGTGATGCAGAATTGTGTGATGGGCTTGGCTCTCGAGGCAGAAGCAGCAGCGCGGCACTGGCGCAGCATGGAACTGCACCTCATGCGCTAATATGCCATGATTTACGTGGGGTGTAACTTATCATGTAGCAACCTGAATACAGCTTGCAGTCTACGGACCAGGTCCCCCCAAACGAGCAGTGTACAAGTAAAGCCGAATATACGAATAATACCCACCGGCATGGGATTCCCGTGGTGTCCAGCGAAGCCAGATACCGTGTCCAAAACGCTGTTGCCCGGATCCGGACACATTCCTCGCTCACACACAGCCACTGAGACGACTCGCCGACTTCCGACGCATCTCACGCAACCCCGCCCCGAGGACCCAGACGCCCAAAGCGCTTGGGTGCCAGCCAGGCGCAGGGGGGTCGCCCGTGGCGGCGAATTGGAGCATCTGCAGGCGTCGTTGCGCCGCACCGCGCGACGATTGCGTCAGGGACACGGCGATGGCAGCATTGGCGCGCTGGATGGCACAATGGCCTCGGAGTGGCCAATGGCGACGCCCGCGCAGCACGCAATCCGCCGCCTTGCCGCTTTGGGGTCAGTGAGGGGCAGCAGCTCTGGGCGAGTTCGATGGTGTCTGGACACTTTGAGGCTGCGCGTTTGGGCGAGTTGAGCGCCGCTGCTGCTTGTTTGGTGGTGGATGGTGGTGATCAATGGCGCAAGGGAGGGGGAGGGGTGTGTCAATTTTTTATTTTCTTGTCGTGGTTGATGGCGGGGTTGAATGCCGAGACAGAGCTGGAGGGGTTGAACTAGCGCGGGGTTGTTGTTCTCGAGCTTCTGGGCTGAGACAATAACAGCTCTGATCTGGCTTCAACATGCCAGAGTGCGCCGGTTTCAGCAGTTATGGGATCTGGAATTTGGCAGAGGACAAGCGTATCTATTCTTTGGTATTTCCCAACCTATCCGCCGTGAACAGATGCACGAGGCAGCACGGCAAACCTCTGGTGGTGTGGTGTGATCGCCCGTAAGCCTTCCCGCTTTGTCCAACCCGTCGCCGCCCCCATGTCTTGGACGGGTGCGAATATCACCGCAACAGTGAGCTCCCCATCAAGCAAGGCACTTAATCGACATCCTCCTCCGTCTCCGTGGCGGGGGCGTGGCGTGGGTGCGCAATCGGCGCTGGGCGGGACGTGTGAGGCGTCGCCGTAGCCAGAATGCAGCTTAGAAATCTTGGACGCTGTTCGGGCTCTTCTTCCAACCAAGCCAGGCCAAGCCCAGGGGACCAGCAAGGTTCCGTTAGGTCCCCGTTTCTTTCCATTGCCGGCACCTGTGTTCACGGAGTTCGTACCGGCCACCTCGGGGACCCCTCCTCTTGTGTCTCGCTCTCTGTCTCTCTGTCTCTGGTCTATATAAGCCGCCCCCGCCTGAGCTACGCGGAGCTTCCCCCTCTCCCTCTCCTCCTCCCTTCCCTCCCAAGCTCTCCTTCGATACCCTTCCAAGTCAAATCACTTCTCCCCCGTCTTTAGACAAACACCCACAACACCTCACAATGGCTGCTCCCGCTCCCCTCCGTCTGGGCTCCATCGCCCCCAACTTCAAGGCCGAGACCACCCAGGGCCCCATCGACTTCCACGAGTTCATCGGCGACAACTGGGTCATCCTCTTCTCCCACCCCGAGGACTACACCCCCGTGTGCACCACCGAGCTCGGCGCCATGGCCAAGCTCGGCCCGGACTTTGCCAAGCGCGGCGTCAAGCCCATTGGCCTGTCCGCCAACACCATCGAGTCCCACGAGGGCTGGATCAAGGACATTGCCGAGGTCACCGGCGGCAACGTCACCTTCCCCATCATTGGCGACAAGGAGCGCCAGGTTTCTCTCCTCTACGACATGTGAGTTTTGCTCGGTAGCCGTCTGAAGTACGGGCAGAGTCATGAAAACACCAACTGACATTCCCCAGGATCGACCAGCAGGATGCCACCAACGTCGACGCCAAGGGCATTGCCTTCACCATCCGATCCGTCTACTTCATCGACCCCAAGAAGACCATCCGCACCATTCTCTCCTACCCCGCCTCCACCGGCCGCAACGCCAACGAGATCCTCCGCATCATCGACTCTCTCCAGACCGGCGACAAGTACCGCATCACCACCCCCATCAACTGGGTCCCCGGTGATGATGTCATTGTCCACCCCTCTGTCAAGAACGAGGAGGCCAAGACTCTCTTCCCCGAGTTCCGCATCGTCAAGCCTTACCTCCGATTCACTCCCCTCTCCAAGGACAAGGTTGCCGCCTAAAGATGTCTCATCCAGACTCTCTTTTCCCACCCTCCACCATATCATGATACCTAGCGGATGAGCAAGACAAGGAGCTGGGCTAGACGAGTTGATCTAGTACGACTGGCCCGAGGAGCTGCACAGAATACCAAGTGTCTCCGAGATGCAAGTATGGAAGGCGGCATGCCTCGGGTTTCGGAACCATCAACTCTCACCTAGTTCCTGTTTCGACCTCCCATAAAGCGGATGGGCCAGATTCAAGCCATAGTGCCCATAAAGAAAAAAAATAAAGAAAATGATCAAAAAGTCCCTTCGTCGATAAGCTGATTGACTGTGATATGATAAGAGGGGAAGATGCCAGGATGACAACAGCAAAGATGGCGGGATGACAGATGACATGCGTGATTTTTCGAGCTTACCCAACTTTGAACAAACTCGCTATCTCTTCTGAAGGATCAATCACCGTCACAGCTCGTCACATTTCAATTCTGACAGTCGTGGCAACCAACTAACCAAAGCTTACGCACCACGAGGCGTGAGCGCTTCGGACCGTCGGCGACGCAGTAGGATGTGTTTAGTGGGGAACTCGCCTTAGCTAAGCTGGAAGCTCCGCCCAAAGTGGACGCATGCGAGTTTGCTGACTGTTCTGAAGGATCCACTACTCAGTTTCATCTTCTGGAATCTCAACACTCGTTACTTTCTTCACTGGCTGTTGAAAACGATGCGTGGGAATTTAGTAGTTGCAGAGAGAGACCTGAAACTATGATCATGACGTGTTGGTGATGGGGAATCGACGCCACTGGCTTGACCTTGGCTGATGTTAGACGCTTTGCATAAACCTGGATCTCTGTCGTACAAACTCAATCGCCCCTTAGCGTAGTGTCGGCCACGACCTTGCTGACCAAAGTCCAGACTGCAAAGTCACCTCTCGCGCTTAATGCCCCTATTATAAGGCTAGTCGAAAGCATCGTCGTCTAGTTTTCTCACTGCCAGTCCTCACTTTGACGGCGGTAACTGTACAAACACACTCATCCTGGAAACGCACGCATCCTGGAAACCCACTGGCCATCATCTGATCCCAACTGTGCCCCCACGGAGCATCCCGTCCCACCCACACAGCGATGCCAAGTGAAGCAGATAGATTTCTCCCAAACTCAAATCCTCAAAGGATCCGACCATCAATGGACGGCGTGGCCGAGTCTCGATTCATGACGTTGAGTATCGAGACTCATCGTCGAACCGCGGATGCGGCACGCGGTTCCCTGCCCTGGTACGAGTAATCCCCCCTGTTCCCAACCCCCCGTTTGACTCGTCCTCCCCCGGCCGTCATCGGGGGGACTACCTTGGGGCCCGGGCGTTTGGGCATTGCGCGAGCCATGGCCCAAGCGAATGCTGACGGGGCCGGCGCCCGAGGCGAGAGAGAGAAGACACCGGGGGCCCTGAGAAATAGCGCTTCCAGAAATGTTCCTCCTATCCCGAATGCCCGGAGAAGCCACCTTATCCGGTGAGGCTTCAAGTCGCTTGACTCCCCGGGCACCCAGCTAGCCGCTGTTCCATCGTGGTGCTTGTCCTGAAACGACCCGGGGAGGCGGATCGGGGCCGGGGCTTTAGTGCTTCCGAGGGTTGTCTGGGAGAGCGAGCGTTGGTTACGTTGGTTACAGTTGGTAGCATTTTGTTCGATGCCACACGCGGTGCTGTGTATCCTCAGCCAGAACGGCCAGACGGTGGTGTCATCAACTCACGAAAGAGGACCGAATCGTCAGGCTCGTGCTTAATACGAGAAGTTTCGGTGAGGCCATACCAAGCTGCTGAACTGAGGTTTTGTCTCGGACACGTTTCCTTGGCGTAGTTTGGCAGGGGATTGATTTCCCACGTGGTGGACACGGAGTGGGTGTGCCAATGCGGTTCAGCCCCTGGCCTGGAGAAAACTTGGCAAATAATCCCTTGACTGGCTTCGCTCGCACAGGTTGTAAAGGTACTTGGCCATTAGTTCAAAGGACAGGACGCCAAGCTGTGTAGCCACAGGACAGCAGCACGAAACCCCCCGGTTTAGTGGTTGAATCCTGTGAGGCCAGGGCGGGTGCAGCGCAGTGGGGATATGGGAAGGTCGTCCGCACGGAGACGGACGAAACAAATGCCGGCAGACGTGATTGATCGCCATTACAGTACCAGCTGGAGCACTTAACAGAGAATCCCGGTGCTATACCGCAACGTCAGCACTGGAGACGACTTGTCCGCAGCTCTTCTCCCGGGCGCCGTGGTGAGCCGTAAGCAGCATCTCGTATTCCGGCGTCGTTTGTGTCGTCGTCTGGCGTTGGTCGGCCGAGTTGCATGGCGCGGCTGTTTCGACAGCTGGAACGTCGTTTGAGGACCCGGCCGCGGCGTGGAAAAAACAAAGACCAAACATGCAAACGCCGGGGTCCGGTCCATCCCGCGTTGTGCTGTGCCTCTTTCTGCAGCGCACAGCGCATTCTGGGCCGCCCCCAGTTACGTAGTAGGCCTAATGCAGCAGCCAGAGCGTGCGCTGGAGAAAAGCGCTCCAGGGGTCCTTGCGCCGTGCGTCCAGTGGGAAGTCTCCGACGGTGTGGGAGCGACATTTTGATGGCGTGAAGCAGCTTAGCGGCTGGAGGCAGTATGGCGGCGCGAAGGCAGTTTGGCGGCGTAAAACAGTTTAGTGGCGTGAAGCAGTTCGGCGGCGTGAAGGAAGCGTTCGGAGTATGGCCCAATAGGACTGAGGCAGCTGAGCAAAGCAGTCCTGTCTGTATGTGATGTGATGCTGCACACAATAGAATGCAGCGTCTAATGTCCGTGGAACTGTCCACTGAGCGCGGCGGGAAGGTGCGAAACCAACCTCCAGCTCCTCCAGCGTGGCTTCCGTCTGTGATTCCCATCTTCGGAGTCGGTGGCTCGATTGGTCAACGGAACAACCTAGCTGCCGCCTACCGCATTCCTCATGTGCATGTGTGACCCTCAACACCACAAGAAAACATCATCAGTAATCACTGGGTTTTGTCTTTTCTAGCAACACCGCCCACAAACGACGACCCAGAACCGAGAATCGCCATCACAATCTCCCATCTCCATCTCTATCACTCCTACCACCACCACCACCACCACCACCATTACCATCTCAATCGTCAGCCTCAACCGCCAAGCATCAAGCATCAAACGTCAGAGTGCTACATAGTACGCGCCGTTGCAACCCCCCGGCCTCCCCGACTAACCCTCATCAGGGGATCCGCTCCACCGTTTTGACCGACCAGAAAACGCACCACCACGTCCCTCCTCCGTGGGCGTCCGCGCTAACATTCAACCTACGCACCCTTGGGCCTCCCCCGACCCAGGCTGCTTCCAGGCTCGCCCAGGCTTCCCCTCCAATTCGTGTCTGTGCGCCCCTATCCCGCTACTTACGGCTCGACGCTACCGCTTCTTCGACGACGCTCCGCCAGGGGACCAGACGGACCCCAAAGAGGCTGTTCGGTTGTCTGACAGTCTGCACGTCTGTCACTTCAGCTGGGGGGCTTGCGCTGCACTGGCCGACTCAACCTCCGAGTGTGTGTCCACATCGCACATCGCCATATCCCTTCTCCAACGCACGGAAATTGCACACTGCAACCTCCTCGACCGATCGCCCCGTCCCGTCCCCGGCCTGCGCCTGCGCCTGCGGTCCCCTTCATCACTCAACCGTACCGGTACTTGGTACGTCTAGACAAACCCTGGTCAACACTGTCTGCCAGTCTGCCAGTCTGCCCGCCTGCCCTGCCTGCCAGCCGCCACTGGCCCCCAGTTCGTTGCTGGCTGCTCCAGTGCTCCTTGCCTCGCCCGTGCCGCGATCCCCATCTCGGCCGTTGTCTCCAGACCGAGCCTCAACCCCCGCGACCAGCGACCAGCGACTGGGAAACACGACGGACCCTCCCGTACGCCTCCTTTGCGCCTCGTCGTCGAGTTTCCGAGCCTCCGGCCCAGACCCAGACTGCGGCCCATTCTCCAGACCTCGTACCCTGCCTGTCTTGCCTCGCCTCGGCCATCTCCCCCCGTCTAGTCTTCGAGACCCATCTCGAGCGGTGACGTTCCCCGGCCCGCCTTTGCTTGGCTTCGGGTCGTGTTCGTGATAATCCGTACACCAGGGTGAGATCTCCCGTCTGCTGGTTCCTCTGATCCCTCTGCTGGTCCCGCCTGCTCTTCATGTGGCCCCGTCTTCTCGTCCTCCCCAGTCACCTGCTTTGCGTCGCATTGTCCTTACATCACCCCGCCATTTCTTCCCTTTCCTTTTCCTTCTTTCGTCCTTCGTTGTGCCAGTCCATGCTGCCCTGCACCCGCGCTGCGTCGCAACCAGCCGATCACCATGGCCGACCCTTCGGAACTGACTGTTAATCAGGATCCTCGTGCTCCCAACGACGACTACTCCACCTTTTCAGACTCCGAGGCCGAGGAACGACCCCAACCACGGACGACCAGTCGTTATACTCCCGATATCTTCTCCGGTGTCTATCGAGGTATCCGGAGGTTGCCATCCGTCAAGCTCCCCCGAAGTTCCTCAATCCTCGGCCTGAAGAGCAGTTCCTCGCCAGTTCCCGATACCACTCCTCCTCCCCCGCCTCCGTTATCAAAGACTCCCGAATCGTCAGCCATCCAGCATGTCCGAAACCTAAAACTCCAGTACAGTCTTGCGAAACCTCTACCTCAACCACCGCCCGAGTCTACGAGTCCGCTGCAGCCACCTGCAGCCAACGATCTGCCTATTGTTCTCGAGGACGACGACGACGATTTTTCAGATATTGATATACCCATTCCCACACCAACCGCCGTCATGGATAGCCGAACGAGTACCATGGATTCAAAAACATCGGCACCGCCAACTGCTCAGGTGTACGGCCAGGACCCCAATGCTCATGATATGAATAGCAGCGTGAGTAGTTTGTCGAGTCAGAGGCAGGACGGCTCAGACGAGAACCTGAAGCCTAGAAGCACTGGTTCTGCATCCGCTGGACCATCCCCGGCTGTGTCTCAGGGTAGAACGCCCACTTCTGTTGGAGGACCCTCCCAAGGTGGTCCGTCCACTCATCTTTCTGGTTTGATGTGCAATGTTCACCGGACTACGGGGCGTGAGCCGCACGCCCTTGTGGGAGCTACAACGACTATTCTTGGCGACAAGCTCTATGTGTTTGGAGGACGAATCTTGTCTAGAAGCCGACCTGCTCCTCTAACATCCGACCTGTACGAGCTGGATCTGATCCGGCGACACTGGACCAAGCTCGAAACGAGTGGCGATCTCCCCCCTCCCCGGTACTTTCACTCCATGTGCCCCCTGGGAGACACCAAGATGGTCTGCTACGGAGGCATGTCACCTGCCCCAAACCAGCCTGCTGGAGGCGATCCGCAGCAACCGGAAATCACCGTCATGTCCGACATTTACATATACGACGTCACCACCAAGATGTGGACCTTTGTTCCTACGCAAGATACTCCTCAAGGCCGATACGCCCATTGCGCTTGTATTCTACCCTCATCCGCTACGTTCTCTTCGCACCGTGCACCTCTTTCTGCGCTCCAACATAACCCCTCAACCGGAAACCCGAACGAGGGACGAATTGGAATCAACATTGTGGGTACAGGGGGCGCTGAAATGGTGATTGTGGGTGGCCAGGACGGTGGAAACAACTACATCGAACAGATCAGCGTATTCAACCTCCGAAGCCTTAAATGGACTTCAACTCAATCCCTGGGAAAGAGTTGTGGCGCTTACCGTAGTGTCGCTGCGCCCCTTACGCCTGCGGTTACATCCAAGATTGGCCGTGCGTACTCAAATGGCATGCATAACATGGAGGGTGGGATCAGCCAGGAATCCCGGGAGCCGGGGTCTTCAATGCTTATCTACTCCAACTACAACTTCCTCGATGTCAAGCTGGAACTGCAGATTCGGTCGTCTGACGGGACTTTGACGGAAAAGCCGATGACAGGAACCTACTCCCCGCCTGGTCTTCGATTCCCTAATGGTGGGGTGATTGACACCCATTTTGTGGTGAGCGGGACGTATTTGACGTCTTCTAAGCAAGAGTATGCTCTCTGGGCGTTGGATCTGCGGACCCTTACCTGGAGTCGTATTGATGCCGGAGGAAGCGTCTTTAGCCAGGGCAGCTGGAACCGGGGTGTTCTTTGGAACAGACGCAACACCTTTGTGATCCTGGGCAACAGAAAGAGAAGTCTCGTCGACGACTATAATCACCGACGCATCAACTTCTCTAATGTCTGCATGGTGGAGCTCGAGGCTTTTGGGTTTTATGATAACCCACGCAAGACCAGCCCCCTGTCGGGCTTCATCTCCGCTAGCTGTCCCTATGCCGGTCCTGGTCTGAGTCTTGCGCGCAAGGCTGGGTACACGGCTGGTGGTCGCTACCACTCGAGGGCGAGCGAGGAGCTGGGTGAGAAGGCGTTTACAATGCGCGAGCTGGCAGATATGGACATTTTGTGCATTGGAGGCGAGCGGATACCAGTCAACTCGAGGATCGTGGGACGACGATGGGGACCTTACTTTGTCCAACTGTTGAGGGAGGGGACGGCGACGCAAGATGGCAGTGATGCGATGACACTCCGTTCTACTCTGGCGAGCAACCCTCTGCGAGCTTCGGCCATTACGATTACGCCGAGTTCCAGGGCTGCCGAGAGTAATATTTCGATGGCTTCGACGCTTGTCTCAGGAGGCTCAAGCACCCTGCCGCCCGGGACAGCGTCGACGAGTGCCTCTGGTGGTGCAATGCCTCCCGGCGGTGATAACAACCCGAATGCAGCGCCCACGCCACGATCACTCCCGCCGAACTCACGACCCCGATGCCTCTACCTCCCGCACACGTACCTGACCATCCAAGCTCTGCTCCACTTCCTCTACACCAGTTCACTGCCTCCTCCGACATCTCCGCTCTGCACCCCTCAGATTCTGTGCTCGCTGCTACAGATTTCTCGCCCATATCGCATCGATGGCCTCCTTGAAGCCGTGGTTGAGCGACTACATGCCTTGCTGGATAGCCGAAACGCGGCTGCTGTCTTCAACGCCACTGCCATGGCTGCTGGTGGAGGCCGCGGAATCGATGGGTCACTCAACCCGAACTTCTTCGTTGGTGGCTTCGACCCGGTTGGGTCGCCGACTGCTACGTTGGACTTTTCCATGGACGGCACGGCTATGACTCCGTTCGTGAATGAAATCCAGAGTCGCACTGAGGGTCTCAAAATCAATACCAACGTGCAGAATTCGAACCGACCATCCAGCGATGAACTGTCAGCCAGCAGCACTAGCGCAAGCGGTTCGGAATGGAGCTCGTCGGAGATTGGAGGCAGCGAGAAAGAGACCTTTGTATGGAATGGTGAGCTCAGCAGCGTGATTGGGCTGCAGAAGCGAGGACTAAGGGGATTGATGGAGGGAAGAAGAATGAGGGAGCGTACCGGGACGGCTCCAGCTGCCACATCTGGACCGGGTTATGGTGGCGGCCCTAGCCAGCGTGTAGGACTCGGGATTGCAGGATCCTAGAGTGGTAATGATGGTGAAGGACAAGCATATGGGAGAAAAGGTGGACGCGAAAAGCATAGCAAGGGGATGTCATATCCAGACATGTAACGACTGACGGTCTACGTAGAAGGAGGAAGTCGACCCTGGACGAGTCGACGGAAGGAAATATCATGGTAGACTAATGGGATATGAATGACAACTTCAAACTGTGTCTAGTGGCACAAAAACTAACTGAACGGGGTCCGGATATGAAATGTTGTGGAATACCTCGAGAAGGGCTATGACGCAATCAGCATCCGGGTCGAAAGCTCCTGTGGCCTCTCCAGGGTTTCCAACTCATGAGGGTTGGTGTTATTGACCTCGTCAATACTTGATGTTCGAGCTTCGACGTTCCGTGCCTCAGCTACTTGCCTTCTCTTCGCCCGCTGGTTAAGGAACCAGAAAAGACCCGCCGCGGCAAACCCTACTGATATCCCAACCCCTACTCCTACACCTAAGCCGACATTGCCTGAGGATTTGGCGTCGCTTTTACTATCTGGCGATGGCGACGATCGGGCCGGCGGGGTTGTCGATACAGCCGTTGACAAGGCCGTCGAGGCTGGGAGGGTTGTGGCGATGCGAACTGGGCTGCGCGAAAAGACGGCAGTCGAGTTGCTGCAATTGCATCCGTCGGCGAGATAGCAGCAGAACTTGGACTCTCCGCACGGTATGACGCCGGTTCCTATTACTACTAAACAGCCATGTTAGCAGCCTTCCCGTCCGGCCGAGTCAATGCCATACAGTCGCACTCGTTAACGCAGGTCGAGGCGTTCCAGGTCGGGTCTGAACAGCCGTACACGTAGTAGTTGAGCGGTGCTTTTGCGGCACTGGGAGGGAGGCAGAAGCCGTTCGTAGCGCATGCGTCGCCTGGTTGGCAGCACGAGGCTAGGCCGTTGCCGTCGGCGGAACACGCAAGGAGGTCTGGGTTCTCGTTGCCGTCCTGGTCGTAGCACCTCGCAGACATGATGGGCGAGCGTTTGAGGATACAGGGAGTCCGCAGAGGGAGTCGAAGGGGTATATTAATACTACAATGTATCGAGTCTTCGTTTTCATTTGGTCCCTACCCGCCGTTACTACATCAGTTGCTGTAAGCGCTCTCAGCCTGACTTGACATTGTCGCCGTCTTAGTGGTCGCCTGATTTGACAAGAGTTCGACATTGCTTCAGCTTTCAGCCACCACGCTGACCGGTCAAGGGCAGCCGCGCAACTATCCAATGGCTGGGGGGGGGGGGGAGCGTGGGGTTGAAACATACACAAGAAGTAATTGAGGCCAACGGCGTTTCGCCTGGCTTGCTTATTGGGCAGTTCTAGACGCGGCGACGGCTCGGGTCGCTCAGGCTGTCTTGGTACGGGTCGTGGGATGGTGGTTGCTGCTGGAGAGTTCTACCCCGTGAGATTGAAATGCATACGTTGGATATGGTCTTAATAGCTATATGTATGGGACTTTTCAGCTGTGGCTTGCTATGAAAGGGAATCTGGACCTAATGGGTTGTCAGCACAAAGATGTATACATATACATATTCAGGAACCGTTTCTATCCGGCTACTTAATAGCAGAGTTGTGAAACTTCCAGAAACTGCCGTGGGCTTTCTATGCGAGGTAGCTCATGAATATTTGGCCTTGTTTATACTCGAACAATTCCTCTTCTCGCACCTCCTCTTCGCCCGATAACTCAAGAACCATAGAGTAGCGGGAACAGCCGACGCTGGTGATATATCGACGCCGAGTCCTCCGCCAGACTGATTGTGGAGCTGTTGTTGCTTTGCGATGTGCTGGTTTCGAACATCGAGCTACTGTTTTCGATGTTAAGTTTGATGAGAGAGGCGCTGTAGCGACGCTCTCTGGGGGGATTATAGTGACTTGAACCCGGCTGAGTGAAGAGGCTTCGGTGGAGGTGTTGCAATCGTATTCAAGGTCGGTCGTAGCGACAGGACTTGGAGTTTCCATTTGACTAAACGCCATTCTAACCTAGTCCTAAAAGAAATAAAATAAAATAATAACGGGTTCTGATTTGGATAGCCAAGGCGTGTCAAATAGCCTCGTCTGCAGCAATGATTATCGCTCCAACCCTTTTTCCTCCAGCCATGAACAACAATGTCTGTGCCACTCAGCGCCATGGAGAACCCATTAGTCACGCGGCCGTATCCTGCGTGCAGCTTGAAACGAGGCGCAAGAGATCAGCAGACCAGGCTACGAGGTCAAGGTCCTTATTACTGTAGTGGCTGTGTGTGTTGTGGACAAGGCAGGGTGACAATGTCACTGCATGGGACTTGGAGATCGAGATGTTTAAAGGTTCTACCTCCCATAAACGCCTCGAAATTCTGTCCTCGATTAGCCCCATGAATCTATACTCGGAAGAGGCCGACACGAATATCCCCGGTCGACAAGCCCGTGATTGGTTTGCTACCGAATTTGGGTCAAGCTCAATGTAAGGTGCAAGGACATGAAAGCGAATCAAGATGAAAAGGGGGCGAGGTGCAAGGAGACAGGTATAGACAATAGCTAAGTCTACAAATAGTCAAGTCTTCAAATACTACCACATTGTCTAAATTCTTTTCTCCTAGTTAAATTGCGAGATGAAGTGATTACCTGGATGCAAGTACCCAGTCAGATCTTCACGACAGCTTAAACTTGATAAATGAGGTGAATAGAGAGTGACTTTCCAATTTAAATACAATAAACCTCTTCTTCTTAATATGTCTCCTGTATTTTAGCTCAATATTTTACATTGAATATAGCAGTGACTATTTATATCATTGGGTAACCTTCATCTCGTTTTTTTTAGTTGCTGCAGCCCTATTCGTTCAAGTACTGAGCCGAAGAAAAAAAAGGAGTCAAAGTAAAGGAGAATCCAGTCCTCATATTCTTGATGTTGCCTTTTCGCTGATAATGGAGAATCATAGTCAGCAAACTGGCCTGTGCTAATCTCACCAGTCAATAGAGAATAGTCGGATGTTTCTTCAGCTATGCTAGCTTCAGCCTTGTGTCTGTTTAGGCACTCAAGTAGAAACTGCTTTTCGTTGTCTGTAACGGCAATATTGTCCAACAACATCTCGGCCTTTTTCTTTAGTGGCAAGGTATCAAGATGACTAGAGACTGGCAATTCAGCTTTGTGACCTTGGAAGCCATTGGAAGAAGAGACTTTGAGGATGATTGGTAGCCAACGGGTGATCGCAAGCTAGATGCAGCATCAGAAGCACATCTCCCATTCTGTTGGTCCGTGAGGGTGCGAACTCCAGGTCGTTTGTCTCGAATGTTCTTAGGGATTGCATCCAGCTCTTCCTGTTTTGGCTTATGTGAGTCAAGAGGCTTGTTGACGTCGGCCGATGATGTTACGATTTAAAAAAGCCGATATTCCAAAGATCTGTATGTATAATAGCTATCTTGCCTGGTTCATGATAGCAATGCATCAATAGATGGACAATTTATAACAACGTAGAGCGTAAGAATTCTTGCGTATTGTCATTGTTGATTCATCTGCTGTTTATGCTTCCGAGAGTGGGCATAGAAAATACCAAGTGTCATCCAACAACCGATATTTTCTTCGTCATTCTACTTCCACCATTCAACTCCATTCGGCCGCATGCTGCTTGCTAGCTTGGTTAGGTCCGGAGTTGGACTTGCAACCCCACCCCGAAAATTCACACACTCCCCCGAACATTCACACAGTACATTTGGGTTGCGAATTTCCACCTTCGCCGAAAATAGCCACAGGGGCCGATTTTTGGCACCACCTACTATCATCCTCCGTGATTTCGAGTAGTAGTAGTAGCATATTTAACGTCAAAGGGGGCGCGCTGAAGAGCTTATGGGGGATGAATTACTACAGCTTTATGAGAAAGTGCAGACAGTATAGGCTGAAATGAATAAAGCATTAACTTATCTCATTTAAGCTGTCTACATCATTTAGAGGGTTCTTAAGATGAAATGGGTGGATATAGTTTTATAAGGCTATGTTCTCTTAATGAGCTGAAAGACGGGCCGAGATCCCCAAGTAGGTGTTTCAACATTCCAGCGCTCGTCACTGGTATTTCGAACAAATAGTTTGATAGTTGGGACGTGGATAATGAAAAGGTTCGTGGCCACTATTTGACTACTTCCAATTCTAGGAGAAAAAGGAAAAACCAGCCCCGAACTCATTCGCCTGGCCTAACCCCATATCAGGAATTATTGTATTCCACCAGTCGCACTCCGATGACCCATAAAGAGACTCGGACTCCATCGATATGGCCTCAGTTGGGTCGTGAGGGCTTTGATTCTGGGCCATCAATGGGGCAGAACTGTCCACAGGAGGCTGGATTTCTTGCCTCTCCTGATTCAATGGCCAGTGTACCACTGCGGAACCGGAGACGTTTTGGACTTCTTGATGGTTGAAAGATCCCGACGTGGTGTTCTGAGAGTTTGAAGGAGATATTAGGCCAACTTCGACGTTGTTGGCAGTATTGACCGCCTGTTCCTCGTTGTCCATCCCGTTCGAATTGACAGGATTTTGCGCTTGAAGTTCCGACTCGATGGAAGATGTGACCGCTTTAACAGCCTCTCGCAACTTTTCGAACTGTAAGCAATTAGTATAAGACCTCTGCTTGATTTGAACTGAAAAACACTCACTGCGCTGTGTAAGACATTCCAATGAGAATAAAGAACGCCAAGGAGACGAATTATATCCTTGACGTGAGCCATGCGGCCATTCTGGACATGAACCTCGCAACTTATTTGCGGCCCGATTGTTGGATTATTTCGGGTCGACATTTCAAATGACAGAAATACAAGGCCTGTCATAAAGGCACCATATGCTAAATGTGGGGAGATGGATGTGACGTCGTAATAACCATCAAAGTAGGGCCGCAATAAGGCCACAAACAAATCCGCATAGCGCAAGACTGATTTTGCACTCTTCTGCACCAGCTCGACTTCCATTGATGGATCCTTTGGTGAGCCTGAAAAGAGCGGCACCAGGGTTGAATGCAGAGTCATCTTGCACATGTGGTATAGGCCATCAAACAACAAAAGCTGATTCGCGGATTCAGAGACATTGGGACTTTTCCAGCCCAGAGGATTCGATTGTGGTCTTTCGTCCCAGAGTGATTCTAGACGTTCTGATAAATCCGACAGCGTTTCAAATCTTTGGTTAGGTAAGAGAGTCGAGTATTCGGAACCAAATATCTGAACTTTTGCCCTGAGCTACACGTTAGATTGTGATTTATTGGCCTCGATACCACTCACCATATACCGATGACCTTCATGACCATGCCAACCACAGGCTGGCTGCTAGCTGCTTCATTGTCACTGAGACATACGGGTCGCCAATCCGCATTCATATGTTGTCCCACTGTGACCTGCCAGCCATTTGGGGAGTTTCGAATACGGCCGGGCAAGGGCACATTGGCCATCTCAGACCATGCTGAGCGAAGATGGGCTTCTGGTTGCGCACTAATACACATGGATGCCCAAGTAGCCCACTGGCATCGTCGTTTCAACTCGGATTCAATCTCGGTTTGGGGTTCTCCGTTTTTCTTCACACCCGATTGACCGTATTGCAAAAGAAAACAACTACGGTAAGCTAGGGCTAAACAAAGGTTAGCGAAAATCATTGTGATGATCGGGGATGAGTGTATACCTAAACATATATCGCCATTTCTAGATTTCCCAACACCAAACCAGTATAGCACCAAGCACTCCAGAGTTTGTATCATATTCAACGAAAGCTCTCGGACCGTCAGTAACATGGTTTCCCTCATGGAGGCTTCCGCCCAAGGTAGGCTACGGTTGTGAAAGACACTCAGAGCCTCAAGCTCTGAAAACTCAGTTGAGCTCACCCGAGTTGGACTTTTACTCGGTGCGAGAAATCTACAAGAAATTAGTTCAAATTCTATACTGGCTTGTGATCTTCAAGACTTACAATGACGCCAAAGCAAAAATGGCTTTCAAAAGGTAGTCTGGTACCGTGTCCTCGATATACTCCTCAAACAGAAGGGGTTTGTGGAATAGTAGGTGGGCATTGTACACCCGAGAAAAATATATCTCAAGTAGTGCTAGACCCGCAACTCGCGGCGGTAATGCTGACGATCCTGCATCTTGATTTACACCCGCTGGGGTTGAGGTTTGATGGTCGTTGCGTAGATGAACAGGATAGGTCTATGAGCATAACGGTCAGATGAACTTGGCGGAGACCACGAGACAAATGGCTAAAAAATTGCGAATAATTAACTCACAGTTGATGAAATATCTGCTAGGCTTTCAGTCATGATATGAGGTTGTGGTGGATCAGCGGAAGAGCGATGCTCTACGTCTTCGATGTTCATCGCTGAAGAGTCGAATGAAATTGGAGTCCTTCTAGATGCTGGTTGAATGCCCCCAAAAGAGGAGTTCCTGTCCTCATGTTGTGCTGCAGAAACGCTCTGAATGGTCTTGATCGCCGCAAGTCTTCTGCTCGTACGAAAATGAGCCGAACGTGCCGGCTGTGTCAGATTATGTTCAATTCTTGAGCGTTTGCGGTTAGTCGGAGGAGGATAGAAACAGTCAGCGTGCAGTCTTCTGCATCGGACACAACTAGGTCGTCCCCGATTGCATTTTAGCTGAGGATTGGGCAAAGGTTAGCTCTCTTCACTGATGAAAGAGGAGAAGTCACCTTATGGTCGCGACATCTTTGACAGGCTGTGATTGACCTGCTAGGATCGTCATTGCTGGGAGGTGGTCTTCTAGGCGTAACAGATCCTGTATCATCCAGTTGGTCATTCGGGCCAAGGCCTTTGCTTAATAGCGGTCTTGCCATCTTATCAACCGATATGCTGCAATCTCAGCGGGTAAGTTATGAAGGATGTCGCAGCGGTTTTCCATGGCGGGCAAGCTGAACCCACCCTCGGCTTAAGTCGGGAAAGATGACTAAGCGTTTAAACCTATTCATGAGACATTTTTGACACCTGGTTTCGATACTAGAAAAACACCAAAAAAAGGATGAGTGTATGGAGGACCATATTCGTAGTGCCTGGACGCCGAAGTCAGATATTCACATAGTAAAGGCGGGATATTTGTCCGAGCCTTACCATCCTATTCTGAAGCTATTCTAAGGCATCCTTTTGCACAACAAACACACAGACTCGACAGATGGTCAAAGTGATGATACGAGCGCTATTTCGGACTCTACAGCACAGGAGGGTTGAGCCACATTTTGACACCGCACTGGATGTTGTACATTGACTCCCCAGAAAAAGTGCCAGGAGACAGCCGAGGCGTGGTTACACATAAGGGAGGATTTACAGCTTACACTTTTTCCATTCCGAGGAATAGTTCTTCCAGCTCCCCCGCCAAATTCCCGACGGTGTCGTTGCTGATCCGGGGCTCCGAACTCAGTCAACCGATTCGGCCGAAGCAGCCGGCTTGCCAATTGGCTGGTCGATCGTGGATCAGGCACTCGGTCCGATTGGTGTACGACTTCTCCGCTGTCAGAAACGTGACCGCGACGGATCGGTCTACTTAACGGCCTGAATTAGTTTGCCAGCACGAAAGAGAGCATTCCATGTATTGAGTCTATCATTAACGCATAGCCTAGAAATTCCATAGTTTTATCTAGCACACCAGAACGAAATTCACAATCGGAGGGTGCGAAGTGTCATTGCTTTAGGATGAGTGAAGACTAGAATGGTATTTGAGAAAATAGAGAATTGAAGTAGTGGCGTAACCGATTTCATCTGACTGTGCACAGAGCTGTGCGACCCTCCTCACGCTACAGCTCTGATCTTCCTCCTTGCCCCCAATACTTCCAGACCTCCAGAAAGTTGATGCGGAAAGCCGGTTCCTTGGCCTCACATCTAGGGACCGGGCTTGATATATCAGGCCGTAGGGCCTTGTGGGTCGGCGCCCTTACAGCTCCGATCGTAGCTAGCTAGCTGTGAAGATCATCTATCTTACATACCCTCACTTTGATCAAAGGTCCCTTCTCGTATCACAAGCGATAACTGGCAACGTTAGGTAGTTGAGGTATTGAGGGCCAAAGTGAATATGGTTTGTGCCGCGAAACGTTTCAGGGGATCTGAAGAGCTGTTAGTCATCTCTTTAGTAACTTCCGCCAAAGCATTACCTGTCATGAGGATCGGTGTGAAGCCAAAATCCACTTCCTGCAGTGTCCTTGGAGCTGATGTCGAGAACAAGTCGGCCACCTACTTCAACCACGACATTTGTGGGCCATATTTCGATATCAACGGCATATACCTCATTGGGAAGAACTGGCAGTACATCTGTGGAAAGGTAATCTCGGTGTGGCAACCATGGGCGGTGGTGAGGATGTTGAGAATTCACCTTTCGTAGGCTAACACGAAGAGAGCCTCTGGATACGGGCACTCCTTCTCCCATCGATCCAGTATAAAGAACTTCTGCTCCGTCGGGCGAAATATGGCGGAGACTCAAAAACAAATCCATATCGCTCGGGGTGTTTCCACAGCCATCCTGACCAGTAGAGATGTTGAGATGTGCCGTAATATGACCGGTAATCTCTGTTTCCTCCTCAAATGGCTGTGATTGGAAAGAGATGATGGTCGAATCGGTCTCATTGCTGAATGCCGCATAGCTTGCGTTTGTTGCTTGAGTATATTCCGGCTTCGTAAATTGCAGCTCCTTGTTGGTAGTGAGGAACATGGCTGTGTACTTAGTTCTTCCCAACGGCCAATCGCTCTCCTGTCTTCGCAAAAACCTCTGCTCGGCGGATGGGTCATTGAACCCTACGTTTCCCTTTCGCACAACCAAGTCAACTGGTGGGATGGCTCCCTTTGTCGCCCATCCGACCCTGTCTTGATCTTTCAAAAAAGCATCCAAGAAGCTTCGTTGCACTTCAACTTCTTCGCGATAGTAGAAAGGTAAGTCGTGGCGACCAGTAATGAACCGAAGGTATTTGAGCTCAGAGCCTGCCAACATATATCCTCGAACATTCCCCCGGAGATGCAACATGACGCCGCCCCAGTTCGCCACGCTGAGTATCGGAACTTTGATATCTTCAAAGTTGAAGGTGGTTTCCGCGAAGAGCGGGTCATCTCTGTATCTGTGTTGGTGTAACTGAGCTGGATCCGTGACTCGATTGGTCGCTAGATCATCCTCGTGCACATCACCCTCGATGGAATCGGGACACCAATTCCGTGCTGCCCTCCCAGGGAGTCCATACTGGTTTGGGGCGACCTGACGATGAAACCACCCCGTGAAGAAGGTGTTGGAAAGGATGCCGCCGTGACGGGTTGATTCATCGTATTTGTCCGAAAATCCTTCCCAAGGGATGCAGGCTGCCAATCCTTTGGGGTTCCGCGCTGCAACCGGCCATTGCATGGCGGCATAATAGCTGACACCCAGCAAACCGACCCTTCCATTTGACCAAGATTGCTCAGAGGCCCACTCTATCATATCACAGAAGGCTTGAACCGTGGACGAGGATAGGACGTTCAGAGGCCCTGGAGACTGCCCGATACCAGGTTCGTCGCCTCGTACGACGACATAGCCGTGGCCAGTCCAATAATCTGGCGTAGGGGTTTCCCACGCAGAATGCTCGGTTTGATGAGCTGGGTCAATTTCTGCAAAGCTGTTTGGATTAAACCTATTGACAACATGTTAGTGAAAAGGTTTGGATGCAGCAAGCTGACATACACTTTATAAGGAACATCCTTTCCATATGGCCCAAGAGTGGCGATGACTGGATATTTTTGCCCATTCTCGGACTCTCGTGGTCGATAAACATTGCAACGAATCACTCCACCGGATTTCAGCGGGACTGTGACATGTTGCTCGTATACATACGAGTAGCCTGTCGAGTCGACAATCCGAACATCCCGCAGCTGTGGATCCATGTTTGTTTGCGTTGTCAAAATACGAAATGAGGTGACTATGTTGATGGCAGAGTATCATTTGTTGCTGAGCACCTGGGTTATCTTGCGGATTCTTAAATGTCTGCTCATTCGGCTGGTAAGGGGAAGCATCGGCATCGGCATCGGCATCGGAGACAGGCGCGTCCTCCGATTTGCTGACGATGGAACAGTACTGGCTCCGCCTTACCCGGCGATGCGAGACTGCTCCTAATAGAGGGGTGACCAACAACGAACAGAGGTGCAAAATTAAGTGATCAATCGGAGTTTTCGAAGAACCCATGACTTGGCTGCGCAGATAGTAATTAGAGTGGACCGTTTTCTGCAAGCGAGTAGCGAATCGGGCCAGAGCAATTACACCCAACGTTCGGTCCGAACATTGAGCATTCTCGTCCAGAATGCCCTTCTCATGGCGTCTTTGAGGAGAAATAACGCAGTGGGCCCACCTGTGAATTCAACGCGATGACTCAATCGCGATACCTAGTCGTCGAGGCTCTGTTATCTCATTTCTCCGTTGCCGGTGCTATTCGTCGTAGATTCCCCTCAACTCAACTCCCAGCGCTATAAAATAAATACAGTCCTACCTTTACTAACCACGATTCATTCATCCGAACGCATATTCCCACAGGCATTCCTTGAATGCAGGTACCTTATTGTCATCGGATTTGTATCAAGAGGCACTTTGTGAACCGAAATATCCGGCCGGAGGGACCATGACCGCCTCAGAAGCCCACACTGTGTCGTGGGAGCAAGGCGACCAGAAGCCGGCGAACCCGATGACGATGAGCAAAGCACGCCGCTGGTTAATTGTGGCGATTGTGTCCTCGGGATCCCTATGTGTGCAAGTACCCCAGCCATGGGCAACCGCTTATCGCATTAACATTGAGCAGGGCTTGCACATCATCGCTCTACGCCAGTGCACAAGAGAACTTACAGATTGAATTTGGCTGCTCGAGACAGGTTGCCACACTAGGTCTCTCGCTGTTTGTCTTCGGCCTGGGTCTCGGTAAGATCATGAAGAATATGGCCGAGGCAATACAAGTTGGCTAATCGGGTCTGGAAACGCCAGGTCCCATGATTTTGGCTCCTCTATCAGAGGTGAGAGTCTTTAACACCAGGGAAAACCTTCTTACGCATTTATTGTTAACCAAGTTATAGTTTTATGGGCGAAGACCCATCTATGTTTACTCGTTCTCTCTCTTTGTTGTTTGGTCAGTCCAAGTCCGTATTTCCGATGAATCCTACTAACGGCCCTGATCAGGCTCTTACCTTGTGCTCTCGCGCAAAACATGCCGACGATGCTCGTTGGCCGGTTTTTCGACGGCTTCGCTGGCAGCGCTTTCCTGAGCGTTGCAGGCGGTACGGTTAGCGATCTTTTCTCAGGCCACGAGCTTTCAGCACCTATGATGGTCTACACTGTGCGGTTTAACGTGCTTGAAACGTTTTCGTGTGACTAACATCTTTATCAGGCTGCCCCTTTTCTTGGGTATGTAACGTATACACTCGACGCAAGCAATGGAACGAAGACAGCATCTAATCTAGATTCCACATCATTCATTATTGTCTCTAACATCGCAATAGACCCGAACTTGGCCCATTGATTGGTGGGTTTATCAACCAATATTGCCCCTGGCGGTGGTAAGGAGAGCCCCTGTTTTGTGCAGTCAAAATGATATTAAAGACAGTCAGGTCCTTTTACCTCCTCCTCATCTGGGGTGGGATAGAGTTGTTCTTGATCTTGGTATTTGTACCAGAAACATACCATCCTATATTGCTATGCCAGAAAGCGCGAAGAATCCGCCTTGAAACTGGCGACAACAGATGGAAGGCACCAATGGAGCCAGATCCTAAGAGGATCGCACATGCAGTTTTCGACTCATGTAAAAGGCCGTTCCAACTTCTCATCTTCGAACCAATGGTAACGTGCTGAGCTTGATCAGCTTTATGGTGCGTTGCTAAGGCTTGTGTGTAGTGCCTAAATCTTTGCATCCTGTCAGCAATCCTGCTTGGTATATTGTATCTCTTCTTTGGTGCGTTTCCGCTAATCTTTTCAACCTCTCATAATTTCACACTGTCTCAAAGTGGGCTGTCATTCCTGGGATTGTTAGTCGGAATGGTCTTTGGCATAATCAGTGATCCAATTTGGAGGAACAATTACCAACGTTTAGTTCGACGCCGAAACCGAGATAGCGACGAGGTTGATAGTCGTGCGGACCCGGAATTTCGACTTGTCCCCTCTATTGTGGGCTCAGTCATCATCCCTGTTGCAATGTTTGGTCTGTCAATGCACCTAAGATTGTTGGAGGAATACTAACACATTTCAGGGTTTGGCTGGACAACTTATCCATCAGTATGTGCTATATTTCAAGCTGGTATTTCTTGGCAAGTCTAAGGCATATTTGACAGATACACTGGATTGGTATGTGAAGCACGAGTCATTCTTGACTGCATCGATGCGCCATCACATTTAGTTTAAAGAACCATTCTCACAGAATTTAGTTCCAATCATCTTTTCCTCTTTTTTCGGGTGAGTTATTCAAGACATCAGTGCAGATAATTACTAACTTATAGGTTAGCTTTGGGTACGTAATACTGACTGCTGCACATGGCAAACAACGCGGAAACCATCATGAACTAACCACTCCATCTGTTCACCACGCGCAAAAGAATCATTTTAGTATACTCTGCAATTTTTACATTTCTTGTGGAATGTGTATGTGTTCATTTCATTCTGGTTTACTATTCCTGACTTTGAATCTAGTATCCGATGTATGCTGCTTCTGGTAAGCTTCTTTTGCGTTATGCTCCATGCCAACACAGCTTATAACTATTGGTTTGATAGCTCTGGCAGCAAACAGTTTCGTCCGATCGAGCTTTGCTGCAGCTTTCCCATTATTTGGATACCAATTGTACCAAGGCAAGCCGAAATCTCAACTGTCTTGCCCTCCAAGCTGTTACCTTCGGTAGACCAATAACCTGACAATGGCTCTAGGCATAGGATTTCAATGGGCTACGTCTGTATTGGCATTTTTGGCTCTGGCAATGTCGCCGTAAGTGTTCCTGGATACATTGTACAAGGCTCAGAATGCTGATACTGACGGTACAATACATTTAGCTTTCCTTATATCTTTTATGTTTTTGGAAAGCGATTGAGAAAGAACAGCAGGTTTTCAGCCAAATAAATTGTTGAGGTGGAAATCATAGACCAGTTACCTTTACGGGCCCTTTACCTATAGACAATGTCCTCTGGCCATTCGCCGAGAATACAACTGATGTAACTAGGCTGCTATGGCCCTGAAGCTTTCGCTGTTCCCTACGGCTGTTACTGGTAGCCGTATAATGACGCCGCTGTGTGTGACTTCCGCTTACAGCACTGCATTGCCCGGCGGGTTTGACTAATGATGTATAGGATCTGACCGAGAGTTCAGAGCTGAGCATTGCAGAAAGCCATGTGGCCGCGCAGCCTGGTCTCATTGGGCTTTTCCAAACCGGTGCAGTAGTTGGGTCGTATAATAGATGTTGGCAGTCTTGACACATTTGCTTTGCGAACTTTTCCGGGCATGTACCATCGTTATCACTGAACTTGAATGAGACGCTGTGATGCGATGCGTACTATAGAGCTACTGCCTCTTTCAGGCAATCAATATGTTGTTAATGCATATTCAGATGCATTAGTAGGTATGTTGGATAGTGGCTTTCAAACTAGCCAAGGATTTACAAGAAGGGTTTTATATACAGTCGTAGGTGTAGAAGTCATTATTACGTTACAGCTTAACCCGGCCAGCCTCGAGCGCGCGCCAGTCGTCTTCACCAAAGCGCACGTAGGTATCATTGCTGAGCCAATACACGGTGCCCATGCTATCGTCATCGCTGGCTGAGGGCTTAACACCGGCAGCGCGGAGAGTCGTCTTCTGCTGCTTATTGGTGCCGGTAATCTGCCCACCGCCCATCTCGCTCATGACGCGCAGGAAGATGGGACGAGCGTATTTAGGTAGGGAGTCACGTACGTGGGCGGCGATACTACGCAGCGTCTCGTCACGAAGCTCACCGTCGAGAAACACGGCGGCGCAACCGGCACGGCCGTCGTGGTGTGGCAGCTCAACGCCGTAGACGTTGGCCTCCTTGATGGCTTCGTGCAGGCCCAGCGCGTGGCTGACCTCGGCCGTCGACACGTTCTCCGACTTCCAGCGGAACGTGTCGCCGATGCGGTCGTGGAAGAAGACGCGGCCGTCCGAGTCCCAGCGCACCACGTCGCCGGTGCGGAACCATATATCACCAACGCGGAACACGTCGCGCACCACCTTGGACTCGGTAGCCGCCGGATTGTTGTAGTAGCCCTGGAAGCGCTTGAAGGGGTTCTTGGACGGGAGCTGGAAGAGCATCTCGCCGGGCTCGCCGCTGCGGGCCTTGCGGCAGCGGCCGGAGCGCGGGTCGCGGAGCGGCATGTCAGTGTCCCAGTCGACCTCGACCACGGCGAGGTTGAAGCTCATGACGATGTTGTAGATCCAGCCGTTGCGCCCGATGGCCCCAGCGGTCAGGTCGTTCTTGGACAGGTTCCACGTGCCGAGCGTGCCCTCGGTGGCGGCGTAGAACTCGCAGATGCCCTCGATGCCGAAGCGGTCCTTGAACTCGTTCCAGATGTCTGGGCGAAGGCCATTGCCAAAGGCCAGGCGAACTTTGTGCTTGCGGTCGAGGCACTCGCCTGTTTCCGGGTCGTATTGTGGCGGCGCGGCGAGCAGGTAGCGCAGCGTCTCGCCGACGTACTGGATGCTGGTGGCGCCGGATTCGCGGACTTCCTTCCAGAAGGTCGTTGCTGAGAACTTGCGGCCGATGGCGATGGTCGAGCTGCCGAGGACGGTGGTGCAAAAGGCGAGCATGGCGGCGGAGGAGTGATATAGAGGCATGGGCTAAATATGTGAGCAGGGTTATAAGTCAATCGGCTTGGGATCCTACCGTGTACATGACGTCGCCGTCACCTCGCGCTTGCAACTTCTCGGCGACGGTCCCGCCTACAATGAGCTTCCCCCAGGACACAATAGCAGGCTTGGGCATTCCAGTAGTGCCCGAGGTGTAAATCAGGATGGACATGTTGGACAGACTGCTCTCGGAACGGTCGGAGTCGGGGGCGCGGACGGGTTCATGGGCGAGAATCTGCGTCTTGACGTCGGGGGTCAAGATGACGAAGCGAATATCGGGCAGCTGGTCGCGGACATCTGGCGTCACATTCACAGCAACACTGGGATCCACGATGCACAGGCGCGTGGTGGCGGCGTTGAGGCAGTGGACGAGCGAGGCGCCCACGAGGTTGTAGTTGATAAAGGCCGGCTTCGCGCCGATGCTCCAGAGCCCCCACCACAGGAAGACGAAGTGATCCGAGTTCTGGTAGTCAATGGCGACGACGTCCTTGGGCTTGACGCCTAAATCGCTGCGCAGCCAGCGGCCGTAGCGCAGGATGCGGTCGTAGGCTTCGGCGTACGTGTAGCGCGCGCCCTCGAAGATGAGCAGGGCGCGGTCGGCGGTGCTGGAGCTCGTCGCCACGGCCTCGAGCGCGTAGAACAGGTTCAGCCGGTCGACGTACTCGCGGTAGTACATGCGCCCGGCGCCGGTGAGGGCGCATCGCAGCAGGAGGAGGTCGTACCAGGCCGAGGAGCGGGCGTTGAGGTAGGCGACGGTGGCGGCGATGGCGGGCGCCGTGATGGCGAGGGGGACTGAGAGTGTTAGCGAGAGCAGCGACGGTAGAGGGAAATATACGGACGAGGCATGGTTGTGACAGTGTTCTGAGTGGCCGTCGCCGACCTGCTGAGGGCGAGAGCAGGAGAAGAGAGACGAACAAAGAAGCTCGGGGGCTGCGGCTGTGGTGACGTGGGTCGCTCGCTGGTGGACTGATACACGACTATCGATAGTGACACTAAAGTGGATGACGATGGAGAGCTCCACAGTAGCTGAAGTAGCTCAAGTCTGCTTCAACAACCAGAAAACAAGCAGGGGCTCGCCCAGTATTTAACTGGGCGTTTGTCTGCTTCAATCCCGGTGTGTCTGTTTGTCCGCATCGTCCGTTCCAGCTTCCTCATCTGTGTCTCCTCTTCATCGTGGCACACACGCGGACTCGGCCCAGCACATGCTCGCACTGCAGCCAGCCTGCATCCGCACCGCGTTGACTCAAATCAAGCCAAATCCAGCAGGGCGCAGTACAGATACACACCAACCGCGGGCATCTAGCGAGACGGCAAACGGCACACAGCAAAGGAGGGGTTCGCTCCGCTCCGGGGAAGCGAGATCGCGTCGTCGTCGTCTGTCCTCATTCACAACCCATCGCGATGCCTCGGCACGTCACCCTGCGTCGTGCTATACGCCCCAGCGCCACGGCTCGTTTGGGCATGCGGTTCGGCGTAAGAGGGGGGGAAGGCTGGGGCGCATAGCCGGGATGGCGGGGGAGTTGCGTGCGATCTGGGGAAGCACGGCAGGCATGCGGCGCGTGTGTGTGTGAGGTGTAAGAGACAAAGAGGGGAAGGGAAATGTCCGAGTCTGGGAATTGTTGCGGAGGGGGTTAGAGGGCGAAATATAGACGTGAGGCTTGGCGGACGTGGAGTTGTTGGAGCCATGTCTGTCAGTCTAATCTGGGTGCTGACGGCTTACACTAACTGGACGATCAGTCACACTCATGGGGATGGGATCTTCGTCTTTGCTGTACTCCGAATGCGTTGCTGAAGCCTATCAATTCCGTCTTGACCTGGCTATTCTTCTTTCGGAATGACTCCATCACCCTTCACTCAACATGATGCCATGTGGTGCGAAGCTCCATGTCTCTCTAATCCAAGCCACCACATCACCAGGTTCCATCAGCGACACCCATCCATGATCCCACTCTCCCCTGGCCACCATCTCGATTCCCCATGGGGTCGCACAACGTCCCGACGCTCCAATGCCCTTCTAGCCTTCCACACTATCGCTCTAGCTACATCCCATGTTCCATGCTAGTTTGCATGCCCTCTCTCGGATCGGCCATGTCCATATTTCCTAATCGGGCCACCCATCGGCAAGTCGGCGCTTCTCATCGCCGACGTCCCGACTGCCGCACGTGACATCGTGACATCGTGTCTGAGCACGCCGCCAAACGGCCAAATCGGGACGGGAGCTCGTTCAGGAGTAGAGCGCGCCACGAAGCCATCGCCGTGTTCCGCCCGCCTCTCGCCTCTCCTTTTCGCCTTATTTTCTCGTCCTTCTTTCCCCGGAATCGGCATCATGGCGTCTGGCTCCGCTTCGCCCTCGGCGCCGGCCCCGTCTTCTCCCGCCGTCGAGACCCCCGCTGACGCCAGCGCCGACCTCAAGCTGCCGCCTCCCGAGAAGGAGTCGGATATCACGCGCCGCTCGTACATCGTCCTGTCGTTTTGGCTCGTCGTGGTGTTTCTGGGCTTGCCGATCTGGTGGAAGACGACTACCATCTACCGCGCAAACCTGCCCCTCGATGGCATGCTCGAATGGGCTGAGGGCAAGGTACGAGACTCCGTCGCAAAGCCCATTGCGCTGTCGTCTTGTTACACATGATGCTGACCCATTGTCCGTTTAGGCTTGTCGACCCGTCTTTCCCCTTCAAATCTCCATCCAGGCCGATTCCCTCCAGGAGAACGAGGCCCAGAACCTTGTGCGCTTGACCCAGCACGCCCTCGATGACCACAACGACTTCTCTGGCCACCATCTGCGCCTAGAATTGGCCCCCAAGAACGCTGCTCCCATCGCCGACAACTCCCAGGTCGCCTTGACGATCCAGCTCACTCCCGGCGAGACCAATACAGCGTCTCTCAACCCCCGTTCCGCCGTCCTCGACATCGTCTACCCGCCCAACGCCATCCCCTCTCCATCGTCATCCTCATCAGCCCTCGCTACCTATATCGCCAAGGAGCTCCAATCCACCTTCTCCGAGGAGCAGTCCACCATCTCCTACCTCCTCTCCACCTCGTCCAGTCCCGATGCCCGGCCCCAGAGCATCAGCCCCGAGGCTGCCGAGCTGCTCGCCAAGCGCACCACCCGATCGCTCCGATACGCGCCCACATACCACTTGACCTTTTCCCTCTTCACGGCCGGCGCCATCCCCAATACCTGGGACATTGAGACGGCCATTGATGAGTACATGAAGCCCATGCTCGATGTGTTGGGCCCGATTCACAACTTTACCATCGACACCCAGGTCCAGCTCTATGCGACCCCCGGTGCCCAGTCAGAAGTCCTGACCAAGGCCGATCTGGCGTCCTTTATCAACGCCGCCGAGTGGCCGCTCTCGCCCTCGATTGGAGGGGCCCCGACTGTCAACTTTGTCATCTACATTGGCGACCAGAACATTGGCCTGGACTCTGAGACCGAGACAGCGCAGTCGTGGATGATTCCGCAGTGGGGCACCGTATATTTGCTGTCGCTCCCAGACACCACCACACACGTGTCTAGCGAAACACTCCGACAGGCCATGCTCACCTTCAACGGCCATCTACTGTCGCTGCTTGGTACTCCCGAGTCGGGATCCCTCCTTCTCCGCCTCTCCACCCTCTCCCGAATCCGCTCCGCCGACCTTATCCTGCGGGCCTCGTCCACCCTCGGCTCCCTCGCCCGCCTCTCCCTCGCCCTCCCCTCCATCTCCATCCCCCGCAGCGTCGCCGACGGCGTCGCCTCCACCATAGACCACCTGCAGCAGGCCTGCGGCAGTCTGGGCGGACCCGAGGGCTTGTACCACGCGCGCATCGCCGAGGAGGAGGCCGAGCGCGCCTTTTTCGAAAAGAGCATGGTCGGCCAGCTATACTTTCCTGATGAGCACAAGATTGCCGTCTACCTGCCCCTGCTGGGGCCCGTGGGTGTGCCCCTGGTCATGGGGTTGATTAACGAGTTGAAGAACTGGATCAAGAGGAGGAAACAGCGTGCCAAGGATGCGGGAGAGAAGAAGAAGCAATAAGTACCATAGAGCCAAGAGGGATGAAGAATAATATATATGAACTGCGCCTAATCAACCGAGTAATCTTATGGTCTATTTTTTCTAAATGTGTCATCAAGAATCAAGAGATGGGCACTGGCAGGAGTCCACGCCGTGAGTTGAAATCGAGTGCTGTGCTTGTCTGGTCGCCATATTGCCCCTCAACCGCTTAAGCCGCTCGTCGTTCCGGCCGCTAAACAGCATACGGCCACGGCCATCTTCGTCCAATTCACGGCTCTCGCATGTAACATTACACAATTTCATTTTCTAGCTCCCTCTGCAGCAAACGCACGCACACGAGGTTGCTAGCAACTGCGCCAAAGAAGAGGAATAGCTGGGTGAGGAGGCTATGACTTGGGTAGATGACCACAGCAACAAGGGGGAACAAAATCCCAGCACCAACCCAAAATGTCGACGGCCGACCTGGGCTGCCGTACAATCCACTTCGTGTTGTAGATATCACACTCAAGTATAGGCCCAAGTATTGCATCATGGTGGATTGAATTGCAGACAGGTGGTTAGCATCGCCTGCTGTAGCCTCCTGCTGTTCATCTCGCTGCAAGGCTAGGGCCCAGGTCTGGATAACGGTCGCGATGAGAGACACAGCGATGGACAGAGTTGTGGCTGTTTCAATATGCTGACATTGGTATGTAAGTGACTAGAATGGCGACAGCAATTGAATGCCACTTACGACCATGGCCGGGAGGAGATGCATAGAGACAAGCAATTCGAGCAGCGCGATGGCCCCTCGGCCGGAAAAGTCGATATTCATTGCGATGGGATTGTGTATTCAAAACTGAAAGCCAAGAAGGTATTGGGGGGCCAGGCTCCGTATATATATTGGATGCTCAAATAATTGGTGTTGGCATCCATGATGATTTACATCGGGGTAAAATGGTATTAAATAGAAAGTCAGGAAATGTACATTTAGGGTGCACCAATAATTAGTATTCGATATCGAAGGAGGACTTCTTGAATTCATCTTGTAATGTAGAATTTACGAAAACAAGGGTCTATTTCTTTGTTTGTTTCTGTTTTTCTGAACATTGATCTGAAGCATTGGTAGCTTTTCTTGAAAAACTACAGAAATCTACGAGATAGCTTGCAGCTTTTCAAAACCCCCCCAAACTCTCCCAAACTCCCCAAAACTACTAAAAACCCAGCCCGGACACTGCACTATGGGCTCTTCGCCAATCAGGTGCTGTGAATACAATTGTCGGGTTACGTCAGCCAGTCTAGCCTGATACTGAAGCTGAGGCTCAGCCTCACCACGATTTGTTGACCGAGAAATAAGGGGTGTCTCGCGGTACGATTGTCTCTCGAAGCGTTGCAGAACTGGGTGAGCTGTCTTCTGTATCCTGACAATGGAATGTTGGGAGAATCGAATCCACCATCAACTAACGCGTTTTGTTAGACTCCGGCTTCTCCACTTCCCTCATGTCGAACCCTACAGACAATCCTCCCACGCCGACCCTTCCCGATAATCCTGCCACGATACCGACCGACGACAGTCATGACAAGGAATCGGATCCTGTATTGCAAGACAAGACCTTTCCAGGACCGGATCCGCTCTTGCTAAACGGCCCGCCTGTCCCCTATGGGCCACCTCAACCCTATGGGCCACCTCAGCCCTATGGCCCACAGCCGCCCCATAGCTACAGTCCGCTCGGTGTCCCGCCTCAAGCTCCAGTTCCGTCAACTGGCTTCAATTACAACACCTATCCTCGCCAGAAAAAAAAGGCTTTCAGAGCATCGCAAGCATGCGACAATTGTCGCCAGCTAAAGGCAAAGTGTGATGAACAGAAGCCCTGTAAAGGTTGTAAGGAAAAGATGCTCGAGTGTCGCTATCGAGATCCGCCCAAGTTAGATCATGGAGTGCATGAAATTTCGGCCAAGCTCGACGCCGTCCAGGGAAATCTAGACCGGCTTTTGAAGTGCCTTCCGGTCTTTACTCCCACGCGAGGCCGACAACCGGCCCCGACGTCTCTGGAGGCTTTTCTCGGTTCCCAAGAGCCGATAGCAATCTCCCCAACCCAACGAGAAATCCTTCAAGAACTCAAAACGGCATTTTCCCGGCTGAGAGAATACGATAACTGGGATGCCTTGGGTCCGAGGCTGGTATGGTAAGAATACGAATGACTAAATGCACCAAGTCAATGCATGCTGACCTCTATGGCCAAGGTATGCTTCCTCCTTGTGTAGGGACAATAATTTCGACTCTCCACCAGAACCGATCGACGAAGATGATGGTGATTCAGTGACAAGAACAAATATTAGGCCGACGGAAGACACGACAGCGCAGTTGAAGGGCCAAGGTAGTGGGCAGTCAGGCGTACAGTCACGGGCTACTAGTCGTGAACGACCGTCACTCGCAGAATCCGAGCCTCCCCCCGTGGGCTCTAAACGTAAGCGGTCACCGCCATCCCATGGCGAGCCGGAGAAGCCATTCTTTTGCTTTCACCAGAGCTGTGGCCGAATGTACGGATCTGGGAAGACGCTAGAAAACCACTTGCGGAACCACCACCACGGGAGGTTGCCAAACCTGCCGGGCACCTGCGACCACGAAGCCAATATCAAGCGATTCTCCGCGTGGGAGGAATGCCTGGAGCACTTCATCTTTCACCAAAAGAGCGGCATGGACCGGGTAGAGTACGACAGGGCCCTCGAAAGCGCCGAGTACCTGATGTCGCACGGTGATCTGCAAGTTGATGTGAAGATGAGGATGTCGTCGCCAGCGGGTAGCTTGATGAGCGGCTCGCCTGGGGGGTTTGGGTACGGCGGGCAATCAGGCCCTGGGGTTTTAACTACGGGTGGCAATCTTGTATGGCCGTCGCCCACACATGAATTGGATTTCAGATTGTAAGGTACATATATCAGGATAAATCTTGGGGGATTTCGACTATATGCAGGCGTATTGGAATTAATTATTTGCGGTCCATCGTCGACCTGACGGACGAGTGAAGTAAAACATGGACTATTTCTTTTTCAAGGACGAAGGTCATCGACTAAACAGGTTATCGGACGCCATGCCGGCTTTGCTTCACCAAATTTTCTTCCATAGGACGGAACTATTCCCACATTCTTTTCGAGAGAGTGGAAAAGAAGGATCAGACCAAGTTGCTTGGCTCATTTAGCGACTTGTGGGACATTCTCATGGATGTTGTGAGAAACCCACGAACCGGAGAAATCATATTTGTCCTCGATGCTCTGGGCTAGTGCTACAAAGCAGGCAAATTGACGCTCGTGAAAAAGTTGAAGGGTTTTCATGCGAAGATCTCAGCCAGCAGTAGAAACCTACAAAAGTTGACGTTTGTCGTTACTAGTCATCAGGAGCTCGATATCAAGCGTGGTTTTGGATGGATCGCGTCGGATTTCCCGGAGCTCCGCATTGCCGGCGATGAAAGCTAGTTAACCGAGTCTGAAATAAACGCTTATATCATCGGTAGAGTGGAAGAAGCTGCGGCTAATCGACAACTGGACGATTTTGAGAGAGCGTGGCTGGAGAAACAGCTCCTAGACGCACCAAAGCGAACTTACTTGTGGTCAAGTCTTATCCCGCGTCAGCTCGAACCTGAAGATAGAGTCACGAAGCGGAGCCTCGAGACGCTTGAGAAAGCTTACGAAGGGATTTAAAACAGAATCAAGGACAAGCTTGTGTGACCTACTTGATGTTTGATGCCTTGGAAACTGAATAGATATAGACTAATGATCGACAAAGTGGAAGATGCATTCAGGATCAAATTGATCCTTAGACAACAGAGCACCCGTTTCTGGAATATTCAGCAATTTATTGCTTCGATTTTACGGGCTTGACAGTCTAGATGGTCGACATGATGCCCCGATTTATCCGCTCCAGGATGACGGAAAGCTCTGTCCAGATCTTCTTCTGCGAGGTGGCACCTTCGCTGCTTGAAACGAAGCTGGACACTCTGTTTGGTCTTCATGTCAGCTGACCAAGGGCTACTAATAGATGGGATAGCCTCCTAGGTAAGATGGGAGCTCATTCACTTACTCTCCAAGCTTGCAGTCGGAAAGATACTGCCCATGAGTCTCCGGGGCTCCCTCGGCAGCATGGACCAGGGTCCGGCTGCCCACCTCGGCATCTCTAGCAATGAACCTCCGGCCAAAGGCCGCGAATAGTCCCGCCTTTTCGCCGGCGCCCATGTTGGTCCTCACCCAGCCCGGGTTGAGGATGGAGACAACCACTTGACCAGCTTTACTTGACTCAGTCACCTTGTTCGCGAGTTCGCGGACTGCGAGAAGCTGTATCATTTTGGAGACATTATACCTAGCACTCACCGTCAACCGTTGGCTCTGTATCTAGGGGTACCAATGTGTGTGCTTACCGGTCAGCCATCCTCGCCTTGGCTTCGTTTGCTAGCTCTTCGAAGATGTTGGGAGCGTTGCGCTCTGGGAACTCGGTGACATGGTGCACAAACGAGCCAGTAAAGGATAGCACGCCGTGCTTGCCGTGCTCCAGCGCCGAGGCCCTCAGCTTGGGCAGCACCATGATGCCGAGAAGCATGGTGCTGACAACATTGACGGTAATCTGGCTCTCGTTATCCTCGACCCTCTTGAAGGCTTTGGCCATGATGCCGGCGTTGGCCAAGACGACGTCTAGCCGGCTCACCGTGTCGACGCGGCTGGCGAACAGTTTGACCGAGTCGTACCTGCACAGGTCAAGCTCCCACACCTCGACGACGCCTTTGCGGCCAGTTGTCTCCTCGATGGAGGCTGCCGCGGCCTTGCCCTTGTTGATGGTTCGCACGGCGAGGATGACGCGGGCAGCGTCTAGCTGCACGAAATGCCGAGCGGCTTCGAGGCCGAGGCCGACATTGGATCCCGTCACCAGGATGGTCTGGCCGGTGAATTTCTTGGTCGGATAGGGAAGCGATACAAACTGCGAACGCATGATGTTGGCCATGCCACCCATATTTGCGGTTGTGTTAGTGGTTGGTTAATTCGGATATGTGATTTATCGTGGTGCCCTCTGTCCGCGTCCAACAAAAGTACCTAGGCAGGCAAGATGCTGCTTATATACGGAACCATGGAGTCCCCATCCGCGCGGTCGCATTTCCCTGCCCTCAGAAGCGTGTCGTGATGAGGGATGAGGAAATGAGGCTTTGCAAGGCAACGGACATATCGGCCCAAATCTTGCCATTGGCTGGATTCGTCCGAGACTCGACCAACTCCGCTCCGCTCCGACCGCTGCCTCACTCTCACTTACACCTCCCACTTCCAATATCCGCCCAATTTGATCTCACTCCCTCTACTATCCGCGCTTCCGGCAGTTTGCACTAATTCTATGAGCCGTTTGCGCCCCCATCTTGCTCACAAGGGCCTCCTCCCTGCGCCCGAATCGAATGTCCAACAGCTGCCCTCGGCCCCGAAGAGGCGGAGAGTCAGGAGAGGCACATCGAGCTGCTGGGAGTGCAGGCATCGCAAGGTCCGCTGCACCTTCGTCGAGAACTCCACGGTGTGCATCTCCTGCACGCGCCGTGGGTCGGAGTGCGTGAGCCAAGAGTTCCAGATCAATCCCGCCGGCACGAGAGGGCAATCCGACGTGGCATACCACAAGGTTGCTCAGAGTCTCCTGCATGTTGAGGGGCTCATCAACGGGCTTCTTGACCAGGTTTCCCGTAGTTCTTCTTCTTCTTCAACAGGGAAAGCAGCTACTCTCCCTCTACGCCAGTTCAGGTTCCACCAGAGATCCCCATCTGGTACAACCTGCGCTGTCCAGCCAGGCCCAGCACTGCCAAGGGAGATAAGGCCTCAACTCGCCCGAGAGGAACTGTTCTTCCAATCCGAAGACTTCGACCGAATTCCGTCTGTCACCCTCCCTACAGATCCTACCGCCTCAGAACCCTCACCTCCGAGCCCGATAGAGCCGGGCGGCGGGATACACGTTGCAGATCCGGGTTCAGCGCTGAGCTTGCCACCGACACTGCCGGATTACCACTCGATAAGCCACCATGTTCATTCGCTAATGCCTTCCCTCGGTTCCGCCCTGGCTATCCTTCGTAGGGCGAAATATGTTTACCTCCCCATGCAGATGATACAGAGGCCGTACCGAGAGTTTGTAGAGTCGTCCGTCGTGTACCAGCCCGCGGACCCTTTTACTATTCCAGAGCCAACCGCGCATCCGATTTTAATAGCTCGGAGGTTCATACAGATCGCGCTCGGCCTACAGCAATTACATGAGGATAGCTCATCCGATACAAGAAGCTCGCGCTTGCTCAGGGCGGCCCGGGAGGCTTCGCGACGTTACTTTGACGCGGCCACCCGCTATGTCACTTCGCAGGACCCTCTAGTCGCTTCGGACGACGGCATCGAGACTCTTATGCTAGAGGGCCTTTACCAAATCAACTCCGGGAACCTGCCGCTCGGCTGGATGGCGTTTCGCCGCGCGATTGGCATTGCGCAACTCATGAAGTTGCCCCTTCGGTCCAGGAAAGAAGGCGAAAGACAAGGATCCAACAACACTCAAGCGCTGACGAAGTCGCAGTTCCTCTGGTTTCGCCTCAACTACGGCGACCGTTTCCTGTCACTGATGCTGGGAGTCCCGTCCGCCACTGCCGACGACAGCTTCGTCTCTTCCCATGTCATGGCGGCAGACGTGCCGCTGGGGAGGCTGGAGAGGCTGCATACGGTCATCATGGGCCGCCTCATCGCACGGAATCAACGCCTCGCCGCCGCGGACCATCCGATCCAGGCTCTCCGAAGCGAACTCGAGGAGACCCGGAGCATAGACCGAGAGATGCGGAAGATCGCGCCTCTCTTTCCTGTGGAATGGTGCCTCCCGCCTCATCAAGGCGACCTAGTCACTGATGCCATAAAGTCCAGAGAGGAGACGCCCAGGCTTCTAGCCCAAGTGAACCATGCCCACTTGCTCCTCATCATCCATCTGCCGTATATCATCCAGACCCTGTGTTCAGAGCCGCAATTCAGCGACGCGCACAGCATATACACCGCCGCGACGGCGAGCCGAGACGTTCTGTCCCGGTTCATTCTATACCGCAAATCCAATCAAGTGCCCTCATGCTGTCGCGCCGTCGACTTCAAAGGCCTGACGGCCTCGGCGACCCTGCTCCTTGCACACTTGGACGGACATCGCCTTGACCACGCCAACGGGCTCGCGCACCAGCGCCTGCAGGACCTGGGGCTGGTGCAGATGGCTGTTGAGAGCATCGAGGGCCTCGTCAGGTCCTCGCCCAATTCCCAGGGCGAAACAGGGCTGCGGGTGCTGAAAGGGCTGCAAGAGGCCGAAGCACGAGCGGCAGACAGCGTCGCGCACTCGCTTTGCATCGACGGATGGGCATCGGGAGGGGAATGCCACGTGTTTGAAGAGGGTTCCGGTCTCGAGTTTGCGGCACCTTACCTTGGGAGAGTCCGGATTGCGCCCCTGGAGGTGCCAGCCGAGGGCTCGGCGGCTTTAGACTGGCTTTTGGTCGAGCAATTCGGCGCCATGCCCAGCACCAGCGCCAGCAGAGGCTCCGAACAGTGGCCTCCAATGCACAGCAAAGCCCCTTCAGACGCCGTACCGTCCCTGGCGGGGTTCTCAGTCATGGCCACACTGTGGGATGAAGTAGGCGGGAGTGTCCCTAACACGACCCTGGTGAGCCCTCCAAGTCTCGCTGCCCAAGGGCTATATCAAGAGGTCGTGCCAGGGCGGACACACAGGGTCGAGTACATGGACACCTCAGGGCTCGGGAGCATATGAGTTTACACAAGGTAGCTAGCCACCGCGTGACTATGTACGTGTGTTGCAGCTATGAGCGGAGTCTGTTTTGCGCTCCAATTGTTAATATTCCATATAAAACCATGATACTAAGCTGCGAACAGAACCCGAATTCCCATATTTCTGTCGGACCTCGACATCGCTTTCCACCCCTTTGATTTTGAAATAAACGCCAAGCCCTTGTCTCCGGCATTGGGTGTAGGGATGCAAGGTTGAAGTGGCGATTTATACCAGAACACGAATGTGATTCGGATCCCGTGTGTCTGTAAAAGAGGCAAACAAACAGGCAAAGGGATTTGACCTAGGCAAGGCGTTGTTGCTGCTCAACAGGTGACGTGGAAGGGAAAGTCTGCACAATTGTGAAATAGAGAGAGTGGGTTGCATCTCAGCAATGAGGGGGGGGGGGGTATGTGTATCAACAAGTCAGTATTGACGGATCACAAATGTGTATCATCTTTCCGGAGACGACTCTATGCATACCAATTCCCCTTTGACGATATCACACCTGTCTAAAAACTGAAAATATTCCAATCGGCATTTTACAACGTGACGTCAACCCACATTTGCAATGCTTTGGAATGCGCAAAAGTGTGACGAACACTGGTAAACATGAGTTGGCATCGTCATTTGGACGCAGAGTTATGATGGATGGTGGATTACGAAACAAACAGCGCAGATATGAAAAAGCTCACTAAAAAAGAAAATTTATATTAAATGGGCATTCTGGGTGGACATGGTTGTAGCTGAGGCGATATGAAAGTCAAGACGAATACGATAGTGGTAGTAGCGCTTGGAGATGAACGCCAAATTGATCCTCCCAATCATGACAAGGTCAGCTCCTACAAATGTAGGTAGGAGATGAGAATAGGATACATGTTAAACACACTCTCTAACCATTTTTACCAGTCGTTTCTCCCATCCCAATTCCTCCCCATTCTAGTGGGCTTTGCGGATGTGGCTGTGCGTTGCTGCGCCCTGCTGCTGCCCACAAAGAGTCTGCCTTGCACGGCGAGGCCATCGTCCCGCAGCCAGTCCTGAAGCCGCTCTTTTCTCAGGGACCGCTGGTCTCGGGTTGGACTTGACACCAAACTGAAAATCGTCAGTAAGTACTAGAGATAGAGGACTGTGTGAGCCATACGTATTCTCAGCTTTCTGGATTGTCGACATCATTGCGCTTATTACGCAGTACCGAGAAGTGGGACGCGTTGAAAGTGTTGGATAAGGTGACGACATTGTATTTTGTGGACTTAAATGGTTACTGAATTAAACAATTATTAAAACTAGACATCAGACGCATTTTATATTCCTCAAGTCGCCTTTTCACAAAAGTGTCGCCGTTTTTATCACAATTGTTCAGAACAGTAGCGTCGTTTGACTCGCCACGCCCACACAATTGTGTCGCTAAGCCAGGTATCGCAGCGTTTACACCGACGTGCCATTCGAAACTGCCGCGATGCTTTCATTGTTCCGCGGCTTTCTTGGCTTGAGCCTGGGCATAAATCGCCACGCAAGTATCCACAACAAGCTGTTCACCAGATTATTACGGACCAATAGGGACTGCTAGGGAGTGGGTGCTGCTGGCAAGAAGCAGGGGCGTGTGACGATCTCAAACATTTGGAAATGTTTAGGATCATCACACCCCCCTTCGCCGCCAGCTGCAAACAGCGCGTAAGTCCGCGAAGAAACTCGTCCAGTATTCCCTCGTGTCTTCTACCCTTCTCAAATTTGCGGGACAATGTATTCCATGTGCTTTTACATTGCAATCTAGTTTGAATTGAAGATGATCTATCTTGACTGTGTCCAAGCTTGGGTTCACTCTGACATAGATGCCGTTCCACTCTCGGAGGAAGAAGCCGAACTTGTCGTTGGAACCACTGTCCCGTACCCGCCGGCCAATCTCAAGTAGAATACATGACCCATGCTTGGAAATCCATGACGGAACCTGGATGCCCTTGCTGCTGAACTGGACCTTGTCATCGAAGATCCATGGCGCTTCCCACACTGACCCTGAAGCAAATGTGAAGTGGCGAAACTCCGACGGCGAGCGAGCCAAGAGCCCATGGTCCTTCTGGTTATGGACACTTCGCCGAGCAAAAATGGAACCGTCACGGGTGTCGTGCAGGATCTCTTCCTGGAGATGCGAAAAGGCCCTCTCGGTGCCTTCACCATAGCGCACCGGTATTGTGACTCCGGCGATGGCACCCAGAGAGTAGGTAGTGTCCTCTTCCCGACTGGCGATTCCATCCACAGCCCAAGACATTCGTCCTGCGAGCGAGACGTCAGACAGCGCATTTAGATGGGGCAGTACCCTTTTGGGGATGCCGGTGGCATTTGAAAGTAGAAGGAGAAGCTCTAGAGAAGCCTTGGAACCTCTCGCCCAAGATCTCGACAAATCCCTGGTCTGGGGTGAATCCCTCGTTTTCGGCGCGTAGACGGTAGGATTCGTGGATTGACTCGTTGTGTCGTATCCACTGGCGGAAGTGATGAGCTTTGGCGGCTCCCAGGAGTACGGCCTCGTTCCCGTAGAGTTCGAGAGCGCGACGGTACTGGCGTACCCGAGTTGGGGGTTGTGCTTGGCGAGGGGAGCGGCGAAGTCTTGAAACTCTTGTCTCGTGAAGGATATGCGTCGATGCTCTGCTCGGGGGAACCTGGAATGGCCCGCGGTCGGGCATATTCCGTGGTCAAGGGCAGAAAGAAAGACGGATGGCTGGCTCGCAGAATCGGTTGTTGATCTGGTGAAGGTGTAGGAATCTCGTGCAGTGGCTCGGTAGTTCCATTGTTTATCAAAGAACTCAACTTTCGAGGGAAGAATAAGTTCTTACAGTGTCCAGGATCGTCTCCAGTGTGCACATTGTGCCCATATGGCCTTATCGAAAGATGGCCCGCCGGTTGGGAGATCTGCAAGATAAACAAGACAAACGGACTATCTGATTAACCTCCGGAAGGAGCTGCTGACACCATCATCCAGCTCGGCTGAGGAGAGGATGAAGCATTGATACAGAGAGACTGGACCCACAGGTAAGTGATGCCTCGGCTTACGGTATCCTCATATGCCCGAGTGACATGATCATGGAATGACGAACATACGTGGAGTTTGTAGTTGGTTGAAAGTTGAGCCTGAGTGGTACATAGGGACCCTGCCCTGGTGTATGATAAAATGGCGCAAGGAGGTAGTTCTGTGTCGGGTAGCGTAACTACGTTACGCTCAATGTGGAGAAGTTTCATTATTAACTCAGATGAAGGACAACAAAGGTAATACTACAGCTTCACGACCAAGAGACGGATAGGTACACTGTATATTCTTAGGGGAAGAAAGAAATCCATGAAAGAGATCTAAGACAATGGGAATAAAGTCTACAACCGCCTCCAAGCAACGCTGATTGCCGACACTCTCTCACATTGGTGTAGTTGTGATGGGAGGCACACCTGTGCGCTCGGTGTCACAATTGTGACGTGGCGCATTTGTGTCACTTTTCTGACTCTTGTTACTCTTGTGACTCTTGTGCAGTTTTGGTCAACGCTGTGCGCATGAAGCAGGTGTGTAAAACAATCCTCTCAGAAACATTGAGACAGGGTTGGTGCGGCCCATCGGGTTCTATAGATTAATTATCCTTCAGTAATGTAAACATTCGGGTGCTTGATTTGAGTATGCGCGGTAGTTCTTGCCCATGCTCTTTATCCCTTTGTAGATCTACTTAGAAGGAGGGCATATATAAGACCTATATTAACAAGACAATTGATTATGTCAAGTAGAGTACAAATATATTGAATTCACAGTCCAAAAAGCAATTCTAGCTAAGCCGAAGATGAGTTTGGGCGCCTGTGTGGAAGCCTCTTGGTCTAGAACAGGATTACGGAGCGTATCAGCTGGCCAGAACGCGGCGACCACACTTTTAATGAAATGAATAATGTCGTATGGATAAGAGAGCTAACACGTGGTAGTTTCAACGAGATTTGGCCGTAATATACTGCCGCTCTAGAGTGATCGAACGTTTCAGTTTATATCTATTCTACGGGTCGGGGTTGATAGGTTTGAGAGCGCTGCAAATATAATTCCAGCTATTATGCTACACAACGTGATGAATCCAGGACTAGCCATGGCCCTTTGGATACTTGAATCTAGTAAAGTCTCATCTCCTTTTCCTCGCCCAGGATAAACGTCCGCTCTTTGCTCCCAATCGAGCCAATACCGATGCGACGAAAGCCGAGAAGGCCGTTTCCTATCTCATCCAAAGAGCTTGCCACCGACTCTAAGATGAGGAATGTTTCTCTGTGAAAGCCCGATCGATCATCGAACCTAGATCGTACGAGTAGACAGGTATAAGTGGCAAAGGCATCTCTTGAAATGGTTTCATCGTCAAATTGCCCCATAGACGACCATGGCATCGGCAAAGAAGAGTCCAATACCTCTCCCTCCAGGTGGAAATAAGGAGGATTGGATTTGGATTCTGGGGCGATTCGAAAGCGGATATCCTTGAGGTGACCATTGATGACCAGAAATGTCGACTGCACACTGGATTCCGTAGCCAATCCGTTCCAAATATTGTTGCAAGTCGATAAGAGAACATGATCCTCTTTTGTCTCTAGGTCTTCATCGGAGAGTCTCCAGAAGTCGAAAAAGACCGGAGCATTGCAAGACAGCCACGTCCAAGAAGGCATTCTGTGAATACCAGACCCCTTCGTCGATCCTATTCGAAGCCATAGAAGGTCTCCAACAAAAGATTCCTTCCATAAGCCCAATAACGGCGAATTCCCCGTCGTTCGCTGGTAGTAAGTTGCAATTCCTGCGATTGCTGCGAATCTGTCGGCTGGAAATGTAAAGTCTCTGTTGGAATACCGTTCGATCCACTCATGCCAGATCCGCTTTTCCCTTTGGGAGGGTGCCAGCGTGAGATTGCGATCACCGCCCATCAGCTCCGAACTCTCCAGAGTTTGGCCAGCTTGTGTTTTGTAGAAACACCTGCACTGCCAATGCATCTCTGACTCCATGCAATGTATGATACGGTGGGAGAGAAGCTCCTCTTGCAACACCCACCCTCGAGTGCTCAAATGTGCCCCGCCTTGAACATTCCGTGCCGTTCGGGCCTGAACCCTGATCATGGTGGTCAGGGGTTGATCTTCGTGTTGATAAACAAAAACGCGATGGCTTTTGGCAGCCAATCCAGACGTTTCGACAACGACGGTCTGGCCGGGATCAGAAGAACTAGTTGGTGCGGCACCTGTGTCGTCATTGCTTTCAAGAAAGCAACCTCCAGCGCTATCTAGAGCGTCGCTGGCGGCGATGTTGATTGTGCTTCCGAAAAACGTGTCCCCCATTTGAAGTGCCTCAGATTGCCAGTCCTCGGGGTCATCTTGCACAATACAGAGGGAATCAATCCACAGGTAGCGGATATCGAGAGACCGTGTAATCCTGATAGCATCTCGAAAGGTTCGCGGGAGTAGCTCCTCGGAAATGCGCTTCTCAAACTGAGGTTTTGTCTTTATCGTGGTTCGCATAGGCACATGGTGGCCCCAGCAATGACTCAGGGTTGCATATCGAATGGGCTGGTTATCCTGCTGTATCTGATTCCCCTCCACGATACGAAGAGATTCATTGACTCCGACGTCAAGTAAGCGCTTTGGGTACCGCTTTGCGGGCGGGTTGCAGGCCTCATGATTCGATTCGCAGTCTCGGAGCCATTCCACTATCGTTTCAATTCTATCCTCGGAATCTGTTTTCTTCTCATCTATTTTGTTGAACACCCAAAACTTAGGATGCTCAAGGCCTAGAGACAGATAGTGAGCCTCTTTCAAGAAAGGGTTCCGTCATCTTCATTGAATGCAGTTACCTTCGCGTTCAGGCTGGCACGAGACCCCAATCGTATCCACTCGTATGTAGCTCAATCCGAGTTGCTCGACATTCAAAGTTGCGCGCAAGGTTGCCCAGGTTATCTTCTCGGCTTTCTTTGCGCTTGCAACCTCTAATTCAAGCTGGGGAGGTGAACGTAGGGTGGCACCCTCAAGTCGTGTCATGGTCATGGAATAGCTCTGTGTTAACGATAGATCCAAAAGACTGGAGCAGAGGGGACAAGACTGCGCTGAACTTTGAAGCTGGTGAATATCTTGGTGCCACTCAAGTTGTTGGGCCTGCCAATGTGGCCCGCTTGAATCGGTGATGTGCCGAATGATACCTAGACACAGGTCGCATGGCGATTGCGTTCGTAGATCCATATCTTCGTGTCGCTAGTTTAGAGACGCAAGCGCTTTAGAAAACATGTAGGTGAGGGGTTTATCAAGTCGACAGCCCAACGGCAGCCTTATGTCGGCTTCTGCCTGTTCAAGCCCACCACGCGTCAACCAACAACAGCGGAATCTCTTATACCCGAGGGCACTAGGCCTTATAGGATATAGGAACAGTGCTTACAATTCTAATGCAAAAAAACTCATCTATTCAGTCTTCCTAGATGCTTTTTATATTCTTTATAAGTTCACAGGATAAATCTAATTAATTTCTAGTTATAAATTTTAATTTAAAGAAATCTATAAACCTATATAATCACCTAATTAGGCCGATTTCTTCTTCTCGGTAATAATCTCCGGGAGTGCACGACCAATAGATGCCCAGATAGGCTCCGGATCAATATATGAGGATGACTCCGGATATTGAACCGATTTGAGGTTCAAACCGCTTCCATGGAGATATCGTCAGCCTGTCTAGACGCAATGATCGAGTCGTCGAGGACATATGAGCATTGTGTGGTGAGAAAAACAATATATTGACGTTTCAATTTAACCCCATTGCCTCCTATTATTGCTTGCTTCCTTCGTCCTCTCTCAAGAATGTCTTCGTGGCAATGATAATAATCAGGGACCAAAGTGCACGAATGTCGCCCACTTCGCGATGTTATCAATATTGCCATTCTGGCTCCTATATTCAAAGCCTGCACGGTGCAAGGAATCAGCCACTTCGTCATCATCAAATTCCCCTCTTTCGAACACACATTTGTAAAAGTTCTCTCGCAATCGCCACAGCTGCTCCGTCATGCGCTTTCCACTAAGATGCAACTACATGAGGGAACCCAGACAGTAGGAATGAACTTGCGAGGTGGATGTTTTCGTCGACGAGGGGGGCCTGTTTAATTTCTGCCGTTGAGCAGGCAGATAGATAGGTAATTTGAGCCTGGTCATTGTGAACAAGATCAAGGTCTTCGATTCTCAACTCCTCTTGCATAGAGTTCCCTACAATGAGCGCACCCCACTCGGGAAACTCTGCACTTGCCACACCGTGGCATACGAAGTGGCAGATCCTCACATCTTTGAATTCGTCCAGGACTTGCGACTTGGTTGGCTTTTCTAGCATTGTGACGGAGAAGTGACTATCGATTGGAGATACACTGGATGAATCTTTCTCATGAATCTTTCTCCCAAAGAGCTTGCAAGGTTCATCATACGTTCGAATCACAGGCGTCACCATCAGAAGTATTAGTAACGGCCTGTTGACCATAGAGAATTCCTCGCTCGATATCTTCTGGATCATGTGACACATGTGTAAATCGCGCAGCGAAAAGTACTCCCATAGAATGCAGGAGGCCTGCATAATCAGGATGCTCATTCGGGATGTCTTGGAGGATTTCCAAATTCCGGGCGATAGCTCTGTCGAGCAGTTGGACGTCTCCATCTATAATGAAATCCTCTCTGAGGCAGATCACATAGTCAGTCGTGTAAACGTCTGGCAAAATGTGGGTGGTTTTTTTGGTGTAACGCTGAGTGCTTCTTCGCCCTGTTGAATGGCAGTCTGTAGGTGCTTCGTCTCTCCCGTCTTTTAAAATTGCTTATAATATTGATCACAGTTGTGATGCAACGTGCTCCCAGGATCCCCATCTTGGTTGACTGCTAGGATCTGAGTCTCGTCCATGGTAGTTCTTGATCTGGGGTGTTCAACGAAGGGGACTTGAAGCCGTACTGGCAACTTTGTTCAACTCAAGTATTACAAAGGGAGAGTTTTCGATATTTTGGGGGGTTGGTGCTATGCTCGCGTATTTATTGGCTTGCACAGCATGATGAGGCAACGGGAATGAGGTGGAAAGTGCATTCAGGCCACCAATCGAATTTCAATAATATTTTAGTCGAGTAAGTCAAAGGTTCATGTGACGCGTCTCACTGCACTGCTACTCTTTGGTGATTGGATGAATGGCGTGTATGGGGTGAATGGCTGATGAACGAGAAGCCTCGGATAATCGTTGTTCTGCACATACACCGAATCGTCCATCATTGGGTATCGATTCGAATACCAGGTATCAAGGAGATTAGGGAGTCCTAGTTCAGCAGGACAAGCCAGTCAAGATTGTCTTCGCAATGTCTTCCTTCAGTAAGATATACGACCTACCGATCCTGAATTGCAGGTATCGGGATAAACACGCGGACCAGGTTTAAACGACCTCATTTCGTTTCAATTCACCGTCGCCCGTGTCCTCAGGTACGGCTTAAGGCCTGTATCAGCCACAAAGGCTGACGCGTGACATATAACGCCTAAAAGGGAGCTGAGATGTGTGTCATTATTCGCAGTTGCTATTGTTAGAAATGTTTGAGGCCTCTCATCATATCCCATTCCTCCTAAAATTTGGGCATGTCGTATAAGTCTTCAGGATCTGGTTGCATATTAGCGCTGTCTGTTCATGACAAAGATGGAAGCTGTGATCATTACCTTTGCCCTGAGTACTAATGTATTGCTTTACCGCCCGCACCCTCTTTGCAATCTCCTTCAATCCCTCATCAAGCTTCTCTTTCACCCGCTCATTGTGCGTGGCGGCACCCTTAATCGCCCTCGCAGCGACATCAAACCTGCTGACAGAATTGACTAGCATCATATCGAAAGGGGTTGTCGTACTGCCTTCCTCATTATAGCCATTGACACTAATCCTGTCCAGACGTGGGCGCTCAAACAGCAGTCCCTGGAGCTCAGTTGCGTACCCGTGGTAATTGAAGCACACCGGCCGGTCTTCTGTGAACAGACCTTGGAACTCAATGTGGCTGAGCGCGTGTGGGTGATGCGATTCAGCTGCAAGGACCATCAAATCAGTGACATTGACGACACGAACTCGAAGGTCAGGCAGCAAATCTCTGAGCAACTCGGCGGCTTTGACCACTTCGAACGTCACTTCAACGCCGACCCCTACAATGACAACGTCGGGGGTCTGTCCGTCATCGTTCGATGCAAACTTCCAGATTGATGCGCCTTTCTTGCAGTGCTCAGCAGCATCCTCGGCGGAGAGGTAGACGGCGGTTGGTTGCTTCGAACCAATCATCAGGTTGACGTAGTTCTTCGACTTGAGACAATGGTGTACCGTGCTGAGGAAGCAATTGGCATCTGGTGGCAAATAGACCCGCGCAGCTTCTGGCTTCAGGTTCAGAACGGCTCCAATAAAGGAAGGGTTCTGATGCGAGAAACCGTTGTGCTCCTGGCGGGCCCAAGTGCTTGTCTCCAGGTAGTTGATGGAGCTGAGATCACCTCTCCACTTGACACCTTGGGCAATTTTGTTGAACTTGGAGTACTGCACCATCATCGTATGGATGATTCCCAGGAATGACTCATAGCTTGGAAACAGGCCCGTACGACCTGTCAATGTATAGCCCGAGAGAAGCGCCTGACAGCAGTGCTCCGAGAGAATCTCGATGACGCGACCGCCGTTTGCGCGAGCATACTCATCCCATTGAAAGTTTCGGCCCGTATTTTGAAGAACGCTGCTCAGCTTGTTACTCTCTAGCTCATCAGGAGAGAAGACTCGGAAGCTTGTGGGGTTGTCAAGGACAACCTGGTTCAGGAATTTGCCTGTCTCCTCCATACAGCTGACGTGTTGGAATTTTTCGACAGCAAAGGATTTCCAGCTGGGCATATTCAGCGGTTGGTATGAGTCGTATGTTTGCTTCAGCTGCCCGAGCTTCTTAGAGTCTTTCTCTGGTATGATGTCGAGAATGCTCTTGGTTGGCGTGCCATCCTTGAGCAATCTACTTGGCTCATATGTTTGAAGCCAAGATTGCAGGATCCTCAAATGATCTTTATCTTTGTTCGCATTGGGGACAGGAATCTGGTGAGAGCGAAAAGAGCCCTCAATAAACTCGCCATCCACCTTCTTTGGGCCAGTCCAACCCTTGGGTGATCGGAGCACAATCATAGGCCACCGGGCCTTCACAATCGGCTTGCCGTCTCGGGCAGCCGACTGGATCTTTTGGATCTCACCCAAGGCCCAATCCAATGCGCTGGCGAGTTCGACGTCGATGGATTCCAATGTTTCCACGATGGACACCTGGTATCCATACCCAGTGAACAGACAGATCAGCTCTTTATCATCCATGCAACCAAATATAGTACGTTCGCTGATCTTGAATCCATTGACATGCAAGATCGGAATGACAGCCCCAGACTCCGCCGGGTCTAGATACTTGATCAAATGCCAGGCGCTGCATACGAGTCAGACTTTCAGCTATAATTCTAAGAGCACGGTAAATACTTACGCTGCGGTTGGACCGCTTTCTGCCTCTCCATCGCCGATGATACATGTGACTATCAAATCAGGGTTGTCCATTATAGCACCGAAGGAGACAGCAAGCGCATAGCCCAGTTCACCACCCTCATGGATAGCGCCTGGGGTTTCAGAATTGATGTGACTAGGCCTGTGAGCCGCTGGCCGATTATCAAGAGTGAGACTTACCTTGGGAACCCTCCAGGAACCGAGAACCCAGATATGAGGTTTTTCAATCCACGTTCATCGATGGGGTACTGGTCAGGGAAGAACCTCCCCAATGATCCCTCAAGCCAAAGGGCAGCTAGAGCAGCCGGGGCACCATGCCCTGGGCCGATGACAAACATGACATCCAGGTCGTGCTTTCGAATCAACAAGTTAAGATGAGACCACACAAGGATGATCCCAGGGCATGTTCCCCAGTGACCTGGTATTGTTAGCTCGAGATAATAAATGATGGCTTGGCTACTCGCCTAGTAGCCGTGGCTTGACGTCTTCAAGTTTTAAGTCCCTGTCAATCATTACATTGTCTTTGAGAAATATCATAGCTTCTAACTATTAGTGTTGTTCTTCTCTCATTTAGTTTGCCGATGCATCGAGACTCACACCCTGCGATGTAACAGGCCGCCTGTTGGAAATCCTTCAAGGACTGCGACACATTCTGGTCCAAGTGGATTTTTGGAACTCTTGCAGCAAGATACAAGGTCTCATCCGGTAGTTGGCTCGGCAGTGGTGGTGGATTTGGTCTGTCGATTACTTCTCCTGGCATCTTGGAAGTCACCAGCGGTTTGATGGAGTAATGGAGAAATTGGACGCTTCAGATGAAAAGAAAACCAGCAAATTTGAAAATCGAAACAAGAGTATTAGAATGAAAGGGCGAAATCATCATTTTGTTTGAGATTATCCAACTGGGCGGCGAAAACAGCGAGGCAAAGCAAGTCGTACGCCTTCGATGACGCAGATGACGTCGACCCGACCCATCCCCGCTTCCAGGACGAGTTGCAGGAGCTCGCTTATAGCGGAGGTAACCTCCAAGTATTCGCACGGCTCTGTTTAATTACGTCAACATTGTGCAATCATGCCACCCTCTCACTTTCGCCTCACTTTCGCCGCAAATATCGAATGTTTACTGGGCTAATTGACGATGATATTCGGAGTGCATGACATCGATTGCGACTTGGAACACCGTCATCAGGGACGCGAAGGAAGAGATCCGGCGCCCAATGGCATGCAGATCTTTTCCTGAATAAACTAATCGAACGACCGATGTTTTGAGTGTTCTTCATACTGTTTCACCCAAGATCCAACCCCATAAGTACCAGTATGTAGTATATATTTGCCGATAAGTTTGCAATTTCTGAAATTGTCGGGAACGCGTTGGTTTAAAAACAGAAAGTTCTTGTTGGAATACTTTCAATCCACTCATGCCATATCCTTTTCCCTCTGATGCGCTGGCTTGAGGTTACAGTCACCGCCTATCAGCAGTCTCAAAGCCATTTTATTATATTTTAATTATATCCTCGGAAATTGTTTCCTTCTTATCTACTTTACTGAATATCTAAAACTTGGGGTGTCCGAGATCTGGACACTAAAAGTGGGCTTGTTTGAAGAAAACTATTCCGTTATATATCTTAAATACACAGGTCAACAGTATAAAAGCAGCCTTATATTAACTTTTACCTATTTATACCTAATATATATCAACTAATAACAGCAGAATCCCGTATATCTCAGGGCACTAAGCCTTATAGAAATAGTTCTTATAATTCTAATATAAAGAAACTTATTTTAGTATTCTTAGATAATATACTTAATATACAAGTAAGATAGATAAGCAAGTAAGATAAAAATCCCAACCTTCCTACTAGAAATCGCAATAAAAATACCACAAACTATTTAATTAATTAAAACTACTTACTATACTCTTCTCTAGATATCTCAATTACTACCTAATAAGTCCTTATATTATAGCCGGGCTTGCTATAGATACTATAGCGCCGAACTCCCAGTCCGACTAATCTTCCTCGACTACTACTCCTCGATAATTCGGCTACTACCTATACATCTATATCTATTTAATTAATTACTTACCTTCTTTCTTCTACTATTATAACTCCTCTTTTTTACAGTTTATTAGTGGGAGATACACTTAGTGCAGACAGGGCCTGCACAGTAAGAGTCAGAGATACCCTATAGTTCAGGGATAAGAAGGTCCTACAGCTAAAACCAGCAATAGAAATCGGTATAGAAGAGATATTAAGTACTTAATTAAGTGCTTCTAAATAGAATAGGATAGAATAATTAATTAGGAAGGGATAAAGAGCTGCTATAATAGCTAGTTAAATAGTAAGTTAAGTAATAAAAGATTATCTTTAAAAGTTTAAAATTAAAAAAGAAAAAAGTATACCCTTTTTATAGAGGATAAGCTTATTCTTTAAGTAGTATTTAATCTTATAGCTAGACCTATTACTATTAAACTTCTATATATCTATTAATATTATTATAAACCTCTCCTATAACTCTATACTTATCTCTAAGTACTATAAATTACATAATAAACTTATTAAATTAAAATAAAAGAAAATAGCTAGTTATATATTTATAACTATTAAGTAAATAATTAAGTTTCCTAAATTAATTAGCTTCTCTCTAGCTCCTAGTATCTTTACTAAATACCTAGTTTTACCTTCTTATATCTAAATACCCTTAATAGTCTTTTTTTAGAAAAGGGCTATTATTAACTTCTTATTTCTTTTTTATTATTTAACTTATTAATCCCAGTTGTAAGCTGCTAATTATTTAGTATATATTAGTTAAATTAATAGGGGTATAGGTTAAAAGGTCTGTAAGTAGTAGCAATAATAATAAGTTATTATAATATGCTAATTAACCCGTTAGGTATATTAATAGCCTATATATTAGTCTCCTTAAGATATTAAATTATTAGATTTGGAACTATTAGTAAGGTTAAGTATTTAGATGTAAATCTAACTATTTATTTACCCCTTAGCCTATAATAGATATTACTAAAAGCCCTCAGTCTAGCCCCTTCTTTCTTAACTATAAGTTTTCTTTTTAGTACCTCTATAATAGTTAAAGTGGGGTTTAGAATAAATTAAGCTATTCTTACTAGTATAACCTCCTCTTTTTTATTTATATCTATTTCCTCTATATCCTATAGCTACTACTAGAACTTATTATTATTTTTTCTAGTAATTCTATTCTTTATAATAGTTTCTAGTAGTTATATAATTAAGTTAATTAATTATATTATCTTACTAAAAGATAATTTATTTAATAATATTAGATATAGAGAAGTAATAAGTAACTCTATTAATATTATAGATAGTAGATATTAAGAATAAAATCTATAAATAACTTACTTTTCTATAATTACTTTTTTCTTTTTTTATCTATTAGCCTATCTAAATTTAATAGGCTGCTCTAGAAATTAATATACTTAATAGTAGCTATAGATTTTATTACTATTATTTTTTATAATTACTATTTATAATTTAGATTAATTTCTTTAAGAATAGAATTTAGTAGCAGTCTTATCTTTAACTAATAGAATTTTTAATCTGGGATATATACTTTATTAAAAACTACTAATCTTTATATAGAAATAGATACTTTTTTACTAATATAGCCTTTTACTTATAAATATCTTTACTAAGAATAAATAATTCTTATTTTGAATTAGTAGCTTTATAGGTATAGTTATTTCTAGTAGAATTAAGGTAGAAATACCAGGTAATTTAAGGTTAGAAATAAAATCTATTAGAGTAGTATACTTAGCTTTAATATCTAACTTCTTATATTTAAAGCTAGATATATCTACTACCTTACTATAATTAGTATATAACTAAATTAACTAATTACTAAGTAGTATAAATATAGCAACTAGCTTTACTATTTCTTATAAAGTTATTTAATAGATCTTAATAGAAGAGGGTATAATAGTTAGTATTTAGTATTTAATATAAGAGAGAGTATTATTATACTTTATCTATTAGAGTAATATAAAGCTGCTATATTAAGTATATATTTAGTTAACTAGTAAAAATATTATATCTTATATTTATATATAGATAGTATTAGGTAATTCTCTGATTCTTAGAGTATTTATAGAAGAGTTATAGATATAATTCTTAATATTAACTTTATTTAGAATTATTACTTTAAGAATACTAATTATTTTTTTTATTAACTATATCTTATAATCCTTAATATTTATAAATTTAAGTAGGTATAGAATTTAATTATACTATCTTAGGGTATTTTTATTCTTAATAAGCTTAACTTTTCTATTAATTTTTAATTAGCTTATAGTAAATTATCTAATTAACTACTTCTAATTTAATTCTACTATACTATATATATTAATTATTAGTAGGAATATTAAAAGATAGCTATACTTTTAGTCTTTAAGTTATAAGGTAATAAAAGGGCAGTAAATATTAAAGTTATAGAGTAGCTTATAGTTAGCTAGTATTTCTTAAAAAGCTAAATTAATAGCTTTATAATACTTATTAGCACCTCTTTTCCAGGTATTATAATAGTATAGCTAGACTTCTTTTTAGTTAAAAATAAAAGCTATCTAATAATCTATATAATAAATAACTCTAATAACCAGTTTCTTATTAAATATAGCAGTATAAAAATCCTTATAGCTAGTATATTCTATTATAATCTAGCACTTAATATATTCTACTCTAGCTATAAGAAAGATATTTAATCTAGTAGAATTATAGGCTGGATTTAGAAATAAATTAGTATTATTAATAGTAAGGTAATTCTTAGATACTATTATTATATCCCTTATACTATAGGTTACTATTATAAGTAATAGGTTAATATTATAGTTACTAGCCTACTACTTTATATATATCCAGTAGAGAAATTTCCAGATATTCTAATAATAATTACTTTAAGATTAACTATTAATATAGTTATCTTAAATTTTCTAAAAGGGATTTTAAGGTATAATAATTTTCTAGAAGTTATAGTAGTTAATATCTTATTTAAGTAATAGGTATATAAAGTTAGTCTTATTTTAATATAACTATTTAATATATAGTTAGAAAAAAGCAGGCTAGTAAATAAGAGTATTGGATATATTTTAAAAGTAAAAATACTCAGCTTAGTAATAGAAATACTAGCTTTCTTCTTTTTAAGTAACTTTAAAAATAAAGTACTTATTTTTATTACTTATAAGAAACTTATACTCTTTAAAGCTAGTAGATTTCTTAGCTATCTTATAGAGAGATTATAGTTACTAGAATTAAATATAATTTTAGTATCTTAAAAAATTAGTTAAATTAATAGGTATATATATAGAGGTTTTAATATTCTACTTTCTAAGTAGTTTTTACAGCTAATTAGAGTTTTAATATCTAAGATTTTTACTAGCTGGTATTAAATTTCTTAAGATAAGTTAATTAAGTAATTATTAAGATAATCTTAATATTAAATAGTAAAAATAGGTATTATAAGACTCTTAGTAATACTATTCTTTAAAGAATTAAAGTTAGTAAGTAATAGAGGCTTATCTAGAAAGTTTATAAAAAGAAAAATATAGAGTACTAGCAATCTAATTATACTAGTATCTAATTAGGAGGTAATAATTTAATAGTAGCAGAAGGCTTATATAAAAGTAATAAAAAGAGATTTACTAAGAGTATATTAATATATATTACTTTAAGCTATTAATTTAGAAGCTTACTTTCTCTTTATTTACTCTAATTTATACCTTAAAACTCTATAGCTAAGGTCTTTTAATAATATAATTATAAGTAAATTATTACCTTTAAGATTATAAGCCTAAAAGAATACCTTATAGATCTTTAAATTTCCCTTTCTTTTTTCTTTTATATTATTACCTTCTATTTTTAATTTTTTTATTATAA